CCTAATTTCGCTTAAGATCTGGGGTAATTTGGCGTTGTAAAAATCGCTTAAACCGACCCGTTGTTAATCAATTTCGTCCGGAAAAATTTTCTTAAGGTAAAGAAGGTCTGCCGAATCATTTTCGCTTAACATTTGGTGGATCTAATCCCACGGAAACTCCATGAAAAACGGAAAATAAAGTCTGTTTTTCCTATAACTCGAGAACTACTTGAGCAACAGGGCTATAAGTCAGGATTGTTGTTATTCAGGGTCCGATACACCCCTGGTCCAAATTTGGGACCGATTGGATGTAACACGGCGAAATGCCAGATGGTTCGTTTTTTTTGGGACACCCTGTACATGTCGTAATGGCCTCGAGGGCCCTGGCTTGGTACTGGACGGTTAGCGGGGGGGACCAAATATTCCGTGCGGTTCGATAATAATAATAAAATATAAACCATTTTTTAGCATTTAACAATAAGGTAAAAATGACCATTTTCCAAAAATTTTTTAATATTTTTGTAAATTTCCAGCAATCAAAGTTACCAAAAAACACTATCAAAATTTATTTAGAATCGACAGGTTAGGCGGAAAAACGAAAATTGGTGCCATGCTACCCCCCGCCCGCTAAAAGTCAAGTCCCGGCAATTTTGATAGTTAAAAGATCTCGAAGACGTCGCGCGCGGTCGCGTTGCGGCAGTGGTTGGCTTTTCAGGCCCCTTTCTCTAAATAACCCCGCCAAGAAACGCAAAAGGGCCCAGCAACGCAAGAACAATAACCCCGGGAGTCCGAGGGCCCGGGTGAGTACGTTCTAATTTGTGGATGATGCGAGTTGAGCGGGTGGAAGGGCCCCTAGGGGCCCTCATCTCGACTCCTAATTCCGCTGCTCCCCCTTCTACCACCACACAGGTCACCTCATTAGGGGCCCACCGCCAAAACCACGGGAATTGCCTGTCAGCGTTTTTGTTTTAAAGGCACTGAAACGCGGCGCCGAAACAGAAAAGTACTCTGCAGCGCGCGCATAAAATCTGGGCGTGCATTGGAGCGGTGCGTCTTCAAACAGAGTTCCAGCGTCCAATGGATCTAATTGTAGTCGATTGCCAGAAATCGCAGGAAAACTAAAAATAAGAACGGGCAATGCGCGCACAAAGGCTTAACGTCTAGAGTAGCAAGGCGTAGTTTGTTCTAAAAACACTGTAATTGCCTGTTCGCTACATATCCGAACTCGCAGCGCTCGCTCTCAGCCATCGCGTCCAGTGGAGTATCACGTAATAAATTTTTCAAACCCACTGTTTGAAAAACCATTAAAATGTCTTCAAAAATTAAACATTTTCCTGCATTCCTTGCTCTTGGCATATTTCGGCGTTCTTTTTTCACCGTTACTCATTCGGGTCTATCAGCTTTTATCAAAATCCCCGTCCGGAAGCCGTGACGACCAAAAGCCGCAAGACAACACAGCTGACCAGGCGCCCAAAATACCGTGTGCAAACAGCGGTTGGCGCCATCGTGGTGGAATTCTGGCGAGTAGCCAGGCGGCGGAAGCTGAAAGGCCAACAATTTCTGAAATGGGAAGATCATCTTTGTTTTTTACCAGAGCGCCCTGATTCGCGGTTTCCTAAACCACGCGCAAATGGTGGGAGGCAAAAGGAGCGCGCCGGAATGGAGGGAATTACGCTGAAAAATGCGTGCTCGATTCTTTACAACGGTCATTTTCGGTGCTTTCGCATTATCGGGGGGACCAACTTTTTTCCAGAGTATCCAATTTTTATTATAGAAAATTTATTATAAACACACAAAAATATAGATTTTCGACGAAAATTTCAAAATTTTCTAATTTTCTGATTGTTATGTGTTATATAATTTTATAGCAATCAAATCTACCAAAAACTTGATAAGTATACATTATATCTTATCAATAGGTTCAATAGCCGCAAAAACAAAAACGAAAATTTTATTCCTCCCCCTTCCTAAAAATCCGCCTTCCCCTCCCCCCTCCCCCCCCCCCGCTATCAGCCCAGTGCCGAAATTACGCAATAAATGATTTGCTTTTATTCTCACGTTTTATAAACACTAAAATACATCTGACCCGTCTGCCGCAGAACCCGAAATTATCGGGGCGTTCAGCGCGCACAAAGGACCATAAATTTTTGCCAACGATCACTTTTGGTTCCAAATTTTTTGGGTGTCCTTTTGTTCAGTCCATTTGTACCCACGTGAGGTATTCACGAGACCTCTCAATTCTACGGTTGTTTGCTTTTTATGGAAGCCGCGATAAGCCGCGTCAGCTGAGAAACCGCGGGGGAATGGGAATGTGCGACCGGATGCCGGGCGTTCAGCAGGTGAAGGGTGGGGAAATACCTAAAGTTTATTACGCGGGTTTTTTTTAAAGTAAAAAGTTATTACTGAAGGAACCCCTGCAATGCTTCCTGAAGGTTAGGATTTTAGGTGCTTTTTCATTATCGGGGGAGGGGGAAAATTTCGTTGTTACTTCGCATTATCGCAGGGGGGCAAACGTTTTTCCTTCGGATTTAATTGTTCATATCCAAATAGTGGGAGCGTTTCTAAGCGGTTTTTACCATTCCTAAACGTAAAAACTTGCAATTTTTAAGGAAACAATTTTAAAAAAATATCGATCTTGGAGCAAAAATGTCCAATTCTTTACCAAAACTTCGACTTTTCCTAACATTTTTTAAGTTTTTAGATAGTTTTTCTAGTTGAACAGTAGCTATATATTACTAAAAAGAATTTTATAAAACTTTCGATTAAATTTCTAGAGCTTTTTAGACATACAGAAAAGGTCGCTCACCCCCCGATAATGCGAAAGAACCATTTTTTAAAGGGGCTCGGAAGTGCCTAGTTTAACCACAGCTTTTAAAGTGTTATAGTGCGCATTCAGATTTCAACAGTTAAGAACGTAACGATAATTTTACGATTAGCAAAAACTATACAATATTTGCGCAATAATTTTGATTGCTAGCAAGCACCTTCTTAGAAAGTTGATTTGCTCGGTCCATTGACCCTCTCTAATTTGCCGACATTGACATTGGCCGGGCGCCAAGAGCCTCGATTTCTCTGGCCCAGATCAGCGGTGAGTATCGCAAAAATAAATGAGTGCAGGGTGGGGAGCGCCTCTCGGCAAACACATTGGCCACGTGCCACCGATTCGGGGCAGATCACTTGACCCCTTGAAAGTCACCGACTGTCTCGCGCCACCCTCAAAATGCAGCGCGAAATAGAATGGCCAACTGATGGGCTAAAACTGAGAAATAAAAGCGGGTTGATATTTAGAAATTGTGGATTACATGAAAACTACTTAAATAGTTACTGTACATAAATAAAAACATGAAAACCAATAAATTTTAACCACGCCTAATTGAATTTCAGCCCAACCGCATCAACGTTCACTTTCCGCTTCCGCTTCTCGAGCTTCCGAAACGTAGTAATCCGCTAAACTACACTTTACTTTACCGTATCCTACTTTTTTACTATAAGAGCATCCAAGGCCTAAAAAGGTCTATTTTGACCTGTTTAGTCGTTTCGCACACCCAAAAAAAAAAGATTACCCACGTAAAATACACTCTATTTTACCATATCTTTACTTTTTTTCAGCAGAAAAACACATTAAAAATCTGAAAAACGTCCATTTTCGACTTGTTTTCTAGCGTGGAGCTTGCAAAATGTGGTTATCCACATAAACGATACTTTACTTTCTCGTTTTACCACTTTTTCGCAGCCTACCAAACATTCCACACTACGCTCGAACGCTTATGACTCAAACCCGAGCCGGCCGGCCGCATTTCGGCCGATCCCGATCGCGTTCGCAACTCCCAAAAAAAGCCTCGCCCTCACGTGTGCCCCGATTCCTCGCCGCCAACCGAGCGCGAAAAACGGTGCCAAAACCCATTTCGGGCACGACTCGTCGCGAAATGCGATTCCACCGGATTTCTATATGGCACTCCTTTTTTGCGTGGTGATGGTCGCGGTGGGGAGCCGGTATCCGGCCGGCGGAAACTCTGTGAGGGTACTTATGCAGAACTGCTGTACGACCTGACAATCTTCGTGATAGAAATGAAATGGTTGTCGTAAAGGCCGAGGGATTTGACTCGAAAATGAGAAAGGGTAACTTTAAAGGGCTGCCGACGGCATGTGTCGATCCCCCCCATCAACAAATTGGCAAGTAGCCAACAGGGCAGAGAGCGCGCCCTGGGGAGAGGCGCAGAGACAATTTCTTTCCAGCGCGTAACCAATTGACTATGCCGTCGGCATCCCTTTAAACGAAAGTGCTGATGGAAAAATTGAAAAAGGGTGATTTAGATGAAATCGAAACGTCGCGTTTACGTCACGGCCAAGTCGAGGACTCTTTAAAGCGCACGTTCAGGTATTACTACGTAACACCTATGTACGCGGAGAGACTAACTAAGTAAGGGAAGTAAGGCAAAGGCAGAGACGCAGACGTTCATAGGTGTCGTCCAAACCCGAAAAGTGCGTTATAAGGGTTTAAAGGAGCACGGAAGTTTAATTTTTTACAAAAAATAAACTTTTAAAGCTTCGAAAATTCTGTTTAATCAAACACGCCATGAAAATCAGGCGAGTTATGCGAACGAGGGCACCTATTTTCACAACATCGTTGGAATCCAAAGTTGGCGCATTTCTGTACCTCTTTAGGACCCTAAAATTCCATTTTTTCCACTTGCCAAGAGTCTATCCACCTATTTCAACCTCATTTCCACCCAAAACCACTACGTGCCATTCCAAAATAACACCCCCGATCAGCTGGGGCCACCCCCTAAAAACCAGGAGCCCATTGTAGCCACCGCCTCCAGAAGGCTCCGCCCCCTTCCGGCACCGTCACTCTCGTTCTCTAACTCTCGCCACCTCTCGCCCTCCATTTCTCTCGTCTTCCATGATCACTACGCGCACCCCCAGACGACGTCGAGTATAAAAGGGTGGAACGCGGCTAGTCAGGTAGCCTATCTCTGGAGTTTCCATTTCTCGGCCTAACTACAGTAATCCCGCAAAAGATGCCTGAGGAGGTAAGTCAGCGTCTAGCTTGCACATTGTCCCTTTCATTATCAGCTTCATTCCACGGTTTTAGACCCACGCCGCCGAGGAGCACCACGAGGCCGAGCAGGGCGAGCACGCCGAGGAGGTCAGTAGCGTTTTGTGTTTTACGAGATCCTTTTCAGCACCACGAGGGTGAGCACGCCGAGGAGCACCACGACGAGGCCGGCGAGCATCACGATCAGGTACGCGATGCTCAATTTTCAGGCGAATGCTCAATATGGCTTTTTTATAAAAATTCCATAAAAACAAACAAATCCGCGATTAGGGCCACGCTGAGGAGCACCACGAGGGCGAGCATGCCGAGGGCGGTGATCATCATGAGGAGCATCACGAAGAGGTACATTTTCAGAGATGTTTCCCTTTTATTACGTTTTTAGGAGCACCACGAGGATGCGGGACACGCCGAGGAGGAGCACAAGGACGAGGCACACCACGAGGAGCACCACGACGCCAAGGAGTCCGAGGTTTGCAAATTACGAGTGCAAAAACATAAAATTTAAGGTTACCCGTTCTGATACAACCAAGTTAAATAAATTAAAATCATTACAACTGCCTTTAGGAGGAGCACCACGACGAGGCCGAGCACCATTCCGACGAGTTGGCCCACGAGGTCGACAAGGTCGCGCTCGAGGCCAAAGAATAGGCTCTACACATTGTTGTCTTTCACTGTACAAACACTTGCAAATAAATTTTTGACCATTTAATCGATTTGTTCAAATGTATATCGCAACTCCAACGCCCCTTGTCGTGCATTTTGAGCAAGGCGCGTTATTCAGTTATTTTATTAAAATATAAGAGAAATAAAACGTGACTTTATGAGCCGTAAACAATCAAGAGACGAAACATTACTACATACGCTAAATTTGGGGGATGTGCCGGAAAATGACCTATGTTGATGACCAGTAGTTCGGTGAAAATAAACGACCCGTATTAGGCAATGGTTATACGTAATAAGAAAAAGACGGTATCGGGTGAAGAGTGGGTGGCCATTTGCAAGGCTATGATAGTTTGCGCTTGAAATGACCAAAGATGAGGTTCACACGGCAAACCATATACCCATTTGTGTTTAATTAGCACTAGGTAGGGGGGCTGTTGAGGGAGAGGTAAGCGAGCAAAGGCATTTGATAGGTGATACCCGCGGCGCTGGTGTGGGCAGATGATGTTGAGCAATGTAAGCAGGAAGCGAACGGGCAAAAAAGGGAACGAACAGCAACCCGAATTTAACGCTCTTTCACGCGATGATATATTTAACACACCTCAAAAAATCATCTTAAACGAAATGCGTTATTTTGGGGGGCGTGAAAAAGCGTTAAACGCGAGCCGCCGAAACGAACAATCCCTGGGCTGATATCACAACGGAGATGTGGATAGCGGAAATCAATTCGACATTTGCGGCATCCACGACGAGCGCGGCGCTGGGGCGGCGCGTGGGTCCACGGGTGCCGTATTGGTCCTGCCACGAAGTCGCGGATCAGAAGATGTACTCCGGGGGTCGACAAGGGATGGGGCGGCCAACGGCGAGCGCATGATCGATGGGGCCACCGCCGACGAGATGAGCGAGGTGACGGCGTCGAATTGAGAATTCAACACACGCGCTATCCTCGGGTCGGCCTGGCTGCACTGGGCCGCCACCTGCGGGTCGATGGTTGAGTAGCAGGCCGGGGCGATCACTTCGAGCAGCCTCCACGCCGCCGCCGACGCGTTCGCTTGCGGACGAGCGGATGAAGAGGGAGGCGACGCGGGGGAGTCCTTGGCGGCCGCCTGCGAGAATTGGGCCAGCACATTGTTGATGTCGAAGGCGGGCGCAATGGGTACAATCGGTTCCTCATGTTTCGGCGGAGTGTTACGGAATGGGGCCGAGAACGGGACGACGGGCGGTGGGGAGTATCCGGACCGCACGGCGGATAGCTGCGGGAGGATGACCTAAATTTAGGTTGTTTAACGACAATATTTAAAAAATAAAAATTTCGAATGATATAAGTAAGTTTAAAAATTACCGTCGGGGCAGGGATTGCGCCGTGCATGTCGGCCCTGGGCATATCGGGCTGTGGGAGAAGCGGGCGGCGTCGGGAGAGTCCCGCGTCTAATGGGCCTGGATTGATGGCCGATGGAGGTGGACTAGCCGTGCGGAGGATCTGAAATTCATCATTTAAATGGTGCGCAGAAGATGGCTACAAAAAGTTATCTATCGTCCTAAGATCCCCCAAGATGATATACACACCATGATTCTAGGTTTTAGGCGGTTTTTACGATATGAAGTTCGTCGAAAATTATGTAGATTTTGAAAAAATATGAAAAAGGATCAAAAAAGCTCAAAAATTTTCAATTTTGAAATTCTGAGAATTTTTTAAAGACTTTTTTAATCAAAAACAGCTAAACCCTATGAAAATACACCAAACGCTCTAAAATTCTCGATAGGTATAGGCTAGATATACTTTGACGTTAGCTAGATCTAAACCAAAAACCTTACCATTGAAGGAGGAGGCGGCATGATCGGGGCCGAGCCGGCGGGTGGCCCCCCCGGGAACCCGGGCGGCATCGTCAAGCCGGGCGGGAGACGCGGAACCAGCGCGGGCTGTGTGGTGACCGGCATAACGGGCGCCGGAATGGCGGCAGCTGGGGCGGGATTAGCCTGTGGTGGTGGTTCATCTCCGGGCTTGAAGTCATCGCCATAGTAGATGGCGTTGTACTTCTCGAAAATCGGCTCCGTGTAGCTGGTGAGCGGTAGATGGCTAAAACCCAAGCTAAACATCTTTGGCTCAAAGACACACCTGAAGCCGCAGTCGGTGCGATGGCAGTCCCCACGGTGGTAGCCGATGCACGGGAATTCGCCGTGAAGATTTGAGCAAGCAAGTCCCTAAAAAATGTTTGTATACCAATGAAAATGTGAAATAATCTTAAAAAACATTGAGGAAACGCCTAGAATCAATAGTTACCTTTTTGCAGAAGCCCTGCTTGTAGAATTTGCACAATTCGGGATGACGGAGCGAGTCTTCGGCCTGGTGGGAGAAGGAACAGCCCTCACCGTCGCGGCAGTAGCCCTCGCGATAGAACTTGCAGACAATGTGTTGAGTTTCCCTGCAAACAAACGCAATATTAGGCTTTTGAGGGGAAAATAAACTTAGAATACTGTTACGTTAAATAAAGAAAAAGTATCTATTTTTTCGATATTTAAAATCGGAAAAAGAAAAGATTTTGTAAACGCAAAAATAAGCAAAACAACAACCAACCTTCCAGCAAATCTGCCTCTCGGCGCGAAGCCGCCACGCATACGCTTGAATGGACGGGCGTTCCATTCGCCAAAAGCCGAACCGGGTGATGGGGAACGACGTCTCCTAAAAATTAGATTAAACGTTTTTTAGCTAAACACTCTATTTCCATCAAAATAGTATTTTTGGTCAGACAAAAAAGGCCAGGAAAGGCAACTATTTAGCAATGTCCTTTAGCGAACGAATGGCTGTTATTTGAAACCCGCGTTTGAAACTGGGAAATAGAAACCAGCAAAACAGCCAACCCAGGCCAAAATTCTCTAGGGCAAAAATTCATCGATTAACCGTCAAGTTCAACAGTTAAAAAATGCTACAAACAAACGATACCTCTTCTCGGCCCTGTAGTCAATATCGCCAAACTCCTCGTCGCCATAACGGTAGTCACGGTCACCATCTCGGAAGTCACTGTCACTCGGGCCAAACGGGTCATCGCTCAACTTCGACGGGCTCGGCGGATCCTTAGGCCCCCACGGGTCCGGCTTTTCAGTAGCAGCGGAAGAGGCCGCCTGAAAAGACGAGAATTATTGGGCCCTTCTCTGGGGCACCCCGGCCCGGGTACCGTAGCCCGCCAGGCGGTCAGCGCCCTCTTCCCACCGCTAGAGCTCTGCCCCCTCCCCGAGGGCCCCACTATTTCGTGGCCCCGAATCAGCGTTTATAGCCTGGGCCCTCTATAGGCTCTTCCCTCTCGCCAGCCCACTTGCAAACAAGCGATTAGCTCACCGGAAGCCAAAATATCGATGTGCGTTCCAGGGTAAATTTGCAGTAAATTTGTAACCAAAATAGCTTTCGGATTTCCAGTAATAAAAATTGTAACGAAAATGGTGTTTCGATCTTAGGAATAAAGTTTGTAAAGAAGACCCTGGAATCATCAAGGAAAAAATTGTATCGAAATTCCCTTGAAATTAGCTAATTTTACGATTTAAACTAAATTAAAATTTCATTAAAATTTAGAGTAATTAAAAAATAAAATCTCAAAAAACAAACCGCTCTCTCGACTGCACGGGCCGATTGCTTGAGACGGGCGCGAAATGGGGCACGCTCCTTCAGAAATGAGCCGCTGCGTTCTGAAAAAAATAATAATTGAAAAGTTAAGTAAGTTTATTTTCCTCCACAATCCTTTTCCTCCTTTTTCACTTCTCCACCATCCACTGTGGCATTTCACGTTGGATTCTCTCACTTTCTCCTTTTCTACTCTTCTTTTCTCCACTTTTTGCCACCCTGCAGTGCTGACTGCACGATTCAGGGCAAGTTTTGCCGCCGGTGACCGGTTCGGGGATTGAATCGATGGATCAGTGGGAGACCGTGGAATGGTAACGATCTCCAAAAAAGGAATTTGGAAAACCAAAGTTAAAACGTGGAAATGAATTTAGGTTACAAAAAATTCTAACGAATAAAAACTGCGGAGTGTCGTTTCGCAGACCCCTGCGTCAAAGCTGAAAAAAACTATATTTCCGAATACCCACTTCCTCCTCTCCCAGCTTTTTCTCCACGCGTGGGCGATGTGCTTTCTAAAGGGGCAGCCGTCGTCGCCGACTGCTCCTCGTCTTCTTCAATTTCGCCTTCTTCGGGGAGTTCCCCATCTTCCAGGTCCACATCATCAACATGTTTCTCTAGGTCTTCGGTCGCAGAAGACATCACGTCGACCATAGACTCTAAAAGGCGACCCATGTTGACTGACATCAAAAAGTGTGTGCGCAGAATTCTCGGAAAAGCCAAGCGCCCAGCCCTTGACAAGTTTTGATTCGAAGCGGCTATTTTAATTTTCGTTTTTCAGGGCCGTCATCGCACGAAAGTTAATTTCTAGCCATTGAAATTCGGAAATTTGTCAAGTTCTGGACGTTTGGCAGCAAAGGCAGCGATGAAAATGGAATAAAAATAGTTTTAATTCATGTAAAAGCGAATATCCTCCTTCCGTTTCCCTGACAGGCCAATGTCATTCATTTCTTTCTTCACCGTTATTCTTTTTTTGCTTCTCCAGCTTATTGATTTTTCTCCACACACAATAATCGGTGGCAGGGGATGGAGGTGAAAATAACTAAGCCAATAACAACGTCAAATAGAACAAGTTATTAAGAAGTATCCAAACGAGTTAGTGGTACAAATGAATCCCCAAAATCTAAAACGTAGGGTACCTGTTAGTTTGATAAAAAAGTACCCCAAGGCCACACTGTTTCCCCCAAAATCCCGGTGCATAGTAAAATAAGCATCGCGTCCATCTGCCGACCTGTCAAATCTCCCATTGCACACCAATGAAGTATCTTGATAAGCGTAAAGTGTCAATTTTGAAACGGGGGGAAGATGGAGTGGTTTCCCGGAAATGGTTAGCCCGATTCAAATTATTCTGGGTGCAAAATAGGTTTGGTATTACGGGTGATTATGAAGCCGCTAGCCACATGATAAAGCGAACAATTTACGTTGTAAATCCCTCTAAACATAGATTGGTCGCATCCCTTGGCGAAAAACTATAATTTTCCGAAATAGTTTGCCCCCAAGAAAACTAGCTAACGCCGATGTCCCTCGAAGCATTCATTCCATCCTTCTATCAATGATTTTCTGGGTTATTCAGGGGCGCCCTTCAGCCCTTCGATAAAAAGTCTTTACACTACCCGACCTCGCTCCCCCACTCCCTCTCGCTCGCAGAGACCCCAGACGCCCAACGGGCAAAAGAACCCCTTTCTAGTTTCCTAAAAGGAGGACTACTGTAGCCAGAATAAGCGCCGTTGGACCGCTGCCCAATGCTTCTTACCCCTCTAATTGTACAACTAAAATACCTAATTTTAGCTATTTAGAAACTATGCTGGGCTTTAGGGTGAATATAATAACGCCCGGGCTAGAACCAACCCCAAAAATAGCGTTAGATTTCACGCTCTAATAGACGATCTAAATTGGAACATTTTGGGACGTGTTTTGCGCTAGACTGGCGGGAATCCTCTGAAAGAAAGTGGTGAAATCCAGCGGGGACGGGGCTTCGTGCGCTGCTACAGATTTTCGAAAAAGCACTCATTGTGTTAAACTTTTTGGGGATGACGAAACGGGGAAACTCCCCGGTGTGCTGACTAACGCTTGCGTTTTCTAGTGTCTACATAGTCTTATGTCGTCGGCAAAGCGGCGCGGTAGTTCTGGCGTTTCACTTCCGGGGCCCTAGGAAAATCGATAGTTTTTCGGAAATCCGAGTCCACCCGTCTAATTAAAGGTGCAATTCTCCTGGGCTTTCGAGAGCCAGTGAATGCGTCTTTGCCCTCTTTTGGGTAAAGCATATCCCCTAGTTTCCATTTAGGCCATACCGTTCGGATACCCATAAGTTGAAGAGATCTATAAATAAAAACACCATTAATCCCAGACTTTTGCAACACCAACACGCGGACAATAGCATCCAATAGCCTTGCAACTGGCGCGTATATTTTGTTTCAAAAATTGTACGAAAGCTCCTCGTTCACATGTGACCAAGGCTGTGTGGTGGGGTGGTGGAGTGTGACCGAGATGCGGCAGGAGGGCTGCACAGCGCTACCCCCATCAAACTCTCTTTTTTCGCGCACTCTCTCGCCGCCCATGCTCTATAACCCCTCCGCATTGGCCCATTCTCTCCGTTATTGATCCCCGCCCCGCAGCGATGTCAGCCACCCCACTGGGCGCACACATACACGCAGACAGACTTGTGGGCCGATCGATTGGGGACTACCGAGTGGAAAAAGAGTAGCTGTTAAAGTTTAAATAGAACTCTGAGACTGGCTAGTTTCCGGTTTATAGCGAAACCTGAATTGGGGACCCAGAACAAAACTAGCATCTACGCCCCGGGTGAAAATGTTCAAAGCACAACTCCCACGCTTGACAGCCTTTAAAAAAAACAAGTGGAACCCTGAGACCGTTGAGAAGTCTAAAACAACTAGTGCTGTTTATATCTCAAAAAGTAATTGTGGTTTTTTGAAAAAGCTATCATCCCTGCCCTTTGTAAAAATTCCAAATCCCACACCCCAGACAATCTAGTCCCTACATACGTAATTCACACTTGCGTTCCCTAAAATTAAAAGAACTCTACCCTTAAACTTCTGGAAAAACTTATTTCGAAATGTGCCTTTCCGCTGATATTGGCAACGATATTGAGTCAGTTCAGGGCGTAGAAGGTAAGTGGTACGCATACGGCGTCCCCCCATTTCTCAACGAAATGTCACCCTTTGTAGAAGTTTCCAAGGTTTGATCCTCCTCCACACTTCCTTCCCTATTCTCCGGGCAACACGATTACCTTTACCAGTTTAACAGAAGCGCGAAAACGCGGTAAAATAGAATACAAAGTCGGGGGGCTGGGCGCCGGTGTTCACAATTCACTTCTGTGACATGCCGGTGTACGGTATCAAACAACGAGAAGCGTTTCACTTCGGAAATGTCTGCCGGGAGGTGGGGGCGTGGCTATAGCCGGGGGTTGGAATGGCTGGTGGGGGGAGCCGATGTGCAGGCAGCCACTCTACGATGGGCTCTTGGAAAGAAGCCAATAGCGTAAAAAAATGACACAATGAGCCAACGATGCAAGTAAAAATGTAGGCTACAAGCCGGTAATGGGTTAGCAGAGGGTAAATTTTAGAGTAAAAATTGTTATAGCTTGTTTTTGAAACGATAAAACCATCTTGGAGGGATTAGAAAGCTAATGCGCGGTATAAGCTTCTTGAGAAAAATGATTGTTTGTTATTTCAAGCCGTTTTAGGTCTCGCTTATGCCATTCTGGTAGGATCTTTCTAGCGAAAAAGCTTTTTCCTCGTTTTCCTTTATCTCGTCATTAAAATTCACCTCCGTTATCACCCATCCGAGGCCCGGTCATCTTTCAAACCATAAGATATCGTTAGTTTTGTGGAGCTGTTTTTGTTTTCTCCCCTTTTGTCGAATTGTGGTGAAAACTTATCAATTCTCTTACTTTAGATACACACTAACACCTCATTGATGCACAAGAAGCCCTGGAAATGCACGTGAACGAGGATGCCGAAATATTGGCGCGACTTGGAAGTGGGTTTACTTTTATTCGAAAAATAATCGCTTCATTCTAGTCCTCCACTCAACGGAAGAGAGCCCGAAACGAGAACAAAAGCCTGCGAATGCCAAATTCGTCGAAGTCGATATTCACGGCGTCGAACATGAAGAGGATTCGGACATGGAGATTTTTGACAGGGTCCGTTTCATTGATGTCTATTAACAACGTCTTTTTTTAGAATACCTTGCTGAGCCACCCAGCTGGCCGAGAGCGAATATCCACCCACCAGCGCCGATATGCTGATACACCAGTGTGTCGTTTCCTGCTGTTGGTGTCATCATTTTTCGCAGCGGTCAGTCATTGCTACCACCTTTGAACTCCTTTCATAGGGACTTGCGCTTCATTCGACGCCCAACATCTTCCAATTGTCGATGAGCAATGCCGGTCACGCATTGCCTATTATTCAGATGTTTGGATTGGTCGTCGGAGCGCTATTGGGTATGCAATTTTGTAGTTAATTTACGCGAATTTAGCAAGAACATACGTACCCCGGTTCAATTCGATGTGGCTACTTTTTGTATGCATTAGTGTATTGGCGGCGCTGTCAATTATCTTGCTGTCGCCGCAGGATGCGACATCGCTGCGAGTAATCGTGTTGGTGCAGGGCATCTGCGTGGCTACTATCAAATACGGTAGGCCTTTTGTTATAAAGTTTCAAGAGAGCCAGTGGCGTAGAAAAAAAATCTGTTCCAAAATCTTCTTTTTTTCCAGCCGGTCTCAGCACATGGTTCATGTGGTGGCGGGCCAGCCACCGCAAGTTTTTCTGGATCCTCTTCGCATTTTGCCTCGGCGCTGCCATCCCATCTCTGCTCCGAAGTCCGATGATTCAGGATATGTCTGACTCGTGAGGTTTTGTCTAAAATTTTATACAGTTTTAGGGCCACAACCGATTCCCAAGCCATCGTCTCTGCGCATCAGATGCATCGACGGGAATTGTTGGGATTCGACAAGGGGAAACTGCCGGATTTTGCAACTCCTGGTTTGTGCTGCGCGGTGAAATGGAATATTCTGTTTTTAGCACCAGGACCGCCTGTTGCTTCTAACATGACGGATGGTACGCCAAAACCAGGACGGTATGAAAAGAAGGAAAACGTAAAAATTTTGGTTTTCTAGGCCCGATGGAGCAACAGGAGCTGAGCATGTTGATACGAAGGCGGCCGAGAACGAGAAGAAGCGTGAAGGTTGGTGTTTTGATTGCGAGTTCACAATCTTGACTAAACATGACAGAAACCATTTTTTGCAGAAGTACAAGTGAAACAGACGCCCAACACCACCACATCATCAACAACCGTGACAACAACAACTACCACAGCGTCAACGACCACGGCTCGCGCCACTGTTCGATCCGATGGGCAGACGTCTAGTAAGCTGTTATAACGCATGTTTTTATTGTTGCTTAGCTGCCCCTTCTTCCATCAAGAAGGCCAGCCAAATGGTGAACCAGGAGATTAACGAAATCGGATCCAAGATCGGGCGAATCGACGACGCAATCGGAAACAAGTTGGGCGATATGTGAGTTTATAAGAGTTTTTTTGATAAATTCGGATCCAGGAAATCTGCGATGTACCGCGTCGCCGATTTGTCCGTCGAATGGGCCGTGGTGACTGTGTTGATGATGGTCGTGGTGCTGTTCATCCTGTCATTTTTCGCGTGCTGCCTGTCCTGGTCGCCGATTGCGGATTCGCGAGTGGCAAAGGTATCATTTTCTCGGAAGTTATTAAAAAATGCGAGCCTGGCGCCGCTGGTGATGAATTTTGAACTGATCACAAACACTTTTGTCGTTGTCGTATCGAACGCGCTTCAATGCAAGGGCTGAAAATAGCGTTTTACAGAGCTTCTAAAGTACAACTTTGCTGCGTTGCTTGCAAAAAAGTACGCTGGAGCCGTGAACATGGCCATAGCGGAAAATTTGACAACAGACTCGTGATCAGTTCAAAATTCTACACAAAATGGGTTCGGTTCCATTTCGAAATACGCATTACTTATCTGCGTTTTTTTTTTCGAAGTCAACTCATAACAACTTTCCCTTTTAGCTAAGCGACCACACTTCGCCGGGCTTGTCTGCTGGCTGCCGACTTCGCATCACAATCTCTCACGCGCTGGTGTCGCTCATCTCTTTCGCGTTGATGGAGGCGGCGATGGCCGAGGGCGAGTCGTACAACATTCTCGTCTCCATCATGATGGCGCTCATTATGCTGCTCGCCTCCGTTATGTACGTACATCCCAGTTGTTCTTTTTCAAGACCATTTTCTAGTGGTGGGGCCTGCTGCACCTCGTCTGCTGCTTGGCTCTTTGTCCTTTCTACCCTGATCGGCTCGACGATCCTCTCACTCGCAAACTCCTCCTACCTCGGTTTCTTGCTGGCCACAACATCGGCCCCGATGATCAGCTGCTCGCTTGTGATGCGGGTAACCCTTCATCAATTTTTTTTTGAAAACAAGGTTTTAGATAGAGAAAGAGGTCGGCGCCCGGCCTTCGCAAAATATCGACATGTATTTGCTGTGCAATTTTGGGACCCGGATGGTGTTTACGGCAGCCTGCTATTTATTTGGTCGGTTTTGGGCTACGCTTTTCACATAGAAGGTGTCCTAAAAACGAAACAGGCGAGGATATGTTTCTCCGGGTTTCAAAATTGCGGAATTTTGGGCGATTTTCAGTATTTTACCCAAAGTTACACGCACACGCCATTTAGGCGGGATCGGGCCATAGTTTTCATGAATGGTTTTCACAACGCTTTCGGCCGAATATCCCAAAAGGAAAATCGAAGACTATTCCTTAGCAAATGCAACAATGTTTTGGACAGCTTGTAGATTTTATCCGGCTAGCGTATTATTCACCTGTTCCCTTTTCAGGCCGCTTCTCCACAGGTTCATTGCTCGGCTTCACCTTCCTCGCGTCGCTGGCCCTGGTGCCGATGGTGTATTTGAGCGGAACTTCGTTGAAACGCGTACGATCTCACTTCCGTTTCCCCAATTGTTTATTCAGGCGGCCCGGCTGAAAGAGATCTACGAATTCACCAACGAATACGGGGGCGAGCCCCACGACGTGACACGCGTCGGCAATTACACAATGCTCGAGGTGCCGTCGAGCGACACTGACGAGGACGAATTATAGTGCCAGACCCTCTCCTTCTCCCATTCCAAGCCTACAGTACCGGTGATTGCGTACATATTACTGAACAGGTTGTGACAACATGCAGCTTATCCCCCCTCTTGCTAGACAAATTTAGAACCCGTTTTGGTACTGGACTGTTAGCGGGGGGAGGGGGGCTAGTTTTGGCTTATAGGTCTGGACGCTCTAAATAATTAGAAATACACTGTTTTTGTGGGTTTTAAGCCGTTTTTAGCATAGGGGCTTTTTTTAAAGATCGTTAAATTTTCGAAAATTTTGATTTATAGCCAAAAATCTTTCAATTTGTCTCCAGAGTTTCTTGACTTGGATATCAAAAATTTACTACAGAAACTTTTTCTCAGATAAGGTAGATTAAATAGCTCCCCCCGCTAACACCCTAGTACCCGCGTTTTGTGTTTTTGCACACATACATGCTTTACCGTCCATAATTCTGGCCAATCGTCCCACATAGAGTGCTTGGTAGGATATTTCTTCTGTACCAAAGTCCCTTTCTTACGCACTCGCAAACGCCCCCAAAAAAATGCCATCCAGAGTGACCTGTGAATTTTCCCGTTGGTCTCGACGCCAAATCTGTGATAGCCGCCCTGCTTCTAGCATCAACTACCTGTATTTTCGATTTAGCCGGTTTGTACTATGCCTGTGCGATTGTATGTCTATTTGAAGTATTACCCCCCGCACCCTCTAGCCGGGGGGCCTATTGCATTTCCGTGGTATCGACACACTGATTCTAACAAAGCCTTCATGCACAATAAACGGAAATGATATGGTGTACAGGAACGCGGTGGTAACGAGAAAGAGAGATCGCGGGCGAGAGATCGGAAGGGGTTGCAGAGATCACAGATGATTTGGTATTGGTTGTGGTGGTGGGTGCCCGCGGTGTTTAGTAATCCATGTATTCGTAGCCGCGCGGTGCCGCGCTGCGCTGAAATGAGCGGCGTTTACCAAATGTATTTTGTGGATATATGAATATTTTAGATAACTTATCAACACCCCATAAGGCTTTACTTACTTTCCGGAAGTTGAAGGACGGCTCATAGAGTGCCGAGCGCCAGGATCGCTCGTTGAAGCCTGGCCGGAAGTTTCCGCGACCGGACACGAGACTGCCGCCAGAAGGGGAAATTAGTTTTGCCCTGAAAGTTGAATTGTAACACCCTCTACAATGCTTGACTCCTTTTTTCAGAAGCCTCGCTTTCCGGTCGACCCACCACTTTGCCGATCGCTGGAAAAACTCGTCGTTTGCCGACACGACGGCGGTCAAGCACAGAAGGGCAAGCAGAAAATAGGCGTAGAAGTTGTGCATGCCGGATTACCTGGAAGGTATTTACATTCTATTAGTTCGATTTAAGCGGTTTGAGACACATAGGGAATTTCATTTCGCTTTACACAGTATTGGAAAAACGGGGAAGAGCAACAAAGGGATACGGTACCTCGCAACAGCCGTTTGCCGAAACGATGAGCAGCAACTGAACCCTCCCTGCCCGGGCGAGCCTCAAGGGGAGGGGCCTTCTAATAGCCGGGTTTAGGCGCGATGTCCCCCCTTCTAATGCGCACCTTGAAAGGGCCGTGTCCCGTGATTTATGTTAGCTCTGGTTTGGGGCTTCATTACCCGCCAATCTCTCCAAAATAGTAACACGGTGGTGTTTAGGGGAGATCGTCCATTCCCACGCATCGCGTCACCAATATTTATGGGTGAAAAAAGGGAAGCAGCGGTTCGGGAAGGCGATGAATTTGAATATAGATAGGTGGCACGGTGGAAAAGAAGGAAGGAAAAGAGAAAATGTCGAATACATGGTAAAATAATGGTACCGGACTGTTAGCGGTGGGGGGGCAATCTAGCCCAAATAATTCTAGCCCAAACCTATCATTAAAAACAGTCGAATTTGTTCGCGTATTTTAATGGTGTTTTTAGCAGTTTTTGATAACTAAAAAGTTTCTAAAAACTGTTAGAAATTGCAAAAAAGTAAGATATTAAGTAACTTCGAAAGTTTCATTTTCCCCCTTGATTACTTCTAAACTATCTACAGATTAAATAAAAGCAAGAGCCTTCATTGAGTTATACCGATTTTACAATCCCTCGCCTAATTTGGCCAAACTGCAGGAGAACAGATAGTTCCTTCATTATGCGACATTTTCCCCCAAAAAAGCTTCAAAATGTCGCAAGACAGGTGTTTGAGCACTTTTTACGTTCTGTCGTTTTCCAAAAAACTTGATAACTGTTTTATTGCGCGCTACGCGATCCCCTTCAGAAATCGGGGCCAAAGAACCGGGGCAAAAAAATAAACCCCCGGACTATAATAGCATCATTGAGCGCGGCCGCTTCGACCAGACGCGCCAGGGCGTGAACGATCTGTTAAAATGAAGCCTCATCGCCCTCTCGCCACACGACGAAATGGCGACCCGGGGCCAAAATTGGAACATCCGATTAGTCGACCAGCCCTTCGGGAATTCGCCCTGGGAAAATGTAGGCAGGTTTTTGGCACGCTAATAAAACCATGGGGAAACAGCAGCACACAAAAGTAGCACTATATAGCTTCGGATTCATTCAGCTTCAACTAAGGATAAGAATTTAAGAGGGGTTCTGGTTCATTAGCGGGGGGGGGACGGTGCGGTTTTAAAGGGCACGTTCAGGGACGTTTTTTGGAAAAAAGCAAAGGTTTTTGCCGCGGCCGGGGGTCGAACCTGGGCCCCCCGCTCGGGAGGCGCGGATGGATACCAGTCAGCCACAGCTACAACCTGGCGAGGGGGCAAGGGGCGCCCGACGCCGCGAAGGAGGGGAATGGCCTGTCACAGCACGGGCAGGCCCTGCGCGCGATCCCTACGTCCATAGGGTGTACACGTTGGGACGAGTACACGGCCCCTCCCTGAACGTGCGCTTTAACGGAGGGTGCTTTCATAAGCCTAATCTCTTTAGCGTCGAAATAAGCATTTTTATTGTGTTTTTCATCGTTTTCGAACACCAAAAAGTTGTAAAATATTTTAGAAATTAAAAAGTATCGAAATTTTGAACGGTTTTTATAGTTCTACGATAAAAGTCAACAGTTTTGAACATTTTAATCATATTTTCATGCCTTTTATTATCTAAAAAGGGCGTGAAATGCTATTAATATAGCTTCTATTGCGTCAGAGGCCAATTAAAACTTGTATAAAAAAAGTTAGATTTCCTCAGGCTAAATACCCCCCCCCCGGCTAACGAACCAGCACACTACAAGGAACTCACAGTTGTCAGAAGACGCTGAACAGGAAGAATATACCTAGAAAAGTGCGTCTCATTTGTTGCGAGCAGCACGTTTTCTACTTGGCCGCCCTTCCCGTGCACCAAATTAATATTCGAGGCCACACCCGCGCGGGGGCGAAAAATTTGCGCGCGCGCATCTTTCTTCCGCCCAGAATGGCTGATTCGAGGACCAATTTGGACCCCCTCATCCCCCGACCCGACCAACTAGTTACCACCCAACCCAGGGCCCATCAAATGGCCCTCGGCCGCCCTCGCAAAGTATTTAGTCTAATGGTTGGCCCGGGTTTGGCACCGTCTGTTTTGGGATACACACCGAAAATTTGGTTGACCGGAATAGGGCGGAATAGGGCGGCGCACTATCACTGGGAAACAATGGTGAGGAGCAAGCAATGGCCAAAAAGCGCAAATTTCAGCGCGGCTATTTTGGTTTACTAGAGTCTAGCCTTAGCCACGGTTTGGGCTTCAACAAGCTTCCAGAACTTACCCATTTTCGCGAAGGGTCAGAAAAACGTTCATCCCGTCCCGTTCCTGTAAATCCTTAGCGGGGAAGCCAATTTTTCCTAGGTAATTCCGTACGGTCTGAACGGGAATAGGAATAACTTTTATAGCCTTTCACACAGTTTTTATTAATAAAAACCATAAAAATGATAAAAATGTCGGAAATTTTTGGCTTTTGGTCGAAATAAATGAACAAGGTCGAAAATTTTGAACTTTCACAATTATTAAATTTTTTTCTAACAATCAAAGACTACTAAAAAACAGGCTAAAATATAAAATATCTAATTAGCAATCGGTAGGTATAAGCGAAAAATACCCCACCCCCCTCCCCGTTAAATGGGAAGAACCTTGAAAATTGCTAGTCAGTTTTTATCCGCCTAGCAATTTGAAACTTCAACTTCAACTGTCTATTTTAAGGCTTAAGACCTATAACTTCTTCACACCTTGCTCCCCTTGACCCCGTCCGAGCTACGCAACACAAAACAACAAGAGAACTTCGTGCAGAGCGTTCATCTCTAATGTCGAGCCCCCCCCTAACCTGTCATTAACACTGGTTCAAGGAAAATAGCCGGGTTTAACCTAGCAATTAACGGGGTCGTCAGATCGTATAGAAGGCCACCCCGTCAGCAAAACGGCCAAAAAATATAGCCGATTTTTGGACCCATCGACGACATCACCAAAGAGTCGCCTGAATCAAAGCTCCGGTTCCTGAAGGCGCCGGAATGAAGGGACTGACCGAGATCCTGCGGATTCCACCACCCCTCCCCTAATTTACAAAATGTTACGGTATACAAACTGCGCGGGGGGGGGAAGGCCACTGAATACGGCGGTAATGATGTCTATTTACAACCCCACGCCCGTTGTTTTCACCGATTTCCGCATGTCAAGCCTGTTCCGGCGGAAAAAAACTGCCAAGGACTCCAACGTCAGGCAGTTGGAGATAATTAGTCTGTAGTTTTTTTTTTCAAGAATAAATGATGAAAAGTTGCGAATCTGCGCGGGCGTGATGAGGACTAGAAGATAATGGAAAAAAACCAGATGTGAGGAAAAGAGCTATCGCCAGTTTCAGCTCAGCTCAGCTCAGTTAAATTTGCTTCTAAATTCATCCGTCGGGACCCAAAAATAATAGATGCACTATTTCTATAACTTTTTTATCATGTTTTTAAATGTAGAAATTTATACAAAATCAACATTTTCGTTAAAAAATATAGTGAAAAAGGCAAAAAATGTTCATTTTTTAAGTTATCTAAAAATTCTTGATGATTTTTCGTGATCAGCCCCTACTAAGAAATACTATAAAAATAGCACAAAACGATAATACGAAACTTAAATACCAGCCCTACAGCCTGAAAAATAACAAAACAACGTAGTTTAGCGAGAACCAACCTCGAAGGCAAAACCACAACACAAACACAAGCTCCACCAACTGACAGGCTTCTCAAAATAGATACGGCTTCCGCCCTGGAGTTTAGATGGAAACCAAAACGAAGCCATTCAGCGGCTATAGTTCCACAATGTGAAGCCCGGCATCGCTTCTAGACAACAGATTTCCTATATATAACACAGCGCCGAAGATTTCACGTATTTCCGAAACGTACACGTGACGTCGATTGTATTTAGGGAGGGAGGGAAATGCGCACATCGTCCGGCCCGATGAGGGTCTCTCGGCTTGTGGGGTCATCTAGCCCCTCAATGCAACAAATGGAACCCGCTGGCTCGGTGCCCACACAATGCAAAATGAAAAACGTTTGTACGTTCGGGGAAGGCTTTCCTGCTGGATGTAAATGCTCAAAACAAAGGCAGTGTAAGCTATGATAGATCGCCAAATACCTGTAAAAGTGAGAAAAAGTGTACGGCGCCATAGAATGCTGCATAGCTATAGAAAAAAAATACATACTTGTTTGGTTAGCTGGTAGAGTGGGTCAAAGATTCCGGATCCGGTTCCGCCATGGAAGTCAACCCCGGCGCTCCGCAGCGTCTGATCGCGACTCTTTTACTCTTTTAAAAGCTTTCTTATAAAAGTAGTTGTAGAAGGTTCAAAAAATGTCATAATGTCCCAATTCACGGCTCGTCAAAGCGCACTTTAGTACGGAGCGCGCCTTTTGCCACTGGTCCCTGTGCCGCGGCGCCGCCCATATTAGAAAAAGCAAAGTTTGTAGTTTTCTTGCCATAACTTTTTTGGCATGATTTCGAAAATTTGGGAGGCTTGACGAATCGATAGAGAAAAAAAATTCTCTATCGAACGGTGACGGTTGCATAGTGCGTTCTCAAGGAAATAAGGAGTTATTCGAGCCTAAAGTTTCACAATTTTCCGAAACAGTGGTTTTACATCGAGCTTTTCGTCCTCTTGCTATAAGATACCATCAATAAGTTGCTAATGAGTTGCGCGACGTTCAAATGTACTAGTCTGACTCAAATATCAAAGCTTTTGCAAAGCTAAACTCATTTTTGAAAGCGTTAATATGGAGCTTCGAATAATCGGACTTTATAAGGTAATGTTCTACATAATTGTATCAGATCAGAGAGCGTGCATCGAGAATTACTGAATTATAATGTGTCGTTTCAAGAAATGGGTTCAAACGCCAATTTTTTTAAAAGAGGCGGCAGCCTCGTAAGATAATGTCCTAATCTACTAAAGTAAAGGCCTCAACTCGTAATACATCTTGAGATTTAGCTAAAAACTGACCCGCGGCCCTCAAAAACTGATTTTATAGCGCAACCGCGACTGTTTTGGGCTCCTTTCCGGCAAAAATCCTTCTGGCCGCTATTTTCCGAATTCTAACGGTGACTCGCTAGTTTGATTTGGATTACTGCCTCCCAGAGGCTTTGTGATACTATTGGAGCAAATAGCAAAAGAATTTTCATGAAAATGGAGGGATTTGTACCCGAGAGGAACCGAACCCGGGGGGTGCGCGGGGCTCGCCCGGGGAGTTAACCCACTATCCGCGGGGAGAGAGCCGCCGCCCCCCAAAGTGCGTTTTTGGTAAGGGCTGACGAGCCGTGAATTTCAGAATGCCGAATTTAACGATTTCGAAATAACCCGATCCCCGCGGGAGATGGGTTGACTGTACTTCGAAAAATTAAAGTTTTGTCATCCTAAACTGTCGACGTTACGAATCCGAATTTTTTTTCGTTGTGAATGCGAAAAACTTTTTTCATGTTTGAATTCAAAGTCCGGCTCTGTACGGTACCAGCGAAATCCAATTTTGCGCAAATTCGTCGTTTAGGTCGTTTAGTTTTGTTTAATTTTTCATTTAATCGAAAGATTATTTGACCACCGGTGTTTTTAAAAACAATATTTTTGCGCTTCTTGATCTTGATTTTGAAGTGCGGCCGGGGCGCGAACCCATTTTCAGTGCTCCATGTGCACGCGCAGTCCTGTTTCCACAGGTCCCCCGCCCGCGCTTTCGTTTCCCTTTACGGCACCTTGATCGAGCAGCTGAAAAATAGAAAATTTCAGCAGAAAAAGCTTAGCTTTTAAATGTTTGCGCTAAAAACTCATATTTTTTCAAACAACACCCCCTAATTGTTATTTTTCATCAACAGCTTCTTTTATATCACGTTATTTTGGTTCATTGTCGTTTTTCAGTCTACCTGGCTCTATTTCAATGTCGGATGATGCCGAACTCGCTCGCCGTCTTCACATGGAGTTGAATCAACGCGCTCGCCCCGTACGGAATGTGGGTGTTGTTTTTTTTTTGTTGCATGGCGGGATGATTAGCTATCATTCATGGACGTTCAAGGAATCTGTTTCTTTGTAACCTTATAATTCAGAAGAAGCCGAAGCGTTTCGCCGACGACAACCTTTTTGATTCTCCCGAAGGATTGGAAGATTTCGGGATACCAAAGTGGGAACCGCAACCGAAAAAGAACGTCCCAAAAGTATGTTTTCCTGATTTTCACTCATTCTGTTCAGGTTCAGCTGACGCGTTCAAACACTTTGGGTGCAGAAAAGCCCGCAAGAAAAGTATCGAAATACCTCGACGATTCTCCAGAATACTCGCCACCACCCGATAGGTATCACAAAATTGTTTTCTGCAAGCTTGCGTTTTAGGGCGCATTCGCAACCCACAACTTCCCACAGTCAGTCGTCAGACGACATTATCTTCATCGAAGAAAAGCCTGCGAATCGTCGAACCGACCTACTCGATACGACCCCATCACGTAAAATGTAAGTTTGGACTTTTAAATTATCAGGTATTTTAGGGGGAAACAATGTCCGGAGATCCCTCCGTCAAACACGAATGCGATCATTGAAACCTCAGAGGAGGCAACAGCGGAAGTCGTTGCCCCGAAGGCTTTAGGTTCATTATTTTAGTTTCATTTAAATCACCATCTTAGACGATAAGAGCGCTTCAACTTCCCGTGAATCCAGCATCGAGAATATGGATCCAAAGGGACCAGTGCTTCTGAAGGAAGAGCCAGAATTAAGGTAAAGATGTTTAGACACGTATCATCCGGCTCAGCCTTCCATCTTCGACGACTGAAACAAAGCCAAAGCCTTTGGCGACTAAGCCTGTAAAAAAGAGCGAACCCTTGCCAGAAAATTCGATCGTGAGGGCAAAGCTTGCCCCTGGGAAAGGTGAATTTGACCATTCTAATTCAAAATATCTTTAGGCATGAAACCGGTGTTTGAGTCAAGTCCGGTTCTCGATCAAATGCGTACCCCGATGATGGTGAGCTCGTTAGCCATTTTCAGACTTTTTCTTAGAAGCGGCGCTCGTTGGGTTTGGATCGCTCGTGCCCTGGGATCGCCCCTAGCAGCTCATTTTCGTCGCCGTTTGCTGCGGCAGCTGGTGATGTGGGCGGAGGTCTGTAACGAAAGCGAAAATTTTACGCCTTTTAGCGACTCCTCCGCCTCTAAAACGAAGAAGCCTCGGTCTCCAACGAAGCACACCTACTGCGAGTACGCAACAACCAAGCGAGAAAGCGGCGTTTATGTGAGTTTTGCATTTTTGATTTGTTGTGCTTCTTACTTATTTTTAAGTTACCCCATGATTTGCGTCTATAGTGACGATTTCCGAAAAACTCGGCGAAGCAATGTTTTTTCCAGCAGCCCGATTGTGCTCGTCGAAACGCGGAGAGGGAAGAAGGCCCAGACTCAACTCCCCAACTATAACAAGGCCGACACCGCGGATCCGATGCGGATGAAGGAGCTGGACAAGTTTCAGGCAAATCCCTTTCTTCTCCGACCGTTTTCTTGATGCCTTTAGGATCTACAAGACGCAATGAACCGGGATCGGGCTTGCCATGAAGCCTTCATAAAGAATCTATTGTCCAAGCCGTTTACTCTGCCGATCGCCGGTTATTCCTGTAAGCTTTACACGTTCTTCAGGCTACATTTTTGAGTTTTTAGTTTCCGGACGAGCCTTGGGCATGGGTCGAAGCGCGATGAGAATGCCACTCTACGATCCGTACGCCGAGAATGCGCTTATCCTCTACACGCCGCCGCCGCTAAGCCCTGAAGAACAGGCGGCACAAAAGAAAGAAGATAAATTGGTGCACGTCGTCGTCGACCCGCTTCTCACGGCCGTCCTGCGCCCTCATCAGCGCGAAGGCGTTGCCTTTATGTTCGTCTACTTCCTTGGGAGATTATCTTTTTCTTAGGTACAACTGTGCTACGGGCCGCAACATCGAAAACTTCTACGGCTGTATTATGGCCGACGAGATGGGCCTGGGAAAGACTTTACAGGTTTGCGTATTTTTAGGTATTTGGATCGTTGTTTAGTGCATCTCGTTGCTCTGGACGCTGCTGCGTCAAAGCCCTGAGGCCAAGCCCGAGTTCAGCAAGGCGATAATTGTCTGCCCTAGCAGTCTGGTCAAGGTTAGCCTTTTTCTTTATACTATTTCTTTCTCTTTAGAACTGGGATAAGGAAATCAAGAAATGGCTCGGTTCGCGTATCAACTCACTGACAATGGACAACGGTTCTCGCGAAGAGATTATGAAGCGATTGAGTGTGTTTTCACAAGATTTTAAGTTTCCTCCATTTTAGCCGCATTCATGAACGATCTGAAGATACGAGCGGCTTGTCCAGTGCTGATCATCTCCTACGAAACGTTCCGCATCTACTGCAACATACTCCACTCGGCGGAAATCGGCATGGTTATTTGCGATGAGGTGTGAAAAATAAAAAATAAAACATTTTCTCTTAGGGTCATCGCCTGAAAAACAGCGATAACCTCACGTATCAAGCGCTGAATGGGCTGAACTGCAAACGGCGGATTCTCATCTCGGGAACGCCGATCCAGAATGATTTGTTGGAATATTACAGGTAGAATTTAGGCGCTCGATTTTTTAAACGAAATATGGCTTCTGCACGATTGATTTTTTTACACGAAAATTTTAGTCTGATCAACTTCGTCAACCCCGGCCTCCTCGGGTCGGCCGCAGAATTCCGAAAGCGCTTCGAGAATGTGATTCTGAAGGGACGCGATGCGTCAGCTACCGACGAAATCCAGAAGAAAGGTATTTGCTTTCGAACTTTCCTAAAATTCTCCTGTAGGCGAGACCGCAACAACTGAAATGGCGACCCTTGTTGCCAAGTGCATCATCCGACGCACCAGCACGCTGCTCACAAAATATTTGCCGGTATCACCTTTATCACAAAAGTATTATTTGTTCCCAGGTCAAATACGAGCACATCATTTGCTGCAAACTCAGCCCTCTGCAACAGTCGCTCTACGAGAAGCTAATCGAGATCGAGAAGAAGGTCCGTTCAGCGAATTTTCCATCCTTACAGCCTGTATTTTAGCTGCGATCCCGCGAAAAGGACGCGAATGACTCGGGTGGTGGCGCATCCGCTTTATCCTTCATCACCCACCTGAAAAAGCTGTGCAATCATCCCCAGCTTGTCTATGATGAGGTCAAGAAGAAGGATAACCGCTTCCACGGTATCGCTTCCGGTTTGAAGTCCACCCGTTTTAGAATCACTGGAGCTGTTTCCGGACTCCTTTTTCGGGCGCACCTTCGACCCATCAACATCGGGAAAAATGAAAGTGCTCGATTACCTGTTGGCCGTCACCAAGAAAACGTCCAACGACAAGTTCGTGCTGATCAGCAACTACACGCAGACGATTGATCAGTTTGAGAGCGTAAGTTGCTTTGGCGGATTGTTCGGATAATCACGATTTCAGTTGTGCAAGCTTCGTGGATACGGTTTCGTTCGTCTCGATGGCTCAATGTCGATCAAGAACCGCGCGAAAATTGTCGAAAAATTCAATGATCCCGAGGTATTCCTAAAAATTCCAGCATCTCTCCACTTAGAGCCCTGAATATTGCTTCTTGTTGTCCTCAAAGGCCGGTGGTTGCGGGCTGAATCTGATTGGCGCTAACCGGTAGGACTTCCCGGATGTTTTATTTTTATTTTTCTAGTCTGGTGATGTTCGATCCCGATTGGAACCCCGCCAACGACGACCAGGCAATGGCCCGAGTTTGGCGCGATGGGCAGAAGAAAACTTGCTTTATCTACAGATTGCTTGCGGTGAGTAGGAGCGGTCGTTTAACCACCACAATCGCTCGTTCCAGGCCGGCTCCATCGAGGAGAAGATGTTCCAACGCCAAACGCACAAGAAGGCACTCTCGAGTTGCGTCGTCGATGCCGGCCAAGATGTCGCGCGCCATTTCAGCTCGGACCAACTGCGCGAGCTGTTCAAATTGGAGACGAACTGCGCCTCGGACACTCACAATAAGTAACCAGTCGGCGTGTTCCAAGAATTTCGGTTTGCAGAGTGAGGTGCAAAAGGTGCCTGAATGGCGTCGAGACCATCGACCCGCCCACGGACGCGGATTGTGCATCAGACCTCCAACATTGGCATCATTCGGAAAAAGATGCGAAGAAGGTGAATTTTGCGGAAGAAGGTCAAATACGTTACCCTCACCTTTCTAGATCGCCGACACCGTGCTCAAGGCCGTTTTTGAATGCGGCTTCATTTCCTTCACTTTCCACCAAAAATCGCACGAAGCCGTCGTCGAGCCAGAGAAGGTAAATTTCATCGGGATTTCTGTGAAACCATTTAGAAACCCGAGAAATCCAAGAAGAAGGAACTCCTCGACGACGTGGAGGAAGATGACGAATATGACGAAAAGGAGGAAGCCGACGAGGCGTACGACTCGGATTACTAAACCATTCTGTTTTGTCTACAAAAATTTCCCATCAATTGCTTGTGTTCCCCATTTTTCCTGTGATATTATCCTAACCGGTGATTTTTCGCTTCGGGTTGTCGCTCATGTAGATCTCTAGACCGTTGTTGTGTTTGATAAACGTTTTAGCCTTTTGAAAGTGTCGACTGACCGGAAATGACGACTAATTAGCGTACGTTCAGGCCTCGCATAAAAATCGGGTGGCGGTGTGGAGTTCATAATTCTTCCTGTCTGCCCGCGATGGCGGCCCCAAGCCAATCGAAGATGTCCAGCATCGCGCCGGTGGACGGCGCGCCGGTCGAGCAGGACGCCATGGGAGCTGAAGCTGTTCAGGTAGGCTGCTCCCAAGTCTTTGGAAGGGCTTTTTTTGCGAGTACTACATTTTTGCCAGCCGCTTTCGGATGACTGTTTCCTGTACAAAAAGCCGCCCAAGCCGCCGCGTGCTCGCCCGGCCGAGGTGCCAAAGAAAGGCGCGAAGCCGCTGCGTCCGAAGCCCGTCCATCAAACTCCTCATCCGCTTGAGACGTCGGATGGCGGCAACGATTGCACGGTCAGTTAATTAGTGTGCACCAGGCTTTTCCCCGAAGAAAAAAAATTGCTATGGAGGACAACAAACAGTCCTCTTTTCTAACCATTTCCGTTCTTTTACTCATCTAAAATTTGATGTTTTCAGATCCGCTGGGACCATCAAGCCAAAGAGCCGTTTGCCGCAATCAAAGCCGGCACCGTCGTCCAGGTCCTCGAGTTCCTCAAGAGGTTCGTTTTGCAGCACGGTTTCTAATTTTTCTGTTTGCCCTGCTAGATTAGCTTTTTTCAGCCCTTTTTTCAGCTTCGGCACCCCGATGGGCCAATGCGAGAACGTTTGCAAGGTGAGGGTGACGAGCACGGGGAAGAAGAAGGAGGCAGCGGCCAACAAAGAAGGCTACGTCAAGGCCCACTATATCTGGTAGATTGATCTTGTTTTTTTTGCACCAAAATTGCTTCAGCCTCCCGACCGCAGCCAACTGCAATACCGATGCGTTGCGCTCATTGAAGAGCTACCACGACGAATTCGCCGATCTGTATGAGGGCCGGTTCGTAATTGAGCGTAGAATTGCCTCGCTGCTGTAAAAGCTGCACAACGTTACCATTTAGCTGGTTCCTTGGCGTCTGCTCTCCGATCACGGCAGCCCAGCGCCTGCTCGCCGACCCCGCTGTTCCTTATGGTAGATGCATGGCCCTGATCTGGGTTCTTTAATATTGCCAGGATGGGTGGGAAAATTTTATCGTTAGCATCCAATTGGTTTTACTATCCATCCCTTTAAAAATTTTGCATAAATCTTAAAAACACAAAAATATCGGCTTCGGTCGAAATGCTGGATTTGATTCAACGATCTCAAATCTGACATTCTTTAAAGATTTCAAAATAGTTTTTCCACTTCTAAAATAACTAAATTTACTTGAAAACCAGCTAAATTAATATTTACGGCGTTACTATGCACACCTGGTCGTTTAGAAAAATTCGGATCCCCCCTTGCCCCATCCCCATCCCCGATATTGCAAAAGTACTCAACACCCCTCCCGCAGGTCACTACGTCGTCTGCCAGCCCTCGGAGCGTCTCGAACAGTCGCCGAGGCCGTTCCAGTGGCCCGGCTACACTGTGGTTGTCAAGATCATCACCGGGTAAACGCCCCCGTTGAGAATCTTTATTTTTCTAGAAGTTTCAAAAAAAAATCGGTCATTTCAGGTCGATGTCGCAGTATCTGCACGAGTGGCACCGTGACCATGAGCAGTTCTTCCGCTACGAGGGTGCGGGCTTTCCGGTGCGCGCGCCGCCGCTCGACCGCTTGCCCACCCAATATTACCCGGAACCGGCACCCACCGTCGCCTACCTCAGGCTCATGGCCAACGAGGACGGCACCTACTACTATGAGCAGCACAAGTGGGTCTGATTAACCATTGTTTGGTGTTACAGTTGTTTTTAGGTAGGTTTTACAGCGCCTCAAGCTTACACCAACTTTGACTTACACCTTTGCTAAACCAATTTCCTCGTTCAGGGATAAGACATTCGCCGACCTCTTTGCGGCGCTCATGAAATATCGCAACGAGCCGCTGCCGATCAACACCGTCGTGCCAGTCTACCTCCTCAACCCTGCGCGTGTTGGGCCCAACATTCCGTTGCCGAAACCTGCGGTTCGCCACATAAACCCCCTCAACGCTCTTCTAGATCTACCCGCACAAGTGCACCAAGGCGAAAGTCTTCCGGCCCTGGGTCTACGACCGTTTCATCCAGGTCGGCCCGGCCACCCTCAAGGGCATGGCGGCTCGAATCAGCCGGCTGAAGCTCGGCAGCGCCGACGACCTCGGCGAGAGCGGGCCCCTGTACCGCGGCTTCTTCCGCATCGACCGCCGCTACAAGCTCGTGACGATTCGCCGCCCTGCTGAGCGCCGCTTTGATGCCGCCTCCTTCCAGGTAGGTCCCGCATACCCCAGATTGCAAACGCTTTCTGCGATTTAGTCCGACCTGGCGCTGTTGAAGCAAAAGCAGAACCCTGCCGGCAACGACATTCGCGGTTACGACTATCTGCTGCACCCGGTCGCCTACAACGTGAAGGGCGGCGATGCGCTGGGTAGGTTTCTATAATTAGCATACAGGGTCACTCAGAACTCAAAAGAATTTCCTGTGTGAAAGATGGCCACAAAGGTCAAAATTTTTTGGATATTCATAATTAAAAAATTGTTTAGAATTGTTTAGGCAGGCAAACACGCCTAAGAACACTATAAAATACCGTATATAAGCCAAATAAGAAAAGATAGTCCCCCCGATAACAGCCCATTACCGATTATCTTCCCCATCGAGAAAGAGGCGCGTTTTTTTGGGACGTCCCCTAGATGAATCGTTACAGACCGTTGGATCGCCTTCGAATATGACACCGGCCTGCCGCTTGATCAACTGCTCAAAGTGCACAAATTCGACTCGGACGTCCAGTGCAGCCGCACGAAATACGAGGTGATGTACCAGGTATACAACATCGGAGCCCCGAAGTTACTCTCCGTCTCGATAGGTGGCGTGCGGGATGTGGTTCCTCGAAAACAATGGCCTCTGCCATCGCCATCTGAAGGCGTCGAACGTGATCGTCGTCTCCGAACTGCCGCACATCTACCGCTGCAAGATCTCGGACTACATGCTACCCCATCACTACAGCAACGTCAATTCGCCATTGCTCGCCGGGGTTGGTCAGGGCTGCAAGTGAGGTACACCGAGTTTCAGCTTGACAAGGACAAGAAGGTGTCGCGGATGGGCGAACTGGACTGGCCCTGGTGGGCCCCTGAAATCTTCAGCGATTTCACCTTCGACATTCGCAGCGATGTCTGGTCCTTTGGCTGCACCATGTTTGAGGTTCGCCAGCAGTCTCCCAAGAGAAAAAACTTTTTGACTTTAATAACCTTTTAGTTATGTTTTTCAGATCTACAGCGATGGGCTGCTCCCTTGGAATTATGACATCGTGGAGGGAAAGCAGCCGTTGCATGACAAAGAAGCGCTGCGTGCCTATCTCGCGGTGGGAACTGAATTAATTTTTGCTGGCGCCCCATTTGTTACCCATAAACTCCAATGAATTATGGATAAGTGAAAAACATGTTTTCTGAACACTGGCTATTTAGCGTCCCACGGCGACGTCAATGACCCTAGTGGGCAAATCCCATAAGGAAACCTTCGTCTGTGCCATCATCCGGAAGTGCATGAAGAAGAACCCTGAGGTATGAACTACGCCCATTACCGGCAAATGCCTTTTTTGCTGAAACATGCCGACTAGAAAAATCTAAAGTTTTATTCAGGACCGCCCGAAATTTGCCCAGATCTACGAGATGTTCGACCAGCTGTTGTTCAACTTCTCCAAAGACCCCGCCAGCGTCGTCCTCCAATTCCTCGGGGTAGGCACCCACGTTAGCAAGAGGATTTTTTTTTGCAGGTTGATAATGAGGTGGGCGCGCAGCTCAAAGATGCGTTGCGGAAGGAAGAGGAGTCGAACAAAAAGTCGCGGGCCAAATAGCCGTGCCCCGTTCGGAATTATCAAGAATGCAAAAAAAAGCCCTCTATGATTATTACTTGTGCAACCAGTATGCGGATTACGTGTCATGATTTGGGATTAATAAATACTGCGTTAATCGGCTCGACATATTCATCAACAACAACAAAAAACATGCATAGACCAAAATCAACAAACGTACTGGATGATTCACCGATGCGATCGTATATTTGCAGCTCATTGTTTTTCATTTGCAATCCTCCCCTTCGCGTAGACTTCCAAGCATTTTTTCATGAAGGGTAGAAGACGATTCGCCTGTGCACTAGCTTCAGCAGCGTACTTCTCTGTTTCGGCAGCTGTCATTTTCCCACTGGCCTTACAGTGAAGTATTTGATTTAGGCCGGGCAGTACTGCGACAAAAATTCGTCGAGAATTTTTGTGCTGATTTTCGAAGTCCGTAGGCGGGTCGAAAAACACTTGGCCGTCTTCCGCGACCATAATCGTTGCAGCCGTACACATGTCAAACAGTTCTATTCCGGCACTCATCAACGCTAACGAACTGGCGACCACGGCAGCATGCTCCAGTCCTCCATCGTCTCTTAAAACGAGCACGTTGATGCGTATCGTACAGCTGGGGTATTTGTGAAGCAGAATCGTGGCACCCATCACCTCCGTCAGCATCAGCGTCAATCCTTTTGCTCCGCGCACCGTCAGCTCCAGCTTGGCCTTTTCAGCCGCCGCCGTCGATGAGCATTCGTGTGGGCCGTCGGCGTGAACGAGGATTTTTGTCTCTCCAAAAGCCACGTATGCATATCCTTTGCCGTTCGCCATCGCGCCTGCCTTTAATCCGATTGGGCGACGACTTGTGGAAGGTTTTCTGGCATCCATCTGGAAAAGAACTATTAGTCAAAACAAAACGCAACGATATGGGATAAAAATAAGAAACGATAATTTTAATAAAGCAACGTGAATTTGTATTCTTAGTTTTTTAGTTTATCGAATGCTATTTTAGTGTAAGTAAATTTTTAGTTTTATTACCAGTCGATAACAGCCGCTTCGCGGCTGCTATCGACTGGCCCTCCCGGGGGGCAAGGCACTACAGGGTGCTTCCCATTATCTTTTCCCGCTGTTTCCCCATTGGCGTGAATACCCTTCGAAATATGCCTACGCCCATGTTCAAAACCAAATAGCCTGTCCCCCCTCAGAATGCTCCCTGAAAGAAACTCCACAACCTTAGTTGATCCTCAACAAAAATAGAAGTGAAGCGTAATGGTCAGAACACCCCCTGGAAGCAAAGCTATCACCCTTCTTCAAGAATAAAAAAACATAGAAGAACCTGGTAATGGCTAGAATACCCTTTAAAACAAAGTTAAATCCCTCCTTTAATACAAAAACCATCTAAGGACCGCGTAATGGCTAGAATACCCTTTGAAACAAAGTTATATCCCTCCTTTAATACTAAAAACCATCTGAGGACCGCGTAATGGCTAGAATACCCTTTGAAACAAAGTTATATCCCTCCTTTAATACTAAAAACCATCTGAGGACCGCGTAATGGCTAGAATACCCTTTGAAACAAAGTTATATCCCTCCTTTAATACTAAAAACCATCTAAGGACCGCGTAATGGCTAGAATACCCTTTGAAACAAAGTTATATCCCTCCTTTAATACTAAAAAATCATCTAGGAAACGCGTAGTGGCTAGAATACCCTTCAAAGAAAGTTATCTCCCCTTCTTAGATGCTAAAAAAACATCTAAGAAACGCGTAATGGCTAGAATACCCTTGAAAGAAAGTTATTTCCCCTTCTTAGATACTAAAAAAACATCTAAGAAACGCGTAATGGCTAGAATACCCTTGAAAGAACGTTATTTCCCCTTCTTAGATACTAAAAAAACATCTAAGAAACGCGTAATGGCTAGAATACCCTTGAAAGAAAGTTATTTCCCCTTCTTAGATACTAAAAAAACATCTAAGAAACGCGTAATGGCTAGAATACCCTTGAAAGAAAGTTATATCCCTACTTTGATACTAAAAAAACATCTAAGAAACGCGTAATAGCTAGAATACCCTTTAAAACAAAGTTATATCCCTTCTTTAATACTAAAAAAAACAATAAAAACCGTTGCGAAACATTATTCTTTTGTTTGGGGGTTTCTGCTACCATTAATGCGCGAACGGCCCTTGTGACCTCTGGCCCCTCCCCCTCTCCCCGGAACATGCCCTGGGGGCACGTTGAATTCCTGGACGGGCGGACGTACGGACATTAGAAATCAACTATAATAAAAAAGTAGCGGTGTCCGTCTGTCCGTCTGTCCGTCGTGTCCCGGATTCAACTCGAAGGGGAAAGGAGCTAGAGCTTAGCTCTCTTCGGATTCGGATAGAGCGTGGTCAGAAACCCCCAAACTGATAAAAAAATTATAAAAAAGTTTTAGTTTAAATTATTAAAATTAACTTTGAAAGTGGCGCCTTAATAAAAGGAGTGGGGGCCCCTCTCCCGGGAGGCCACGCCCCCTTTCCCTTCGCCCCTCTTCCCCAGGCCCCTTCCCCCGCCCAAATAGCTTTTTAAGTTACTTTAATACTTTTAATACTTTTTAATTATGTTAATTTATTATTTAAATCATTTAAGGTATCGGGATGGAATCTAAGTAGTTTTTGAAGGGGTTTTCAGCCATGGGGGTATCTGAAGCCATCAGGAAGGTATTTTAGTAGTTTTTGAAGGGGATTTTAGCCATGGGGGTATCTGAAGCCATCAGGAAGGTATTTTAGTAGTTTTTAAGGGGTTTTCAGCCATGGGGGGTATCTGAAGCCATCAGGAAGGTATTTTAGTAGTTTTTAAGGGGTTTTCAGCCATGGGGGGTAACCGAAGCCATCAGGAGGGTATGTAGGTAGTTTTTGAAGGGGTTTTCAGCCATGGGGGGTATCTGAAGCCATCAGGAAGGTATTTTAGTAGTTTTTGAAGGGGATTTTAGCCATGGGGGGTATCTGAAGCCATCAGGAAGGTATTTTAGTAGTTTTTAAGGGGTTTTCAGCCATGGGGGGTATCTGAAGCCATCAGGAAGGTATTTTAGTAGTTTTTAAGGGGTTTTCAGCCATGGGGGGTAACCGAAGCCATCAGGAGGGTATGTAGGTAGTTTTTGAAGGGGTTTTCAGCCATGGGGGGTAACTGAAGCCATCAGTGTAGGTATTGCCATGAAGGCATCAGCGTAAGGTAGGGATGAAATTTGGTGGTGTAGTATGGGGAGGGTAGCCCGAAGTCCAGCCGGTTACAGTCGCGAAGCGGCTGTAATCGGCTGGTTTATATATAGTACTCGGTTAGCAAAGCGCCCGCGGGCGCGCCCGAAAACCCAAAGCGCCCGCGAGCGCGCCCGAACTGGACCCTTTTGCGCCCCGGGCGCAATTTTTGCAAAAGGGCGCAAAACCGCTCCGGGCGCAAAAAGTGCCCATGGGCGCAACTAGGGGCGCGCCCGCGGGCGCATTTGAATGGTGAACACCTTTCAATTCTGCGAAAAAACGGCTAAGTTCCTGGATTATGCACTTATTTATTTTCAAAACATATATAAATTAACAAATACGTTACTAGGTTCGCTTGGTTATGGTCGTCGAATGTAGAATACGATACTTTGAAGCGCCATGGTGCAGGTAAAGACGGTAAAGTTTTGCTACGCAACCAGTCCCTTCAAAAAAACTTAGATTTAACTTTAGGTTAGATTTATAGATTCTCGATTTATATAAGCCAACCTTTCAGACGATCATGGTCATCATTGCAAATGGGAAGCGCAACGTTTCCGGTATCTCTGGGGCGGAGTTGCAAAGTAAGTCGGCAAGAAGCAAATCAAAGCAAGTTTTCAGGAAGCGGGAAGAAAGTAAGTGCGAATTACAAAGTTTATAAAGGAAATTAGGTAATTAGCTACACTTTTAGGGGCCGTCTATCGCGCATTCGAACGTATCTGTAAGTACCAAACGAAGCTAAAGCCAAGAAAGCAAAAAGAAAAACGTATTTCAGGTGCGCAATACAACCAATTTCTCAGGGAACGCGAAGATCTACATTAAGTATAGGGTACAGCATCGTCAAAAGCGATGTAGTGCCCTTTTTTAAATAATAAAAGCATTAAAAGAACCCGTCCTACGCCGTTACAACGCGATTGGGGCGCGCGCCCGCGGGCGCTTTCGACTTTCGGGCGCGCCCGCGGGCGCTTTTGGCCATTGCGCCCGAGGGCGCGCCCGTGAGCGCGCGCGCCCGCGGGCGCAATTTCGGGCGCGCCCGCGGGCGCTTTACTAACCGAGTAGATTCTTCGCGTTCCGCGACATTCCTATGTTAATCCATCGTCAATTGGCGCGCGGCGTCCGAGCGGCAGGACCGAATTCTCGAATTTTCTCCTGAACCTCACTCATCGCTTTTTTTTGTTTCGCTCGAAAAGCTTTTGCCCTGCCTTTGCCCATTTCTAACCTAACAAATTGGTAGAAAACATTATTCTGATCTTGTAAAGTTTTTGGCGCCGTTCATTTTGAAAATTGAAGCCAAATTATCGGACTATGTCCTAGCAACGCAAGCTATGCCAAAAACGGTCTGAACTGGCGTAAAAAGCAAGCAAAACAATTTTTGGTCATCGAATTGTAGCGCTTTTTGCTTTTTATCGCGACACGCTGCATACAACCCGCTCCCTATCGCGCGCCCTGCCTATTTTGCTCACCAAAGGCAGTTGCATTCATCATTGAACAGCTTAAGCTTCTCCTGTTCGTCTTCTGGCTTCTCCCTTATCTATATTTTTTGTTTCAGTAGCCCGTGTACATAGTGATATTCCTGCCGGTTTGCATTGCTCAATATGAGGGTGGACGTCAGCTCGATGAAAGCTCTGACGGCTGAACCGGTATTTTTTTGCTGGCTAGTAGAATTAGCTAAGAATTCCCTAGACTTTGATGTCAATCTAATCAACGTTCTCTTTTTCAGCCGCCGAACACCATGAAGGCCATTGAGGAATTCAAGGCGCCGTGCAGTGAAGAAGAATTCATTGCGAAACTAGCCGCAATGAATGAATGGAATTCCATGATTGGAAAAGTATTCTTATTTTGTGATCAAATTATGATTTTTTAGACGGAAATGCTACGTTGGGTTGATGTGCTGGATCGAATGGACGAGATCCTGGAGCGTGCAACAACACTGAATGCTCAACAGTGTTACGCGGTGGACATTGATAATGTAAAAAATATGTTTTTCTCAATCCTCTTGTTATAGGACCTTCGCCAATCCGTTTTCACGATCCTCAAGTTTACCAACCTGCTGTTCGAGAACACCTCAACGAGAAGCATCTACGCGAGCACTGATGTAAAGTTTCCATCGCCAACTTTAACAGTATTTTAGCGACTTCTTGTCTTGTTGCAAGTCGACACATTCAACGTTGTAATCAGTACACTTCAGCTTTTCCAATGTATTTCCAAGAGGTAATAACCCCCAAGTTCTGCGAATAATTCTTTAGATCTCATTTCCTTCGTGCCAAGATGCCGGTTATTCAACAGACACGTTTTCAAAGGATTTTGACAGCCATCGCACAGGTATTCGTTGGCTTTGGAATTATTTACGTTGTTAAAGAGCTGGTACTCACGGGTCCGGGCCATCAAGATGAAGCAAGTGATCGAGGAGAAGCTGACCGTTCCGGAAGTGTGGCCCTTTGAATACCGTGGGCTTTCTGCCTCGCCAAATTCTCCCCGATGGCTCAACTTTGAGAAACCTGAGGTAATAATATCTTTCCGGATTTTTTACTTCGCTTTTAGGAGGGACAGTCGATCACGTCGATGATCTCGAAGATCGCGACTAACGGCGAGGAATTGGAGCAACTACTCTTGGATGACAATTTGCGAGCTCGGCTTCGCGTTGCACGAAATTTTGGGTCCGAGCCGGGTCGAATCAACTGCGTCTCCAGCAGGCTGCTAGCCATCAGCACATTGAGTATAGTTCTCTCGGTTTAGTTTAAAAAGCAATTTAGTATACTCTCGTCTGCTCTGCGACGAGATGGAAAACATATTTACCAGAGATCTTTTCATCGAGGAATGTGCCGATGTTGCCAAGGTTTGTCACTTTGCTCAAAGAATTTTTCGGGCTGCTCTGTAGCAAACTGTCTATTTTAGCTGAGCGATTATCCGGAAAACATCGCCGAGTATGTGAACGAAATGCGCTCGGAGGCCCTTCGTACACTGACAAGCATTGCCGCCCAGGAGAAGCCGTTGCGCCTTCAGAAGGTCATCGAGTCACTCGGCGCGAACAGCTATCACGGTTTTCTGAGTGTTCTTGCCCGGAAATGCGTCAACGACTTGAGGAGCGGTCTGTCAATCGTACTTTACTAATCTCTGGTTTAGGGAAAGTATCGGTCCAGCTGTGCACAGCTCTCTTTTCCCTGTTATACCACATCTCCAGTCTTGAGCAAGGCAGTAAGCTATTCCTGGTCTCCCATTATTGTTTCCTTTCCAGGCGAAAGCATCGTCTCATGCGGCTTGATGCAAACGTTGCTCTCGGTCGTCTCCTGCACGACATTGCCGCTTTCGCAGATCTCCTTCGTCACTCGCTGTGTTCGGGTGATCGATCTGATTACGACGTACGAAGTGGCGAGCTTCCGTCAATCCAATGGGTTGGAGGTCTCCATCGATCGCCTTGTGGTGCGTATTCCAGATTTGTATCAGTACCGGCAAGTTTTTAGCACGAAGTCGAGGAGTGCCGCAAGGAGCAGCCGTTTGTCATCGACGAGTCCTTGGATCGCGAGGACAACAGCGGTAAATTGGTGTTGATTTTTGGATCTACTGATGTCTTTCAGGCGTCTCGGAATACATCTTCCGTACTCCGTGCGAAAAGCCCTGCAACCAACAACGGTCTGCTTTGATCAAGAGTCTGCTGAACTTCCTGAAACGCACGATTCAAGACAACAATTTCACCGATCAGATTCGACAAAGTGAGCCTTAGCATTTTTTTCGTAAAGATTTTTAGTGATGAATGGTAATCTCCCGAAGGCACTTATTCACCTGATCAGCAATGCGGATTATTACACCGCTACGCTGTTCCAGAATTCAATTCAGGTTTCGTTTTTAACATTGTGCACGAATACCAGTCTTTAGTTGGTATCGAACTTCATCTGTCACGAGCCACAGCAACTCACGAGTTTGCAACAGATGCACCTCCCTTTCGTCATCTTGCACGCGCTGTTGCGAAAAGAGGTGAACATTTCGCAAGTGTCTGACGCTTCTTAGATCCCCACGTCGAAAGATGTCATCAACAACATGATCGCCACTTTCCAAGCTCTGTGTCTGAACGCTCGAGGGTTGGAGCAGCTGGTGAGTACCGCTTCTGTAATTTCCAATCTTTTTTTCTTAGAAAGCGTACGAGCCTTTCGATCACATCTTCAAGATCATCCTCTCGTTGAAATTCATCACAGCCATGAAGAAGAAACGCAATGATATGAGTAAGTTTATTGGCCGGACCATTTTGTAATGAGTATGGCTGCGTACATAATCTTTTAGACGACGTTGCTGTGGGCATTGGAGGCTCTCTGGAAGATCTGATGCGACAACATCAAGAGCTACGCCCTCTCATGGTCAACGCGGTCATCCGGGCCTTGGAAAATCTGAAGGAGATCAGTGTCCAGCGGGTGGGGTGAAATCATTTTATTATATTTTTTTTTGTTTTCTAGGGTCCTCAAGTGGTAATGACTCTGAGTCGACAGCACAAGGGGCCAAGGAACTCTCGCTTGATGCGGCATCCACTCATCCGCGAGTTCAATCTGTCGATGGACGACGCCAGGCTTATCAATGTGAGGCTTGAATCAATTGACCGGCAAAAACGAGCTTTTAGATCCTTCACCCGCATATTGCGCCATCTCCACAACGGGAGGAGGAGAGCGAAGACGAAGATGAAGCAGAGGCCGAGAGCGACACCAATCAAGAAGCTGACGATGCGGCTCGCGACCCGGATATGGAAACCGAGACGGAGCCATCGAATACAGCTGCTACAAGCGAGCCTGTGCAGATGGACACAACACCTGCGCCCTCCACTTCCGCCGACATCGACAAGTCCGCGCTTCTTGGTCTCCAGATAGACACATTGACTCCCGATGGCCATCGAGTTGTTCCGCTTGGAGAATATCTGCTTGTCTTCTTCAAGGTTTGCCCTCTTTTGTTATACAACACCTCACTTTTTCAGATTGTGGAGACGTTGATCACGCAGACCACGCCCCCGGATTTCATCAACGGCTTGGTGGCGAAGGGATTTGTTCCGCAGCTGCTTGCAGTATCTCAGCTACTGCCCATCCGTATCCAGTTGACCCACTCAACGATTCCAAGCAATGTGGCCAATATTTTGAAATACACCGTGGTATTATTTTCTGCGAGCGATTTCAATAGCGTTTGTAGCAAGTCTCGACTGATGAGGAGCTTCTGCCCTCGATTCTACGCGAGCTGAAGAAAATCATTGACCCGTTGCTGGCACTAAAGACTCCGGAGAACTGGGTCGGCGTCATTTCATCGTTGAGCCATGCTGCTGCCTGTGACACCATCGGCATGATCAGCTACGTGACGCAGATCGTCAGCATTCTCAGCAAATCGGCGCAATCGAGTGTGGTGAGCTCTAGTACAATTTATTAATTTTTTGTGTAGGAGGAGACGCGCAACAAGATTCTGAAAGCCTGGGTGTCCCCCACCGGCATCGAGTTCGTCGAGGCCCTAAATGCCGTTTCGAAGCTGATCTCGAGAGACCTGGCCATCAGTCACGCTGTTTTTGAATCATCCAAGGTTTGAAACCATACGCAGGATACCCCTTCTTCCAGGTGACCACTGCCACCCAAACCGATTCGCCGATCGACGAAGGGGAAGCCAAAGATTCTGGCAATGCTACAACATCGCAAACTTCTCCGATGGAAATGTCCGTCGAGACGGAGGTAAATTTTTATGCTGTTCCGAAATTTATGGTTTAGGCGGCGCCACCAACCATTCCGTCCTGGCAAACCATCGGCATCGGTAAAGAAGAATATGGGTTCTGGCAGAAGAACAAGGACGTCTACAATCTTTTATCGAAGGCCGAGAAGTATGCTGAATTTACTCTGGCGTCTAATGCTTTTAGGAGTCTGAACGATTTCCCTGTGCAGCTCACTCGCGGGTGTCTGAAGCCTCAACGTACCCGTCGTGGATTTGAACAGCCCGCCAGGGAGGTGTCGATGTCTGAGGTGGAACTACTCTGACATCGATAAATTAAATTTTGTTTAAGGCTGCGAAGAAATTGGCCGAGATGGGTTTCCGTATGATTGCCAACAACATCAAGTCGACGTTTGATGAATGCTCAATGTTGATGTGGGTTTCCTGATTGTATTCTATTTTTTTTTCTAGTAATTTCTACGGTGATGGCCTGCTTGAACAAATTTCGGCGATTCTTTTCAACGATCGCACACAAGCGAGCTTGCCCCTCCTTGGCGTCTTCTACAAGTCGGGTTGCCACCGAGCATTTTGTCAGATGCTGGTCCGCACGATTGCGCCCCAATTCGAGAAAGCCACACGTAATTTTATAGCCGGCTATCAAACCCCTCTTATTTAGACAATTCCGGCGACCTGAAGGTTTTGACGGTCACCTGGATGAAGCTGGCTGATCGACTCGTCAACCGCAACAACATGGCGCCTTCTCGCACGCGGGTTCACCAACCGGCCACCGATTCGCTCAACTTCCCGCCAGAAAAATACTACCGTCTGCTGCTCACGGTATCAAAATAATTTCGTTGTTTAAAACCGTGCTCAGGACCTCTTTGCCGTCTTCAACCAATTGTTCGCTACCCTGCGCAGCGACGCTGTCGACCTCAAGGCGCACATGGCTTCTGCCGAGCGCAGCATCACTGTCTATAAAGAGGTAGCCCACCTGAGCTCTTAAAGAATACTGATTGTTTTGCTAGGTTGTGCGGAATCTTGTCGAACTTCGTGACGAGGGCTCTCAATCTACTGCCGCCCGCATGTCTGACGTGGATGCAGCCGCTGAACAAGTCGATGGCAACCATCTTCAGATGCTCCTCGACATGGGCTTTGCTCGTGCGGAAATTGTGCAAGCACTCGTGGACTACCCCAGCGTTGTTGATGCGACCGAATATCTCATCAGCAATCAGGTGAGATTGTACCCATCTTGTTCGTACTCGATGCACTTTATAGTCTGACCGCCAGAACACTGAAGCTGGAACACCAGCCCCAGAGCCAAAGCCGGATGCAACTCCCAAGGCCGAGATCAAGCGGGCGCCGAGTGAAGATGAGCCTCCATTGAGTGAGCTGAAACTCGAGCTCAATGTATGAATTTGACTCTTTTCTTATTGCTCGGATTTTAGGTGAAAGCCGCCGTGTCTTCGACGTGCAACGAGATGGTCCCGCTTTGTAACCGTCTGATGGATGTCGACGCTGGCTCTGAGCTAGTCTACAGCTCTGCCGACCTTGTAATCGGTGTCATCGATTCCACTGATCCCAACTGGCGCGTTCAGGTATTTGTTTAGACAAAACGAGAACTTCCTCTTAGGGACTGATCCGGGCTGGAATGTGTGACGAGATTCTTTCGCTGGCTACCGCCCTCCAGAAAAATCCAGCGTGCCGTAAATCGGCGAAGAGCCTTTCGACCCGACTCCATTTCGCGTGTCTCCTCTGGAGTCACGTGGCCGAGGAATATCTCGAAGTGCTGAAGGGACATGATTTGGTCGGCACCCTCATCGATCTGGCCGTGACTTTGACTTCGAAAGACTCCATTGGTGATGCACATCTCGACTTCCACTTCCAAGAAAAAGGGTATTACTTGACTCATATGTATTGATAATTTTCTATAGGGTGGTTGGTTCGCTGCTGCTATGGTTGGATCTTTTCACAAACTGCTCGCGGATGGCCATGCGCCGACAGCTCCTCAAATCCGTTCTGGGTGACGGTGAAAATCCACACACCTTGAAGTAGGCTTGGTCTTTGGTTTTGCATGAATCGCGTTCAGCTTCTCCTACTACCAATACGAGGAACGTTTTGGAGCACGCGGTCGAGTTGTTGCCATCGAGGCCCCGACAAAGACGGTCATCCACAAGGTTTGGTGGATTAGCATTACTTTAGTCATCTTTTAGGCTTTTGTCGATGGAAAGAGCAAAGTGAGCTTCAAGATGGATCGGAAGGAATATCATCTTTCGTTTGCTGACATGACAATGGTTCGCTAATCTCTAGAACATTTAATTTTTCTTAGAAGGTGGAAGGCGGAAACACAACCGACAAGAATCTGGTTTTCGTCGACCTTCCCTCGGCTTGCAACGTTGATATGGACCAGATTCTGGGCGAGGTTCGTTTGCTAGACTTTTTCTGATTGTCCTTTTTTTCAGGAGAAAACACCCATTTGGTCCGAGACTCAAATGGCGTACCTGCTGTGTTCGATAATTGGAATCATCAAGAAACGCGACGTCCACCATAGCGTGGCCCATTCGGTGCTGCAGCTCCTCACCCGCATCACAGCGGATCCTACGATTGCCCACGGATTCTTTGCGGTAATGTATTTGGCTCATCGACTAATTTTGGAATTTTTCAGCAGGGTGGTCTCCGGGATCTCCTTCAACTTCGCTGCCTTTCCACTCCATCAACATCCGGCCTGTTGACTCTGGTCGTCCGCAATTGCATCGACAACCAAACCCTGCTGGCGCCCGTCTACGAGCGGTCGGTACGCTCCGTTGCTGGTGGTACGCATGCCAACGGTCACGCAACAATTGCGAGGTATCTAGTTCTCAATCGTTCCTCATATAATTGTCATAGCAGATGGAATCCGGCGCGAAATGGTCAAATGCGGGATTGGCGCTCGGCGCTGAATACGCTGCAGCCGTTGCTGATCAAGGATCCAGAACTATTCGAGCGAACAATGGAGTCGTTGACCAAGATTGATGATGGCAAGCTCTCACTGCAGCAAATTCACCAGAACACTGGCGTCTCCGCGGCAGCCGGCTCGAATAATCCATCGACATCAGCCGAGGGGGGTTCCAAGGCAAACAGCCATCACATCCCAACGGGATCCAACACAATCATTACCCAGGTAAAATGTCGTTATTATCCAATTCACACACCTTGTATAGATCATCGAACTGCTGCTTTCGGAAGTTCTTTCTGGCACTTGGGACAAAGATGAAAACGCGACCGACATTCCGAGAATGGTCACCAAAGGTAAATTTTGGGCTTCGGAAGAAAACGGTGCGCTTCTAGCGAACTTTCTGACAATCGTCTCTGAGCTGGTTCGTGGCTACAGTTGTGTCGCGCACATTCTTTGCGATCTGAAGGCGGATGGGAGCACAACACACACAATTCTCTATCCTCTCATCGATACGTTGGTTGGCGAGACAAAAGATATGGTCAGTAATTATCTTAGCAAACAATTCTGAAACGTGAATTCGTGCGGTTACAGCTCATTCGATTCTTTTAGGAAACGCATAATGCTGTTCGGACTCTTGTCGCCACGATTTCCTCGTGCAATTTTGCCACGAAAGCAATGGATGCGCTCGTCACCGAAGTCAAGGCGGTCATCACGGATTTGCCGACGAAGAATTACGAGCAGCAGCTTTTGCTCAGCAAAGTATTGTAAATTTCTTTTTCTTATGAGCTTTCTAGGTGTCCGAGCTTGCGAATCTCATCATTCTGATGCGCGAGGCCTGCCCGACCATTCCCCTAAAAGGACCAGCCAATGCCCGGGGTGAGGATCTATGCACTAGTTCATATTTTCATTTGCTTGTTCCAGAGGCCAGCAACAACACCATGGTTCGACTACTGTACAAGAAGCGCATCTGCAACGAGCTGACCCGCGCCCTGATCCTGTTGCCGCTGGGCAAGAAGGAATGCGTGGATGCGGTTAATAATGTCCTGCGCACCCTCGACGAAGTCTCGCGCTCTATCCATGCTGTATGAAAACTCGGGCGGCTTTTTAAACACATAATTTTAGCAAGTTTCACAACCGAACGCAAAATCTGACAAGTCTGGTGAAGACGCAGTCACCGTCCACGACGTCTCTTTCTCCGTCGCTCCGGATGCGGCAACCCAGCCTGAATTCGACATCGTCCATGATGATTACGTAGATTTATTGGTGCCTTCGCTTTATCCCCTTTTTAGACCATCGGCGAAGTGGAAAGCGAAAGTGACGAGGAAGATGATCACATCTTCGAAGAGGACGACGACGATGAAGGGGATGAGGGCCCGGTCGGTGGCGATAGCGACGACGATACCCAGCGTTCTGAAGAAGACACTCACAACGAGCGCATGGATGAAGAGGAAGAGGAAGCAGAGGATCCAGATGTGGTAACTTTAAACTGACGTTCTCATTTGTTTCAGACGATCGACGAACGAGCGTTAGAGCATCCACCATCTCCGGATCGCCTAGCTGCCGGCCAGGCGGAAGACCAACCAATGCCCGAGGCTGTTGAGAATGACGTGTTGGTCGTGGATGACGAAGAAGTGGAGCCTCACGAAGAGAATGTATTTTATTATTTGTCCTGCGTAGCTATTGATCCCCAGGTCGAAAATGACGTTGAAGAAGAGGAGCCCAGCGATATGGATGATGATGAGGACGATGAAGACGACTACCCTGAAGACATCATTCACCGCCTTTACGACGAGGTCAGGGTAAAATTAGAACCTAGTTGTCATGCGTTTGTTACAGGACTTTGGACGCGAATGGGCGCCATGGGAAGGTGTGTTCCGCGACCAAATGGACATCGATGGCATCGGAGGCTTCCCGATGCTCCACGGCCCTCCGCACCGTCTCAACGTAACTATCTCTTATCAAACAATATCTTTTTGTTAGAATCCATCCAACCGTGCTCAGGACCATCCATTGCTGACTCGGCCAACCGCAGTCCCGGTCGAGCCCGCCCGTGCCAATGTCACCGATCGCATTGCCCAGCGCCTGAACCACATTGAGCGCTTGATTCCACGCTTTGCGGTAATAGAAATCGGACTCCAAAGATTGCCACTTCAGGGAGGCAATCTTCAACGTGGCAACGCGTTGCGCCACCGCATCGACCCGATGCTGATGGAGGATATGCGCACGCTGGGTCTCCGCCCGATGTTCGAAACGCGCATGCTCGAACGGCCTCTATTTGCTATGGTGGTAGGCATGCATTGTATTTCACCGCCCGCTATTTTTCAGACGGGCCATGGAGGACATGCTGATGGCTTCTTGACGCCAACGGGTGTCAATGGTGGTGACCGCCGATGGGCCCATGCCTCCACCGCCCTGGAGCGTCTTGCCGATGGCGTCCGGCTTTTGGAGCCGCTCTCCGCTCAGTACCTGGCCGTTCTTGTCAATGCCATCATTGTCCGTAAGGCCGACGCTAAAGGCAAAGCGGATAAACAGGCGAAGGCGGTACGTGGCTGAAGGTCTAGATTTTATTCCCTGTATCAGGCTAACGAAAAGAAGGGCGACGAGGTTTTGGGTCTTGCGCAACTCGTCCAAGAGGCTGTAGCCCCTGTCGAAGAAGAAGCGATGGATACTCAAGAAGTGCCCGTCGTAACCGCCGTTGTGGATACTCAAGCCGCTGAAACCTCGGCAGTTGACCAGCCGTTGCCCTCCGAGGTTGTCGATCAGGTAAAAACGGTCTTGTTAAGGCTTAATATAATTTTAGGATGTCCCAATGGCAAGTCCACCAATCGAGCCGGCTCCCCAGGCGATGGAAGTATCTTCCGAACCACCAGTCGATGCTGCCGCTCCAGTTGACAGGCCGCCGGCCACAACACCAACCCCACATGATGATGAGGAGCCAATGCAAGAAGACCCGCCGGCTACACCTACCCCAGAGCAGAGCGATTCTGACGGCCCAGTCGACGTGGAAGCGACGACCCCATCGACCACCGATGAACCACCGGCCGGAACGGGAATGATCCGCGTGCCCGAAGAGTACCGTCATATCCTTGGCGACATTGAGATCCCCGAGGGCGTCGACGTGGAGTTTATTGCGGCTCTCCCTGAAGAACTTCGCCAGGAGGTTTTGCGTGACCATGAACGCCAGCAGCGAGCTCAGCGCGCTGCCCAGGCCCCACCACCTGCCGTCGCTGCAGCCGCGGTGGAGACGGGAGGCATCGCTCCTGTCGACCAGGAGTTCCTCGCCGCGCTTCCGCCAGAGATCCAGGAGGTTTGTTGTTTTCCATGACGGTCGCAGGGTCTTAGTAAAACAAGCAACAATTTATTTGCGCTTTCTGTTTCGACCTATACACCCGACTTTAGGAAATTCTCGCTCAACACGAACGTGCGGTTCGCAATGCTCAAGCGGCTGCCAACCCGCCTGCCAATCCGCCGCCCGTGGACAACACCGATCATGCCGTTGCTTTCCTCGAAAGCTTGGGTCCTGGCCTCCGATCTCAGGTAAATTGATTTTTCGAAGACGATCTTGCTTTAGATTCTCTCGGACGCAGATGATAGCATGCTCGCGATTCTTCCAACAGCCGTAGCCGAAGAGGCTCGTCGACTCCGAGCACGTTATGAACAAGAGGTAAACCTCCATTCTCACCTTCATCTGTTTCAGCGGCTTGTTCGAATCCAGCAGCGTCTCATCCCAGCGGGTGGGCCTGCTCGCCGTCATATTATTCCGGGTCGGCTGGGACATCCGATGGTTCCAGGAAATGCTCAGCCGCCGAATGAAGCGAGAACTGCCGATTCAAATGCTGTTCAGGTAAAGGCATGATTGATTTCACGAAACGATATTTTTATTTTGGAGGGGTTTGCTACTCTATTAGAGAATTGAGCATTCTTTAGATTCTGGATCGTGACGCCCTCGTCGTGTTGGCTTCTCTCTTCTTCATCGACAATCCACGCTTCAGCACCAACCGCCTATATAAGGTACCTCACGGCCGTTTTATAGATTTTCGGTTTTTAGGTGGTCCGCTCGCTTTGTAGCCACCCAGCGACTTGCGACTTCTTTGTTTGGTCGATGCTCTCTTTGCTCGAAAAGATGCTAAACGCATGTGAAGAAGATGAACAGGCGCCATCGAACACAGCCGAAGCTTGGACCGATACCTTCTCCTATTCCGGTGGTACCGATCCTGCATTGCGAATGGCTGCAGGTTTGCTTATTTCGGGTTTTCAAATCCTTTTTAGACGGCTCCTCTGTCTGGGTCCACCCTCAAGCCGCGCCGGTCGTTGCGAAATGCATCCTCGAAGCTCTCATCAATCTCAGCAAAGCGCTGCCAGGACATTTTCTATCGACGCAGCTGCGCAGTGATTGCAAGGCGCAGGCTACGGTCTCCGATGTTCCCTTGGCGAGCAAGTTCTGGAAAATCGTTGCTGAGCTCGGGCAGAAGAAATTCCATGGAAAGGTTTGTGGTTCTGGAATTGCGTCAAACTTTGTTTAGGAGCCGCAGCTGAACGAATTCCGGTATGCTCAGTTGGAGCATTCTCCTCTTTCCTACTTACTGCAAATGCTCGAGTCGCCAGTGGCAATGTCAAACGTGGAGCTTCAGGTCGGTTGATGCTTTTCCGCCTGTAATTCAGGTTTAGGGCAAGCTTCTGAAGACCTGCGCCCAAGTTTTCAACACCCTACCCAACGACACCAGCGCACGTTTGAGCTCTACAAAATCGGCTAGTCTTTCCTCCCAGCTGGCCACCGTCGTACGACTCGTTACCGAGGCCAAATGGGCGAACGAAACTCTTCAGGTATCGGAATATTTCTAACTGGTATATGGGTTATAGGATGCTCGGACCATACTTGTCGATGCCATCAGGGCTCTTGGCCCCTCGACGACAACGTTCATCTTTGATCAGCTCTACAAAAATATCGAAAAACAAGCACGCCTTCTCATTCCACAGATCTCGCTCCTCGTTACCCAGCTGACCACAGTGGTGCGTTTTCCTCCATTTATTTTTTATTCTGGCTTTTTTTAGAAGCCCTCGTCCGAAACGGAAGCCACCCCGGAAACTGACAGCCCTGAAACCTCAAAGGCGGTCCTCAACCGCGGCGTCCGCGTCCAAGTCAATCGCTACGATGGGGATCGAGTGGTTGTTGAGGGTGACACCACCGGCCGTTCATTGGCAGCCGCTTCATCCTGTATTGAGCTGCAGCTCCCTGCTGTCAGCGCTCTAACCGACAAGACTGGAGCCCAGTACTCACTGCTTCAAGGCCTGCAGACCGTGTGCAAAATCCGCGATCTGCTGCGCGTTCTGCGGACCAAGCGTCAAGAGGAAGTCGATGCCCGCAAAAAGAAAGAGGAAGAGGAGCGAAAGAAGAAGGAGGCTGAGGAGAAGAAACAAAAAGAGGAGACGGAAACCGATGGAAAAGATGCTGGCAATCAAGATGGCACTGACGCTGGCGCCCCGACTTCCGCAGCTGCTGAGGTAAACATTTGACAGAGTCCTTCAAGCTTCATGCTTTAGGCAACCCCTGCTCCTCGTGTGGTTCAACCGGAGGCTGCTGAGCGACCTTCTACAAGCGGAATAGCCCCAGCTGACTTGACGGCGACAGAGCCTGCCCCAATGCTCGAGATCTTTGAAATTGACGAGCGTCTCAGTTCCCGGCTCGAGGTTGAGATTTGCCTTGTAATATTTATTTGGGTTTAGTCGATACATACCCTCTGGCCTCTCGTTTCGACTTGTCTGGAACGTCTGGGTCGGGCCAGTGATCCGCATGCCGTTTTGGCCCTACAACCGGTTGCTGAAGCTTTCTTCCTCGTCCACGCCGTGCACAGCTCCAATCCTGCAAACGACCACGAGCATCCCGACACCAAAAACCTGGTCCAATTCGCAGGTAGCCTTAGATTCTTTGGTTAGGAGCTACTTTTTTCAGAGCAACATCGCAGCGTCCTCAACCAGGTGCTCCGACAAGATCCGTCAGCCCTTGCAGACGGAGGGCCGTTCACGGTTCTTACCCAGTTCCCAAAGCTTCTCGACTTCGACGTCAAGCGCAAATACTTCCGGAAACAGCTGGCAAAGGGAGAGGACCCGCGCGCATACCGTCGAGATGATGTCGCTATCCGTGTGCGTCGCTCCCAAATCTTCTCCGAGTCCTACCGCGAGTTGTTCCGTCTGAGCCCGGCCGACTGGAAGCATCGCTTCTACATTGTTTTTGATGGTACGTATCTAAACTTCATTTTTCCTCAGAATAGCCTGTATCCTTTCCGTACCATCCATTTTTCAGGCGAAGAAGGTCAGGATGCAGGCGGTCTGTTGCGGGAATGGTTCTCGGTCATCACCAGGGAGATCTTCAATCCCGACTACGCTCTCTTCATCACTTCTCCCGGAGACCGTGTCACCTACATGATCAACAGGGCTTCCTGGGTTAACCCAGAGCACTTGGATTATTTCAAGGTGATTTCCCTTATTGCGGATGTCTAAATTTCTTTAGTTTGTCGGACGTATCATCGCGAAGGCGGTGCATGATAACAAGCTCCTCGACTGCTACTTCACCAGGGCCTTCTACAAGCATATCCTCAATCTACCCGTCCGCTACCAAGACTTGGAGAGTGAGGATCCGTCCTTCTACAACTCCTTGCGCTATATTCTGGACAATCCGATCGATAACCTCAGCCTTGATCTCAATTTCACCCTCGAGGTAATCGATTTTTTAATTACCTGAACTTCTAAATAAGGTCACCGAATTCGGCGTCACTGAATCTCGCGATCTGAAAGAAGGCGGTAGCGGTATCCCGGTTACGGATGAAAATAAAGAGGAATACGTCAAACTGGTTTGCCAGGTTTGTTACCCGTTTGTCGTTCCTCATAACGCAACCTCCAGATGAAAATGACCAGCGCGGTCCAGAAGCAGCTCAAGGCGTTCCTTGATGGGTTCTACGACATCATTCCAAAAACGTTGATCTCGATGTTTAACGAGCAGGTTTCTAGCACTTCCCGTTAAAAATTATCCCTCCTAGGAACTTGAGCTATTGATTTCTGGCCTGCCCGAAGTGGATATTGACGATTTGTCGGCGAACACGGAATACCGTGTCTACACGAAGACCAGTCCGCAGATTCAATGGTTCTGGCGCGCTCTACGCTCGTTCGATTCCGAAGACCGTGCCAAGTTCCTGCAATTTGTCACGGGAACCAGCAAGGTTGGAATTTCACATTTGGTCCGATATTTTAAAATGATAGGTTCCACTGCAAGGATTCGCCTCTCTCGAAGGGATGAATGGCGTCCAGAAGTTCTCGATCCACATGGACTCTCGCAGCGGAGACCGTCTTCCAGCCGCTCATACGTGGTATTCGCAAATTTCCAGCGCTAATTTTTGTTGTAGCTTCAACCAACTCGACTTGCCAACCTACGATTCGTATGAGAAGCTGCGCCAGCACCTCCTCACCGCCATCCGCGAGTGCACCGAAGGCTTCGGATTCGCTTGAAACTCTCCACGCAATATTATTCCCCTTTTCGATTCCGATTTATTCTGTGCCCTGTTTACCCCATGTCCATATCGATTAAATTAAGAGTTGTGTATATGCTTTATGGCTCCCGGTACCTTGTTAGTAAAAAAATGCCACTTCCCCCCAAAACGTGGTCAATGCTCTCCTCTCCCCCATTTTCATGCTTTTGTCTGCGGGTCCTCTCGGTGGATTGACCGTATGTGCACTTGGACTGTGTTGCGGTTTTAAAATACACGGTGGTCAAATGATCGTATTTTGTGATGCGCCGTATTTATGAATAAACATTTAGATTTTAATTCTCGTTCAAGTCGATGTGCTTGTGGTTTTCCGTTTTTTGTCTTATTTCCTTCTCGCGACAACGTCATCCACTATTTGTACAGATATGGCTTCCCCATGGCTACTGGCCTCTAGGCGAATAAGTGGGCTATTAGGATCGCGCAACAATTTTTGTCAGGTTTGTAATCGCCTGGGTCCGACATTTTCTGCAGGTTGGCCCAGGGACAAGTCGACGTCTTCAATCTGGGACTCCGCCTGAACCACAAGCACAGCAGGTATCCCAACCACCAAATGCGCCTGCGTGTGGGGCCGTAGCGCTCAAAGCCCGGCTTTTGCTGGCGCATTCCTAGCGTGTATTCCGCGACGATACTATCCCTGTCCCAATTCCGCGCGCTTGTTGGCTCCGGACCGCTCGGAAGATTTGTGGTTTCTAAGAGTTTATTAAAATTAAATCTTTGCTGTGTGTTGCGAACTTTCTGCGTGCTAATCTCGTTTTATAACGTTTAGAAAGCCGGGCAGCTTGCAAACAAGGACCTTCATCGCTCGATCCTCGAAGAAGTTCTTATCCATGAGAAGAAAAAACCGACAACTTTCACGGGAAAGGTAGGATGCTGCTAGTTTTACCGATTCCCTAATTTAGGCTGCTGAGAAAGCGACAAATACGTTCCTCTATGCTGCGGTGGCATCATCAGTGGCCCTCATAGGGGCTTTTGCTTATTTCCTGGTGCAGGAGTTCTTCTCTCAGGACAGCCCTCAGTATATATTTACCAAGTTGGTTTCACTTTCTCCGCATTATATTGTTTTATAGAGCCTTGAACATGGTGCGCGCTGACCCACGATGTGCCGATCTTTTCGGGGACAGCATCAAAGGATTTGGCGAGGAAACCTCTCGCGGGCGCAGGAGGCATGTAGCTCATCACAAATATTACAAAGATGGGAATGAACGTATTCGCGTCATGTTTCATCTAAAGGTTTGTACCATTCTCCTAGTCATCGAATGCTTCCAGGGAGCCAACGGCGAAGGAATATGCCAAGTGGAACGGGAGCAGCGTAATGGTGAATGGGATTACAGGTTTGATCGGTAACTTTGCATCATCGGTTTGTATCTCCAGGTTTCTCTATGTGGAGCAGAAAAGTCCTCATCGTGTTACTCATGTGTTGATCGACAACCGTACGGATTAGAATAAATCTTCTTGCGTCTTTTAGAATAGGAAAGCGAAGATTTTTATTTTTGTTCTTCTTGCCTGTTGCGAATAAATTTTTGTCATTTGTTTGTGCTCTCAATATTCCTGCGTCGTTTGCGCAACTTACTTTTTGTGAATGTCGGTTGCCTTCTAATGTAATTTTTGTTTGCTTTTGTAGATGTCTGGGGTACAACGTCACCCGAACACCGTCGTGCTTCCCGCGCCGATCCAGGTTTCGCCGCTGATCCGCGCTGCTCGATGGGGTGCCCTGGGACTTGGCATTCTTTGGGGTTTGTTGCTACTTTTCAGTTGTTGGAATTGCTTTTGGGGGGCATCTTTTTTTGGAGGTTTTTTCCGGTTTAAGCTTGTCTCCAAGTCTAAGCTAACCAAGCCAAGCCCAGCCTAAGCATAACCTAAGCCAAGCCTAGGCTTAAGCCCACTCCTAAGCTAAGTCTAGAACAAGCCTAAGCTAGGGCTGGGCCAAGCCTAAGCTAGGCCTAGACTAAGCCTAGACTCGGTCTAAGCTAAGCCGAAACCAAGCCTAAGTTAAGCCTAGGCCCAAGCTAAATATAAGCCAAACGTACGCAAAGTTAAAGCTAAGGGCGCCAAGAAAAGATGCCCCCCCCCAACATCAATAGCTCCCAGTTGTTGACTAAAATTCAGGTTTGGAAGACATTTGCTTTCGTTAGCGTTTCGTGAGCTTGTTTTATCGGATTGTTTCCAGGAGCCTACCGCCTATCGGTGATCCGAGAGCATCACGCCGATCTCCGTGAGTGGGAGCACGATAAGGCCGTCGTCAAGGCGCAGGAAGCGGCTAAGGAGAAGAAGTGGCTGGCCAAGGATGAGATGCGCTACCTTATGAAGGTAATTCTTGCATTTTTGCTCGTCAATTGAACTTCTAGACGATCGGCATTCCGTTCGAGGAGGGAGTTGCTCAGTTCGGTGTCCAGGACCTCTACAGGGACGAATAGATTATCGATTGGAATGTCTTATATAATTCCGCTGTAGTGTTTTTCGTGTTTAACTTGTAAACAGAGAACAGAGAATAAATTTTTTACGCGCAGTTCTGATGAACACCACAATACACTTGAGAGCTTTTTGCTTCCGATTTTTGCGAATTCCGGTAGAATCATGGATGGCAGAGCTATAGATGACGGTGTCGCATGAAGAGGTGATGTGTGGCGATGGTTTTACAATAGTGGCAAAGAAAAAGAGCGGTAGATCAGGTAGTCCTTGGATGTCTAGAGGATCATGGTTGTAGGCCGCGTCGTTCGTCCGATCCGCCCCGCTGGCTCTTCTTGTGAGATTGACGCAGCCCTGGAAAAGGCTTTTCGCCTTGTATCCGATGATGGGATTGCGTAAGGACAAGGTTGCGCCTCCTAAGATCTCGGTATTTTAGCGAATGGCTCTGGACACATCTTTCCAATTTGTTGTCCAGTTTATCTACAGAACACAGCAGTTCAAGATCTAAATCATGTAGGCTAGTGATTTTTAGAAAATCTCGTGATTTACAGTTCGTGTCATCGTGCTGGGCAACGGTCACTTCGATGCACCGTGGGAAGCCGGCGCTCACCAGCTGGCTGTTGCCTCCTATATTGCGAGTAGGCTCGACGCCGTGGTGGAGATGCAAGTAATTCGTGCCTTCATGCCGGCAAAACAAATTTCAGGACCCGTGCTTCAGCCAAGAAGAGATCGGCTGGCTGAATGACAAACCGGGTTACCATCATATCACAAATGTTGAGAAAGGTAGTAAGAAAGCGGCTTCTTAGTAGAGATTATTCCAGTTGTGACATCACACGATCGTACAGTGATTTTCTGCATCCATGCGCCACACACGGTCCTTAATAATTTGTTGAAAAGCAACTGGACGGCAGAAGTAAATCCCCTTTTGGCTCCCGTAGAGTGTTATAGCGCCTGAACCGGATGCTGCTGATCGGCAACGATTACAAAAGTGTCAACCTCGCTACGCAATCTGCTGGCCCAGACGGAGATTTATCATGGATCAGTTGCTACGCACAACGGTACTGTTCTCAGCGAGGTATAACAGATAGATTTAGGTGTGAGAGCACCCCGCTCCCGAGCTACAGCTTGAATAAAACCTTCTTTCACGACACAAGTGTTTCGTTCTGGCCAAATATTCAGGTATCTTTGCCCTCCCACCGCGCTGTAACACAATTTCCGGTTCCAGGATGCAGATCTGCGTTTGAGTTGACTTTGACGCCCAATCCATGACCGCCGAGCCTTGGTACCTTTCTCAGCCCATGTTGTACGTTTCACCGTTGTTTTGTTAGTAAATGTTTTGAGCCCCGTGCCACATTCATAGCAAGAACCCCAAAAGACTCGCTTACGGTTTTCCATTGTCATTCGCTTGTATAATCATCCGTTGGGTGCCATGGTTTAATCAGACCGCCGACTTTTTCTGTTGCTTTCCGAGCTACGCGTCTCTGACTCTATCAAATAAGCAGCCAGGATATTATAAAGGATAAAACCTTTCGTTTTCAGTCGGAAATTACGACTTTGACATTTTCAAGATTTGCTAGCTTTTGTACGTAGCATTACACCGGACACTTCGTTTCTACCGTAGCGCTGGCGTGTACGGTCCTATAACGCACACCTACACGGTTCTGCTTTTTCCGTAATCGTTTCCTTTTCATATACTCTCCAATCACCTGCGCAAATCTCTGATTTTGCTACTTTTCCCCCTTATGTAAAGACTTGGGGTTGAGGCTTTTGAAAACTAATGTTTCGTGGCTTCTTTTTCTTTCTTTCTGCGCTATATCTTTTTTTTTCTAGCCAACGGCCATGTTCTGCAGCGACTTCGAATCTACCGCATCGGATCGCGACGTTAGCGACGAGCCTGTCCCGACCCAGCCCGTCGTCAGCTACGAGTCCAATGATGTCGAGATCATTGAGGACCCAGACATTGTCTTCAAGACGTTCTTCCCGAACGCTGACCAAGGCGCCGGTGAGAATGTGCCGCGCCCATTGAATGCTGACATCAAACCTGAGCCCAATGACGAGGAAACATTCATCGACATTACTGGCGAGGCGACTGCGAAGGCAGCGCCCATTTCGGCGGTTCAACGCAATGACCTGAAGAGAAGGATGGTGGATGAAGACAGCGAGGACTCTGATAACCAGCAAACTGCCCAATTGGATGAGCACGGCGAACAATTGTACGATGTCGAGGCTATCATCGCCAAGCGTAAAAAGCGCAATCGTGTCGAATACCTCGTGAAATGGAAAAACTACGATGAGGAGACTTGGGAACCAACGCCGCACTTGCGCTTTTGCAAAGATGCGATCGCTGCATTTGAACGGATGAAGAAGCAGAAAAAGGCTAGGTGGGACCATTCCGTCGTTTTATGATTTTGAGTTCAGGAGCACGCCGTCATCAACGCGGGCCACCCGCAGTTCCCCGGCCTCCGGTCGCTCTACCAATGCCAGTGCGCCGCCGAAGAAGGCTTTGCCGCGTTCACCTTGGTATTACTCTCACGGTTTTCTTAGTTTGAGTTTAGGAAGACGCCCTTCTCAGCGAGCCCCGTCACCCGCAGGACCCGGGTTTCCACGTATGACGCAGAGGGATTATATGATTTTGCTTGTAGAAACACGCCCGCATCGCCTCGCCGTCCGACCAAAGGCGCTTCGACAAAAAATGCCGCAAAGTACGTTTCTTTTTGCAAATTTTATTTTTCTTATTGAGGAACCCATCACTGGTGAAGATTGACAAGATTTCCTTCGACCAGAAGGAACCGATCGTCCATCTTGCCTCGGGTGCAGACATGCCGGTGAAGAAGGCTCGCCTCGACAATTCAATGGAGGCCGCGATGCTCGACTGGACTCTAGCGGCCTTGAACAAAATTAATAACGTATTTGTCTAGCTCCCGCATCTCGCCTCTTTATTTTACCAATTTGTTGTTTGATGTTATCATACGATAAACCTTGTTCGTGTTATATGCAGTTCCTCCAATAGACGTCTTGTGCATCCGGATTCTTGATTAATACGATGTTGGGACAGCCCTATAAGGTATTAGATGTGGGGTGAAGTCGGGCATAGTGCGGCCCTACTCGCTGGCCGCGCAACACAGTTTCTGTCGAGGAGGTCGCTGCCGAAGGCTGTGAATTTACCTAGGTATCTCGTGTCGTTGTATAATAACATATGGCGCTTAGGTATTTATGGGACATGGATGACCTCGATAAGAAGTCTAATGGCGAATATACTCACAAGCCTCTGCAGATCAACAGGTGATTGTCGTGTCTTTATTGTTATTATCTTCATAGACTTGGCGGGCGTCACCCTGAAACCGGTCGCAAAATCAATCAACACATCGGTGGCGGCCACAAATTCGATTATTTTATGGTCGATTTCCATAGACGCGGACCGGCCGCCGAAAATGAATTTTACGAAGAACGTGTCCTCGAGGTAACATTGGGATCGCTCAAGCTAAAATCGTCTAGGTTCGACGTGATGCGAACCGTTCTTCACACATCGCTCTACTAGCTGGTGCCAAGGGCAAACGATGGATTTTGGCGACCGAAAACATGAAGTGGCGCTTTCATGCGATTCATTTTGTTTTGGTATTGCAGGGCCGGCCAGATTCTGACTACCACTTGCTACATTCCCGAAAATCCTTTGATAGGCCGTGAGGGATGTGCATATCCGTTGGGCGCATTGGCTGTTGGCACACAAGTTAACAGGTTCACGGTTCACGGCTTGTTTTTACCCATTTTACTATTTAGCATTGAACGACACCCAAATTATGAAAGTGATTCCTTTGTGAAGGGAGCTGGTGAGGTGGCCACGATCGTTCGCCACCAGGAAGATTATACGATTATCAGGGTGAGGTCGTTCAAAAGTTTTTTTACATGGAAATCTAGATGCCTTATAAGCACGAATACTCGATACGGCGCGAATGTATGGCAACCGTCGGACGTCTGTCTCACGGCGAATTTAAAGAGAAGATCTACGGCAGTGCAAACATGCATCGGCGCTTCGGGTTAGAATCACTGCAGTCTTTTGAGCGTTGTTTAGGTATAAAATGTCGAGCGGCCTTTTCCACAAGAAGGATGGCTACTGCGGCAGAAAGGTCAATTCATTTCATCTTACTATGGACTCGTTGTTTTAGAATCGTCCCGATCCCCCAGTTCGTGTGCTCGAGCAACCACCGGATGCGGAACCGGAGAAGCAAAAGTTTACGCTGACCAACGATCAACTAACCGGATTGTATGGACACGCGAAGGTGCACAACCTTCTTCCTTCCGGCTATTCCGGGCGACCATATCCCGACTAGTTAGGCACATGTATTGATTTTGAAGCTTTGTTTGGTTTTAATTTAGTGTTTTGAAGATAAAATCCGTTTAATCCCATTCGTTTTTCGGACACAACCAGTCATCGAATTTCCGGTGCTTATCAGAGGTCGTTTTACATTTCTCATCCTGCGCTATCAGTTCTGCCAGGGTTCTGGGAGGATGCTGCCTTTTCGGCACTATACGCCATGCTCTATTTTTTGCTCATCGGCCTAGTTGTTGGCTCATCTCTGGCTGCGACTCCTTGCAAGAACCAGGATTACGACAGGCTGAAGAATGGGAAATGTTATAGGGTGAGCAAATTAGAAAACCCCGGAAATTTCCTTAGCTTCACAAGACCCCCGTTGACTATCCGAGTGCTGCGGGAGGTTGTCGCCTAACGCATGGGAAGTTGGCTGTAATTCACAATTACACAGTCGGTCTTCAGCGGCTATTTCTTGAAAGTAGTGATTAGGACAATACCGAGGTTGGAGTCTGGTCGGCCGGCTGGAGCGCCCCGGAAGTTTGGATCGGGTTGGTCTGTCCGACGCTTGACACTTGTAAGTGGCAGGATGGTACCGACTTGGATTATACGAACTTCGATGGTAAGGGGTACATATGTTATCTAAATTGTATTAGACACCCCGCCAAACCTGAATAAGGGAACCTGCTTCTACATGGAGGCCGGGAAAGTTACGCTGACCACCTACAATCCGTGGCAAAACGACGATTGTGCCGTGCAACGGATGTTCATTTGTGAATCAATCATTGACGGTCAGCTGGCCCTGAGGATTCGCTTTGTTGTAGCTTTTGCTTTTGTTAACATTTTGCCTTCTAGCAGCTGCATTATTTAGAACCGGCAATCAGTACCGTTGCCCCGTTCACAACACCGCCTGTCACTCAAGCTTGCGGAAAGTAGGTTTCCACTACTCGCAGAAGATAATAGATGTAGTTACGAGTCTTACGGGAATGCGTGCTACAACGTGGGCCGAACCCGAATGGGGCCGGGTGACGCTGAATTGGCTTGTGTCGCCGATGGTGGCCATCTGGTTAGCATCCACGACTCGCAGGTTGAAAATAGTGAAGTTAGACATGGCGGTGATATTCAGACCAACGATTATGTCTATGGGCTTCTACAGAGAAGCGGTGGACAGGTTGCTGCCTGGATTGGGCTCAGGCGCCTTTCTAATGGAGTTGATATCTGGACTGATGGCACGCGCAAAGACTATGATATGGTACCCGGTAAGAACACAAAAACCCAGCTTCAACGCTTGCAGCCGGCCTTGCCGTGCCGTCCCCATCGTCTCTCTCCATTTCCGGAACCCCTGATCTGCTCCCCAAGCAATGGATACCTGAAGCCGCCAATGCCACGCTACCCTACGTTTGCAGGAGACCAGCAAATTTCTAATAATGTTTTATTATTTATGTACACATGTGTTTTGCGGATAAGAACACAAAGATGTTTGGGCAAACAGGGTATAATCACATTAAACCAGGGGGTTACTTTGGTCGAGCGAATTGATGCGAATAAACGGAAGAAAGGCTTACTGTTCGCGGGCCTTTCCAAAAGATCACAACCAAGATATCACAGGGAACAACGGATAAATTTTTGCTCTAGTGTTGCCGGGTGATGTTGCTGAGTTCGTCAACGCTAAAAAAAGAAGAGTTATACTAGGCGGGCTTCACTTACGTATGTCCAAATTTGATATGGATTATTATGAATATTACTCCCAATAGTATCGCGAGCGAGCCGACCACCTAGAATCAATAAGAATGCGGTAACCAAAAGGCTCTTACTAAGTAGGCGACGCCAAGGAATCCGTTTTTCCCTCCTGCCCAAGAGGTCGTTGACATGATAAACTCCTTCTGGCCACCGAACGAAGCAACCGGATAATCTAAACCAGGAGTATACGAAGACAAGAATATCCTACAGTTCAAGACTCGCAGCGTGTAGTCACCGGCTGGTAACCCATTCGGGAAGTACTGATCGGGCGCATGGGTTCTAAATATCGAGATTCTGCTAGATTTCGGCTGAACCTCCAGAGCTTCCGGAAATTCGGCAGCGCCGCTGTCCGCATCCATACTATGAAATCAACATTCGTCATGCCATCTTCCATCTCACAAATCGGTTTTGGCCAATTCGGGGGTTTCGCCGTATTCTGAATATCAAGACAATATCAGATTTTGAGCACGATTACCTCATAGCCACCGCCGTTGCACTGCATTGCACTGGTCCAGCCTTCAGGATTTTTGAATTTCCGCTGCTCATCCACTTCCCAAACGACGCCAGCTTTTGAAAATTGAACTTGCCGTCCGTCGCGGGCTAACAGGATGAAAGTGTCTAAAAATGACATCACGTTATTTCATCATTTCTAGAAAAGGCGCGGAAGTGCATATAAAACTCATGGGCATAAAAACACACCATTGAACATAGAGTTGGCAATCGCGCCGCAGGGGACGATGTTCTTTCCGCTCGCGTCTTTGTCGTAGGGATCACACTCCGACACTTGCTAAAAAGAAGTTCTTGTAAAATCAATTCGGGTTTCTGCATACGTCTAATTTCCCCAAGTATTGCTGGTCGTTGCGATTCTTCACATATCGTCGGTGATTTTGGTAGAAATTGGACAAGTAGTAATAGAAGTACACAGATCCCTAGAATTCCTGTGAAAATCCGCCGGAATGATTTACCGTCATGTCCTTGGGAATCGTAAACGGCACATCGCACGTTGCTAATGAAGTTGGAGGCTGAATCGCACACTGATCGTACGGCACTCGCACCTCGACAACTAAAAAAAATATCTAAAACGTCATAAAAATAATAGCACCTGAATCGCTGGCGAGGTACAGCGCGATGCCAATTGGAATGAACACAATGCCGACACAGAAAACAGCGGGGATGACAGTGGTTGCAGTCATGATGGGCTGCCATGCTGGTAGCCTCTGTTGTCGTAATGCCGACGCTGAAAATGAGGAATTATTAGGGGCTACTGTCAACCAAATTTTTTGCGACTTCTTGCAAGCAGGCAAGAAAAATTCAATAAATGTTTACCCGGCGGCTTTTCTCCCTTCGTTGAAAAGAAACAAGACATTTTCGTCGGAACTGGCTAAGCCGGCCCATAGGGACTAGCAACCAAACCCATGGTTACATACAAGCGAAATGGATGCGCTAATCTCCAGGACAATAAGACCAGGAAAGACTACCTTTTGGTCGATTCTTCAAAACCTTCTCCTCAGGTTGTGGTGTGCTCGTGGCTGCAACATCGCTCGTCCCTCCATTATTCCGCCGTCTCACCTCGTCGCCGGCCATTCGCTAAATTTATCATTTATTCTACGCTAATTGTTCTCTAGCACCGAATTGAACTATTTAGAAGCGACTGTGACAACGTATGGCAAGCTGAGAAACTCACAAAGGGACTACCGGAAGTATTACACATACAGTTATAAGACTGGAGAGGTATACACGATGAAATTACAGAGGCATTACACACAAATAAAAATAATGGGTGTGTAGCAAGATGTTTAAGCAGAGCGAGCCTTGATGATCTTGATGAAGTCGGGCTTCAGCGAGGCTCCTCCTACGAGGAACCCATCGATGTCGGGTCGGGTGGCCAGATCGTTGCAGTTGTCAGCCGTGACCGAGCCGCCGTAGATGATTCGAGTCGAGGCGGCCATTTCCTCGGATACCTTCTCCTTGAGGAATTGTCGGATCCAGTCATGGACTTCCTGGGCTTGCTCCGGGCTGGCAGTCACTCCAGTACCAATGGCCCACACCGGCTCGTACGCGATCACAATGCGGCTCCAATCCACGTTCTTGGCGACGATGGCCTCCAACTGGCGGAAGTTGACTTCCTTGGTCTTGCCGGCCTCGCGTTCCTCCAATTTCTCGCCGATGCAGAAGATGACATTGATGCCGGCTCCAAGGGCGTGCACCGTCTTGTCCGCAATCAAATCATCCGTTTCACCGAAGACATGACGGCGCTCCGAATGGCCGAGGATCACCCACTCGAGCCCGAGGTCCTTGATCATGGCCGGTGAGATTTCGCCGGTGAACGCTCCCTTCTCAACCTTGTAGCAGTTCTGGGCGGCCACCTTGGCTCCGCACTTCAGATGTTCCTTCACGTAGGTCAGGTAAGGGGCGGGTGGGGCGACAACGACGTCCACGTCTCCGCAGCAGCCACAGTCCTTGAAGAAGTCGAGGATGCCGTCGATCGACTTCTTGTCGCCGTTCATCTTCCAGTTGCCGCCGACAAAGAACTTGCGCCCGGTCATTTTGCTCTGAAAGTGGATATGAGTGAGGGGTTGTTGAAATGTTATTTTGAGACAGATAGGAAAGTGGCGAATAACGGAAAATTTGAAAATAAGGTAGAAAAGTGTATAAATCAATAAGATATGGGTATTTATGTTTTCATGCAGTGGGCTGTTACGAGTCAAAAGTTGGTCGCGCAGCGGGCGCGGTATCAACAAGTCGCTTCGTCATGGAATTCGGGCGCTACAAACGCCGCCTATTGACGGAGTTCAGCCGGAAAGGCGCAGAGAACCGGCCTCTGCCGAACTCAACCAACTTCCAAAAGCATGTTTGGCAAAAAATTCTGCATAAAAAGGTGCCGACTAGCATTGGTATAATAATTCAAATAACCTTTCCAAATTAAATACAAACCATTCACGGCTAAACGCTTGTTCCTCCGCGATCATGATTGCGACATTTCCACCACAAATTTTTTTATCTTTCGCGATCTTTTTCGACGCACATTTAATGTAGATTACTCTACAGAGCCTGGCGAACATTTTCATATACTTTACAGCCATGTAGGGCAAAGGAGAGTCGCGTTACAAAACTGACCGAAAAATCATGACCGACTGGGAGGGTCCTAGAGTTTTGGTCTTTTGCCATTTTCCGATTAGTGTGAAAATATGACAGAATTCACCTCATTCTCGTTTGCCGATTACATTCACCTGCTCTTTTCACCCATTACATTTTCAGATGCTCTCAATCGTGGGTAAGGGGGCCACGTGCCGGGCTCTCCAGCCGAGCACGGTCCTCGGGCTCCAGCATATCAACCTAAGCACCAATGCTCCGGCAAAACCCGAGCCGAAGGTCAGCGGGCAAATGGCGGCGTTCAGAAAGGTATGCTTTGCCAGTTTTTGGGATATTTGTAATTAGGGAAACGGCGGCAGGGCCTCTTTCTCGGGCAACGTGGTCACCGTCTTTGGTTCGACGGGCTTCCTCGGCCTTCCAGTCATCAACCGGCTGGCGCGTCAAGGCAACCAGATCATCATCCCTTACAGGTGCGAATTCTTATTAGTGCTAACAGACAGGAATTGTTTAGGCAAGATCCCTACTACGTGCGCGAGCATAAGGTCGTCGGTGAACTAGGGCAGATCCTGTTCTTCCCGTTCGAGCTCAAGGATGACGAGTCGATTCGAAAGGCCGTCAAGTACAGCAATATTGTCATCAACCTCGTCGGCACCACTGCTCCCACGAAGTGAGAAAAATATTGGCTTTGCTAACCTGGTTTAGAAACTACGACTATTACGAGACGCACGAGAAGGGTGCCCGTCGTCTGGCCCGAATTTCGCGTGAGATGGGCGTCGAACGGTTCATTCATCTCTCGGCGTTGGGCGCTTCTCCGGACCCCGGCCGTGGCAACATCGTTAGGGAAAGCCATTTCCTTCGATCAAAGGTGATGATTCCGGAAATAGAAATCCTTTACCTTTGTGAGGGTCGTTTGATAACTTGTGTTTTAGGGCCTCGGTGAATTGGCGGTGCGTGAAGAATTCCCTACGGCCACCATCATTCGCCCCTCGGTCATCTATGGTGAAAACGATGGCTTCATCACCCAATATGTCAGCCGGTGCGATTTCGTTACTTCCGTTTGTTCAACATTGTTCTCTTAGCTGGCGCAAGACTCCCCTGGACTTCGTTTGGCTTTACAAGAAGGGCGAGCACACCTACAAAATGCCAATCTATGTGAGAATTTGCTCTAGGATCTGTTAATTTTGCGTTTAGTTCGGAGATGTTGCCCTGGGAATCGATCGAGTCGTCAACGATCCAACGACGGTTGGCGAGACGTTTGAGTTTGTTGGTAAGTAGGGTAATTGTTGGCCCGAGAATAGTGTCATAGGCCCTCACTGCTACAAGCTGTCGGAGCTTATCGACTACATGTACCGCAAGGCTCTTTGCATCCGACCGCTCGGATTCAAGTAAGTTTGATTTTGTAGCAAATCAATCGTTTGTGTTTAGGTATTTCCGTCACGGCTATCCAGACCCCATGTTCATGGCGACCGTCGGCTTCACCGAGCTCTGGGGCAAGCTTTTCAAGTGCAAGGTGCCGCTGAATCGGGAGTGGATGGAGTTTGTTGTGGGTTTCAGCAATTTTTTTTAAATTGAACGGCGTCCGCAAAATCCTCGCTTTTTAGGAGGGCCGGAACGATGTGCTCACTGGGCAGAAGACGTTGGCCGATCTTGGCGTGCGGCGATTAACCGAATTCGAGTATCAGCTTGTAGCAGCCAGTATATTTTGGTTTTAGATACGCTGGTGGCCAGCTTGCTCAATGGCGTTCCTTCCTGAAGTATTGCGAGGAGCAGTATGGAGATTTCGAGCCCCCGCCACTCCCTCTCCGGTACATCAACAAATCTCTGTTTTTAAAACCCCATTTTAGATCGCCCCCGATTGTACAGCAGCAAGCGAAGAACGACTTTACCTTCGGAACATCGTTTAATTAGGAATAAAGTAGATATCTTTGAGATGTTAGATCTTACGCTTTCCGTGTTTTAAATATAATTGTGTTCACCCGTCTTGGTTACCACTCGAATATTTCGGCCTTGTTTTCTAGCGAACCGTGTACTTTTGGGTATCTTTGTACTGTAAGTGTAAGAATAAAGTATACGCCTCCATATTTTGTGCCGCGTCTAACGTGCTATGATCCAGCAAGTGTCCAGAATTCGCCGCAGTCAGGAGTTGCCAGGACTTGAAGATTGAATTGTAGCTTTTAAGAATGGCTGCCGCCCTAGACGAAATGGGCTATTATTTTAACGAACGCGGCGAGCTACGCGACAAGGTTTTCAGTATTATTTTTGAAAAAAAGTCTTATTTAGGAACATGAAGCGTTCAAGTTTACGACACAGGCGCAGTACGAAAAACTAGGCGACGCCATCACCGAATATCTTTACGAACAGATGGAAGGGCGTTTCGGGATGGAGCGCTTGGCGGTATTTTTGCTTTGTTTTTTTTTATGACCGATAAAGGTGCGGCCCGAGATCGACGAGAATGAGCCTAGCGATTATGACCAATATCCGGACGAGAGGTTTGGATGTTTTTTCTTACCAAATTTTTGGAGTTTAGTTTTGGCTTCATCTTCGCGTCGCCTGACTACTTCAGAAAGCGCGTGCTGGTGGTGTTGATACATGGCTCAGGAGCCGTTCGTGCCGGACAGTGGGGACGAAGGCAAGCGACATTTTTGTTTTTATGATTTTTTTCAGGTTGATTATCAACGAAAATATCGACGAGGGGTCACAATTTGGATATATCCAGGTGAATACTCGACAACTTTACGAAAGTCACCCATTTTAGAATGCGATCGACCGGGATTGGGGCGTCTTGGTATTCAACACGAATGATAACTGTCGAACGAATGCCGATGGGCAGAGAATATCGCTTCCGGTAACCACCCTTCTTACGCGCAACTAGCCACCGCCTTTAGTTCAGCAACACGCCGAACAAGCATTCACTAAATGCCTGGAAGCGCTACATCCAGGGAGGGCATTGGGACGAAATCCATGTTGTCGCTCACTCGGCTGGTGGATCGAATATTTCCAACATTGTATGACAACATCTTTGGTCCATACCCTCAATTCAGATGGATGATCAGCGCGAGGATAAAGTCAAGACCATTCTGCTGACCGACTCCTGGTTCAGTGGAAATGTGGGTTTTACTGTTGCTTCTCTACGCTTAAAATTTTAGATACGATCAGCTTTTGCCATCAATTTCAAATGTTCCGTGATTTCGCCTAACAGTACCACTGGCTTTGCGAGGGAGGGCGGCAGGTTGTTACTTTTTTGTTAGCACGTTCGGGTTTTGAGGGATCAATTTTGGATGCCAGCCGGAACTCTCGATCATGACCGCAGTTCGGCATCCTGTATCGATGCCGCTTTCTACGCTATGGAGAATTGGCGTGACGTAAGCTCGGCTAGATTCGATTTGAATTAATCAAATTTAGTATCATAGCGAAAGAGTGGCGAAATATATTTTCCTGGCTGAAGTTGCAAACCGTGTTCGTAACGGGAGCGTGCCTTCCGAGATCTACCTGCGAAATGCTCGTAAGAGATCGTTGTTTTTTTCAGCTAACCCTGGCATTTCAGGCAGGAAGAGTGGCTCTCAACGCAATCCCGAGCCATCACCGTCGCCAGAATACCCGGATCGCGATTCCGATTAATTTCTAAAATGGTGTTTTTCTCCTCCTCTACGGGCCCCTGTTTTTTGTACACGATCTTGTGTTATTTGTCATTCCGGTGTCGTGCGTTATTGATAAATTGAAAATATTGATCTGTAAAATTTATTCAGAGCAGGCTAGAGGCGGAGCAAGGCTTCGATTTGAGAATTTGGTGGAACTGTGTCGACGGCGCCAACGTACGTGGTGGCCAGTTTAGCGTTCATGAATGTGCGGGCGCAGACGTCGCGGATAGTATCGACGTTGATCGACTAAAAAAAAAGGGTTTCACTAGGATCAATTTTTGATACCTGGATTCGATACTCGAGTTCTGGCACCGGGATTCTCCGCCCGTAACAAAGCAGCTGCCGACCGATGTCTTCAGTTATCGGTGTGGTGCCGTCCAGCATCAACAATAAGTTCGTCAAAAGCGTACGCTTTCCACATTCTACGGCGGCTTCATCGGCCTCTGAAAAAAGATAGCTCAGATACGCATTTCGTCCCAGTATAACGAGATTGCATGGGTGTTACCTGTCGCTAGCCATCTCCATTGACTTGCCACGGACTGGATCAGGTTCGGCACGCTATCCCTCAATGCCGAGAAGTAAATCCCGGTCAAACCGGTTTCCTGACATTTTTTTATTTTGCCGAAGAAACCTTTACTTTATAGCACGTGTTGAAACATTGGTAGGTCAGAATTCCCTGATCCGGCACCAAAATGGGGGCCAGGCGCGAAGCCGTGAAATTTCCGCCACCGCGGTATCGGTCAAATTCACCGAGAATCTAAAAACTGAAAGTCAGTACTGGCCGAAGAACTTACAGTATTGGCAACCATCAACGGCAGCGAATCATGGTGTGACCAAGATGTCCCGGCAAAGGAAATGGCACCATAACAGCGGTCCTGTTTCTCGACTGGGAAATATTGTTCACAGGGCGTGAACACGGCGGGGATAAATTCGGACTCGGCACTGCCTTGTGGGAGACCACCGAAGTATTTTTCGGCTAGGCGGATCGTCTAAACAGTTGCAAATTCAGGACAAGCCATGAAGCTTCACCTTATCGTGATCCACTCCCCCAGCTGCCGCCAACACCATGCGTCCAGATCGGTAGTGCGTCTTGATGTAATTCACCAAGTCACTGCGTTGAATCGATCTAAAATGGTGTTCTATAAATGTCACCGAGCTCACTTGATATTGTGACGAGATCCCAAAATCGTCATTGACAACGGGTTCCCCTTGAAAGCGGCCGTGTGCAGGTGGTCAAATACAACCTCTTGGAAGTTTTGAGCAACCTGTTACATTTCGATTGGATTCACGGAAGAAAAAGTACCTCCTCCTCTTCACGCAGGATCACGCCTCGCTCACGGCCAATCTCTTGTTCGCCGAGGCTGCTGTGCAAAAGAATGTCCGAGAGGATATCCACAGCTAAACAGAGAAAATCAAAGCATTCTCAATTGCCATACACTGCTCGAGATCCTTTGAAAAGCATTTGGCGTAGTATACAGTTTGTTCCCGCGACGTGTAGGCGTTCAAATGGGCCCCAATATTCTCCACCTCCATCTCGAGCCCGATTTGCGTTCTTCGACGTGTACCCTAAATCAACTATCATCGTGTGGTCAAAATTCCAGCACCTTGAAGGCCATGTGTTCCAAGAAATGGGCGGTGCCATTGTTCTTCTCATTTTCGTAGCGGCTTCCCGCGTCAATCCAGACGCCGATCTGCGAAAATGAGATATAGGCAAAGAATGCTCAATACCGTTGCAGTCGGGGTCTTCAAATCTTCTGTGGCTACCCGAAATCCGCTTGGCAGGGTGGTGACCAGTGTTTCTGGGAAGTAATAGCTCCTATTGGCAGCGGCAGCGGTCCTCCATCGCCGGACGTCCTAAAATAAAGGGTACAAAGGAGGAAATATATGTTCGCTTGTGGAAGAGGTGGTTATCTACCTTAAACCACCGTCAAAATCGTAAAATTTTGTGAAATATATTTTTTACCTTGATTATTTGCTTCCCAGGTCGATTCATAAAGCCCAACCAGAGGGACGCTACACAGTAGTACCTAAAAAAATCCAGTAATCAACTTCCAACTGCTATAAAATAGTATTAGAGGGAGATAATGACAAAATATCGCTATTGCAACACTTTTCATATTTTTTTATTTTGCCGTAGTTCATAGCGTAAGCGTTTGTAGTTTGTGGCGTGGGTGCGCTACGGTACTTTTGCGGGCAGGTGATGATGACATGTGAGCACGAAGGAGCTTTTGCTTTTCGAATATTCCAATTTTCAAGCAAAACCGTTTCTGAGCCCCGTTCCGTTACATTGTGCGCTTCTTTTGGTGTAATCCATGGGGGAAATCAGCTTTATGAACCTTCTTTCTTTTGAATCGGCTCTTACACCTTATCAAATTTCTGACTAAATATGATTTCGCAAGTGATTCTGCAAGCTTCAGTGCCTCCTATCATTCACCAGTGACTCGGGTTTTTCTCCTTGGCGTTTTTACGCTAAAGGTTGGAAGATTTGCCTACTTTTGAACATGTTTTGGGCGGTTGTTAGTAAATTCTTCCTAGTGTAAGCGTGCGTGATGCGCAGGGAGGGCTAAAATGATTTAAATTATTCCTCGCCGCTTCTAGCGCACAAGCTTTCAAGTTGTCGCAAGACGCTAAGATTTATTGGATCATTACTGCCCATTCCATCTGATTCACTTCGCTTGTAAATAAGCTCTACCGGGTGAGCTCTGTGTTTTTTTCCTTTTGATTGATTGACGTGTCGTTGAGCGTCTTTTGTTTTGTTGCAAAAATCTTTTTATCTATCTAGCTTCTCCTCGCCTGTCTAGCCGCTTTCTCTGTGCGTGTGTCTGCTATCCGTCGCGTTCTCTCCTCCCTCCCCCTATCCCACACTGGTTGGGGCCGCGACGCATCGACCCACTCGTAGCGAGACGCCCCTCGCCCTTGGTCAAGAATTTTCCTGATGAGCCTGTCAGTTGGGCGCATTGAACCCATAAGCCTCTGGGTTACTTAATTTTCTGACCTTATTATTTGCTAAAATTTGGTGTTCTCAACGTTTCCCTTCTTACTTTCCCGGCCCAACCAATATTTACGATTTAGATCCGTCCTCTACAATGGCTCTGAAGCGAATCCAGAAGGTAAACAACTTTGAAAATATTTGATAAATATCCTAAACAATTTTTGCTTAGGAATTGCAAGATCTTGGACGTGATCCTCCGGCTCAATGCAGCGCGGGTCCTGTAGGCGATGATCTCTTCCACTGGCAAGCCACGATCATGGGGCCCCCTGAGTCTCCATACCAGGGCGGAGTGTTCTTCCTCACAATCCACTTCCCCACCGATTATCCGTTCAAACCGCCGAAGGTAATCCTTTTTCTTGTTTTTATTGGGCAAGAAAATTGTTGTTTTTGTCGTTGCCAGGGTGACTCATGATTAATCGATATTTGCCATAGAGCAGCAGACAGATATCATTCATCCAATTTTTTAGGTCGCATTCACGACACGAATCTATCATCCAAACATCAATTCGAACGGCAGTATTTGTCTGGACATCTTACGTTCTCAGTGGTCTCCAGCACTCACTATTTCAAAAGGTAATCTTCGAGCTTATTACTGACCTGTTTTTTTCTAGTTCTTCTCTCGATCTGCTCGTTGCTGTGCGATCCGAATCCAGACGACCCGTTGGTCCCCGAAATTGCTCGCATCTACAAGACGGACCGTGATCGATACAACCAGCTTGCTCGGGAATGGACTCAAAAGTATGCAATGTGATCAGAGACCCGTGAACTTGTATTATACTTCGAATTTAAAAGTGTGAACGTTTATGTGCATTCTCTTGGCCGACGTGTTTGAAAAATTGGCGGATAAATCGTTCTTTCATCCCTTCCCTTTGCCACACACGGTAGTAACACAACATTCTTGTCGGCAGGAAGTGGAGCGGGTGTGACGTCGAGTTCTGAATTCAGGTGCTGGGATGAGCGTTTCGTTTGTCCCCTTGACGACCGTTATTGATACGGCGTTTTGGGATCTGGTGAACAAAGGAAAACTAAACCATTGGAAGCTTGATGAAGCGCCGGTACCCCTTGTTGGCCAAATTTCTATCTGTGAGTGAAGCACCACCTTGATTTCTGACGACAATTTCTGCAGACGACCAGCCTGGGGCCTGCTCGCGTTTGTCATTGACCCATGAAGCCTTCAATGCAGCAAAGTCATCAAATTTTCACGGGTGTATGATCGTATACAACACTCTGGAAGCGTTCAAAACTGCCGATAGAAAGAAATTGTTGGATGAGTGTGCTCAACGTGTATGTTTTTGCTTATCGATTAGACGTAGTTTAGATTTTTCAAGTAGTTTCGGACGGTACTTGGCTCGAAGAGCCGGCGCTGCTGAACACATTTGTTCTGACGGTCCATGCGGTAAGTGTTCAATTCTCCAGACGTAATCTTTTTGTCTTCAGGACTTGAAAAAGTTTGTCTACAGTTATTGGAATTGTATACCAGCCGTGGGTTATCCGGAAAATGTCATGTTCAAAGCGGCCCCCAAAGAGGTACGCGGTTATGAAGTAGAAAAAGTTTCGCTATAGGTCGAACCACAATTGAACGAGCGTCTGGTCAGATATTACCAGGAAGCCGGACAACTGCCAATTTTCGTTTACTGCAACGACTCCTGCGTAACGCTAGCTGAATGGAAGAATGCTGGGTTCCCCACTGCAGCCGTAAGACCAAGCTTTCAAGTTTCAGTAATTTTTCCTAGTTGGTGGTGGCTGACCCGTCGACCGAGCCAATGGTCCCCGGGTGGACGGTTAGGAACGCGCTGGCGGCTTTTTCGATGACGACGCTCAACTGGGAAGAATACAATGTGATAAGTCTTCGAGCTGGTCTTCCCTCCCTCTACTACTCGGTCTCTGTGAGTTTTTTTATCAGACATCGGCCTCGGCAATCGAAACTTCGCGGTATTCGCAACCCGAAAATGTCAAATCGACCCAGTTTCATTTACCTTTTCCCGCTGTGTGGCCCGGCGGATTAGCGTTATTTTTATGCCAGGATTAGTGGGAGGGAGTTAATGTCGGGATTCCAGGGCGCGACTCCCGGTTTATCGGCACCGCCGAAGGGCTTCGGGTGGGAGCGATCGTCAAATGGGAAATTGGAGCCGACCCGGGTCGAGATGAAGTCACAATTCGATCCGATTAGCCTGATGGAGCAAAGCGTCGATCTCAACCTCTCCCTGATAAAATGGAGATTGGTGCCAGAGTTGAGATTGGAACGATTTAAAGGTGAATGGCGTGCAAAGATAAACATGTGAAGTTTGAAGCCAAGAAAACCCGCTTTAAAAACGTGTGCAACAACAGCGTTTTAGCCCTTCGCGTGCTCATCTTCGGTGCTGGGACGCTTGGCTGTAACCTGGCGCGCTCGCTACTCGGCTGGGGTGTTCGGCACTTCACCCTCGTCGACAACTCGAACGTCTCCTACAGTAATCCCGTCCGGTGCGTTCATTATTTCGCTATGTATTCCGCTTTTAGCCAATCGCTCTCCGAGTTCGAGGACGCGCGCCTGGGCCGTCCAAAAGCCGAATGCGCGGCTGAAGCTTTACGTCGGATTCTGCCGACCGTCTTTGTGGAGCCTGTACAAATGACTGTTCCGATGCCCGGACATACAGTGTCAAAAAATGGTACGAATAACGGTGGTGAAGCCTCACATTCCTTCTAGGGGAGGCTGAACTTGAAGAAACGGTTCGAAAACTAGACGAACTCATCCAGAAACACGATGTCGTCTACCTGGCCCTTGACAGCCGAGAGGCTCGATGGCTGCCCACAGTACTGTCGACGATCCATAAAAAGGCAATTGATAATTTGATTAATTATCTTCCTCTAGGTTGCCTTCAGCGTAGCTTTGGGCTTCGACACGTATGTGATCATCCGCCACGGCATCGGCCAGTACCAGCCGGATCAATCGATATCACCGACATCAGTCAGGGACATCGTACCTTACCCAAAATTGGCCTGCTACTTCTGCTCCGACGTGACGGCACCTGGAAATTCGACGACAGATAGGTTGGTTTGCCTGTTTTCTACAAGTCATCTTTCATATTTCAGGACCCTCGACCAGCAGTGTACGGTAGCTCGGGCCGGGCTTTCGATGATAGCTTCCGGACTGGCAGTCGAATTGCTATCGTCGGTGCTTCAGCACGAGACACCACTCGAGGTTGATTTAGCGGCATACATTTTCAATACTTACTATAGGCGCCTGCTTTCATGGGGGACGGTCCATCTGACGAAGCCGGAGGACTACTCGGATGTGCTCCCCACCAAATTCGAGGTATTACTGCTTTTCAACTAAATATATAGTTTAGGATTCATCCACCGATTTCAACAAATGACGCCCTGCGTCCGTCGTTTTGACCGCTGCATCGCATGCGGATTCGCCGTCTGCGATGCCTTCGTGTCGGATGGGTGGCGCTTGGTCAGGGATGCGATGAACAGGTTTGTAAAATTTGGGAAGACTGCGCAGTTTCTTTTTCAAAATTCGTTTTCAAAATTTTTACCTATCTTACTTTTAGCCCTGCGACACTCGAAAAGATTTCCGGCCTTGACCAGCTACAGGCCAGCGTCGAAGAGGTGGACATTGACTTTGCGAGCGATGACGGGTCGTCTGTAATCAGCGGCGTCTAGCCGCCCCTTGTGCCTTTTGTATCATATCCGTGTACATGTTGATGTATGTTGGCCTAACTTGCCTTTCTGTGAAATACGTGGCATAAATTCACTTTGCAAAGGATGACCTAAACACGGAAATCGCAAATGAGCCTTTTCACGTCAAACGTCTCGGGTCTCCCATTAGCTAGTGTTAGCGGTAGCGTATTGGTGCATATCCGTGAGTACCCCCGGAAGTAGCAGATGTACCTACTACTTAATGCACTCGAGGAGAAAAGCATCTGCTATGGGGGTAAAGGGCTCCTTACGTGATCAGTCAGTCTCCAGATTTGTCGTTCTTTTTCAGGGTTTAACCCGACCTGCCCGTTCCAGCAACCCCCGCAAGGAAAAACTGCTAGGCTTGAAAACAGCAACCTGCCCGCGCCCAAGCCACGCTTTACCGACAGCCCTCGATTTTTTGGTTTGACGCTGTTCTTTACTTTCTTCAGATAGAGCCGAAAATGTGGGGATCCAAAATTAACGCTCGATTCAATACGACCAGCCATCGCAAAGGCTTGTTCGATCGGTAGGCCGATCCTGAAAGCTTCGTACGGCAACCGCTAGCCTCGATAAAGTCCTCAATTTGTCCGCAGCCTGCCAGAATTTTGAAACTGTTGAGAACGGACGTATTGAAACTTTAGTTCGATACCAGCCGACGCGATAGATCACCTCTCTCGCCTGCCCCACCTCGCACTGACAACAATTTTCGCGCAATGCGACGGGAAAAGCCTACAGCGGTGAGCATGATAATTGTACAGGGTGTTCCAAAAAAAAAGGTCCAAGTTTGTCCCCGAATAACTCGAGAAGGAAACATATTTCACGGTGCGTTACCATGCCAGAATGCTTAAATATGTCAGGAATAGGGAAATAACTCAACTTAATTTTTTCGATTTTTGGCGACGTACCCATACAAATGACACCCGAAAACTGTGCGTTCCGGCAAAACTTCGTTTCCATTTTTTAGGATTGCTGGTGGTCGAACACTTCCAATTTTTACAGTGTAGGTACCTCAGGATCGCCCCTACGCACATCCGGAATTTTAGAATTTTTGAAGGTCAGGTTGGCAAGTTATAGCGTGCTCAAATTTAATATGGAGAAATTTCGTAAATTTCGAATATTACAAAGACCTATGGCGGAAATCTCAAAATAAGCTGTTTTAGCATGTCTATAGGCTCGATACAATCCGGTAAAAATATCAAAAAAAAATTTTAGATCCGCGGATTTTTGAGTTTTTCGACGACCCCCTGGTCATGGATTCTTTCGAGGTCACGAAACTGAACTTTGGAAAAATATTTCTAAAATTGCAGATAGAATTTCGGTGTTTGCTTTGCTTCGTTGTGTAGGACTGGCGTCCATCTATCATGTAAACGAGTTCTAGCTCCCGTACCCCTTTGGAAGGTTGCCTTTTAGCGCCTCCAAAACGGTTGGCTCGTGCTATTTCGCAGACCTTCATGCCAGTTTATAAAATTCAATTGAGAGGCTGGAATTGTGGTCATAATTTTATTTAATACTACTTAATGGGCGCGTTCTAAAATTATATTTACAAATTTATTGGGTCATCCAATCTCTCAAAAGAAATTCATGAAGGGTCGAAATATACCCGAATTCGGGACGAGGTAAAAAAATTCTCGAGGCTTGAGTAGCCCCGACTTTTCTGGCATAGACCAAGCTTGGGTAGTCAACTAAAACGCATGCAAATACAAAACCTTTTCATGGCAAACGAATTTAGAAGCGCGCCCCAAAGTCGACTTTTCAAAAACGTTATTTTCGGGGTTTAAATCAAAATCAACCATTAACTTCATCCAGATCATTCCAGAATTCTGTTCTCATACACAGTTCGATGCGTGCTTTAATTATATCCACCAAACCCCGGTGCCTTTTTCATTTTCAAAAATTCGATTTTTGGAGCCAGGGCGTCGGGTCCAAAATCGGGGTCCGAGGGGGGTTTTCCTCTTTCCTTCATAACTTTGTCATTTGCCATAGGAATCAAGTAATTTTTTGTAGGTGCTCTTACAAGCACCCAGAGAACATTCTAGAATCGAAAAACCGGCATTTTATGGCATTTTGTCTTGGCATGCTAAAACGCGCTCCAGGCGGGTTACTGTAGAAAACAGAAAATCGGGCACTTATCAAGTTGGGGGGGGCCACTTTGGTTTTCAACTTTTTGAGTCTTTCTAGGCTAGTTTTTTGTGCTGGTTCCGAATATAACAAAATCAGAGTAGTAAAACACAATTATCTAAACGTTTTTAAGATTTAGAGATGCTTACACCCGATTTGAGCCTAAAAATAAGGCTTCGTGCCACCCGGGGCCTAGTCGCTTCGGATGGGTGCGAGCTCGTACAGTGTTTCGAAATCGGGGCGCCCGAGCAGCGCGAAGCGCCCAGGCGCCCCGATTTCGGAAGAGTGGAGCGGCAGCCCATCCGAAGCGACGGCCCACCTTGCCTGACAATGCGGCAAGCCTAAAATTGTGCATAAGTACACCTTTATTAATAAATTTTTACACTGTTTTTCTGGATAAACCCAACCGTTTCGCATGCTGCTGCGACTCTATTCGCACTCAGCGTAAAAAACTACCCCAGAAAGAGTCGAAAAACCGATTAAAACGTGTCTCCTAATAGGTACCCAAAGTGGCCCCCCCCCCAACTTGATAAGTACCGAAAATCGCCGTTTTCTCGTTCTTTTCACCATAGAAACGTTTCGATCTTTCAGGAAAACAAGTAATAGTAGTTTTTAGTTCGGTGCATCAAAATATTTAGAAATTTCCGTGGCTAAATTCAAAAATAAGTTTTTTGCATATTTTGAAAAGGTATATGGCTAGAACCCCACGATCTTTGGCCAATAGGTGACCCTTACTGATGTTTACCAATGATAAAATTTTAAGCGAAATCGCAGCTTACAATAAAAAGAAAAACGTGAAAAACAAAAGCTACAGTATCCCTCTGGGGCACGTTTTAGCACGCAATATTAAAATACCATAGAATCAGGTAAAATTTGGTGTTGTGCTAAAGATTATCATTCGGAGACACCATCTGCAAAAGATCAGCCATGGGCAGCGTATTTGAAGGGAGTTGCGAATTAAAAAGTAAAAATAAGCAAAATAAGGAAATTTGTTTTGCCTGTAAAAAAAGAACTAAACCTTTAAAAATTCTAAGACTTTGCTATTATTTTTCTACAAATGCCAACGATTTTTGGGCCAAAAATCAGAATTTTCCCACCACCCTTTCAAGAACGCACAATTTTCGGTCGTAACCAGCGTCAATAGTACAGTTGCGTACTCAAAAATCGAAAAAAACAAGTTGGTCTTAATCTCTATTCCTGACATATTTAAAGGGCTGCCGACGGCATGTGTCGATCCCCCCTCATCAACAAATTGGCAAGTAGCCAACAGGGGAGAGAGCGCGCCCAGGGGAGAGGCGCAGAGACATTTTCTTTTCCGCGCGTAACCGATTGTCTATGCCGTCGGCATCCCTTTAAGCATTCTGGCATGGTAACGCACCGTGAAATATGTTTCCTTCTCGAGTTACTCGGGGACAAACTTGGACCTTTTTTTTTGGAACACCCTGTATCCACTCATAAGCAAAATAATTGTATTCTTCAAATAGCACGAGAGACCTCTTTAGCTTGTCTGAAACATCCAGGCTACTTCGAAATTTGATTGGGGCTAGACGTCAGCATCTTAAAAGGGTCCCCCGCCACGGCGTCTACATCCGACATGCTGGCTGCTCCAAAATTCTGTATGTCATTCCCTTTCCCCAGAATTTTGGGCAATCTAAAATCGTTTCAGAAAGCGCCCCCGCGCCAAATTTCAAATGCTCAAAAAGAAGACGATGATTGCCATGGCGAAGGAGGCGATTCTGGAGGAGTTGCACATCGAAAGTTTTCCTGATTTATGGCCGGTTAAGCGCCGATAACCCACAATTGACGAATACCAAAAATAAATTTTAGGGCGGCAACTACGATCTTCTAACCCAGCACCCGATCCCCACCCAACAGCTTGATGTTGAATATGCGCAAGAAGACCCCGGGCCGCTCTTGAAACTTGTCGCGGAGTACAAAAGCACCCCACAGCTAAAGCTTATGGTAAGCGTGTCAATTATCTTAAGAGTTATATAGATTTTTATAAATGCTATAGTTACTGGCACTGGCCTCTTATTAACGCTTAAGATTAACCGAAAAGAAACGACAACCAGATGGGCTGAGACGCTGGACAAATTGCTACTCGTCCCCAACTTCACCAGCTATCGTTTCCTGTGCAATGACGTCTTGTGTTCGGTGGCTGGAATTCTGAAGCTCGTCGAAGCTTGGCGGGAGGGCCAGAAGAGGATTCGGTTCTTGCAGGTTTTCGTGGCTGGGTCGCGAGAGGACGTAAGTAGATTTTTCCTAAGTACAACAGCATCCCGGTTTCAGCTGTTCAAGCAACTCGACGGTATGTTTCCCATTGATGTCCACATCAACGGCCGGCTTCACAACACTAAAGCAATCTCCGACCCGTCCGGGGTTTTGCTCGAGGTAGTGGCCATGGACTGCCATAGCAGGAATGCGTTCATGTAAGTCTAGTTAGTCCGGGTTTTTTCCTAGAATCTAGTTTGTCTAACAAGAATTGAGGTTCTAAAAGGGTTCTAAACGGTTTTTTACTATTCCTAAACGTAAAAATTTACTGAAAATCACAAATATATCGAGGCTACGGTTTACTTTACCCCCCCCCCCCAGCCGGAAGTTTTTGGCTATAACTTTTTTATTTTACATTATTGTAGGCTCAAATTAAAACTCTTAGTATATTTTTCGACGCTTTATCGAATGGCGTTGCGAAAATCCCGACAAAATAAGCGAAAATACCGACAACTTTGAGACCCTTCGGCTGTGGGGGGGTAAGTAAACTCTTACCTATATCGATTTTTTTCGACCAAAATTTCAATCTCTAAATAGTTTTTTCTTGCTAGTTGTTTTTTCACATGAAATACGGCCAAATTCTACTAGAAAGTCAACTATGATGACACGGCTATAAGTCGCCATAAGTGAAATGCTGAGTCGCATGAGTGAAAGAAATAAGTGAAACAATAATCTGGGCTAATGGTAAAAATCCGACCTTGCGCCCCACCCCTGAAATACTAACGAACTTAAAAACCAGCGCCTTTTCAGGCTTTGGTTCCATACGATCATCATCCCAAAGATTCCGCTCTGCTATCGACTGGACGACGACATAAAAGAATGAATATTAGCTGAAGAAATCTTATTCCCCGCCGACTTCCGGAAACCATAATTCGATTGAATAAACTTGCATGGCAAGAACCAAATAAATCCGCACCTCAAAATCCGCTTATTTTCCCCTACCAGGCACCACCGAAGATGGCCGATGCTGTCGAGCTGATCACCGACCCGCCAGAGATCACGGTAATAACGCTCTATCGGATGAGCTCGTCCGGTTGCTTCAGATGAAAGCCGCCGGCGACAAGTTCTCCCTGCAGCTGATCAACACCTCAGCCAAGAAGATTTGCTTCAAGGTGCGGCGATAAAGCTCATAAGCTTCCCCAGCAAGCTCAGCGCTGCTTAGCTTCCCCAGCTACTTCAAAGCTTCAGGTGAAATCGTCGAACAACAAGCTCTTCCGCATCATCCCCGTCTTCGGCATCGTCGACTCAGGCCAGGGCACTCCGTTGGAGATTGAGCGCGTGGCGAGTGGTCACTTGTATTTTGGATCAAAATGGAGTTTTTCAGGCGGGCCCACCGAAGGTCGACAAGCTGGTCGTGGAATACATGTACTGTGAAGGGTCACCGCCAAATGCTGAGGCGTACTTCAAGGTAAGCGCCAGCCTATGAACACCAATAAATGATGCATATTTCCGGCCAACACGAAGAAGGGCGCTGTCAACGTCAAACTCGCCGCCCAATAGCCACCAGCAGCCGCTTCGGTTATCCGTCTTCATCGCTCCGTTTTCTTTCCTTCGTATCTTATGCGTGTTGTAATCGAGTTCAAGTTCTTAGCATTCTTCCCCGATTAAGCAACCTATTCGATAAAGGATTCCAACTATCAAGCAGACATCCGGTGAAATCTTCCATGTATCTTCAAAAGTTTTCTTGATACAACATTTATGTGAACAAATATGACAAAGTGATTCACCGGAACAATGGCGTTTCTATGTACATGTCGACCCGGAAAGCCATTAGATATAGTCGCGATCCGTTGGATTGAACGGGAAAATCCTCGGTGCTGTCGGATCGTGGCGCGGACGGCCCGGCATCAGTTCACCAGCTGGGTTGAACGGATCAAAGCTAAGGAAGATATTTTGACGAAATAACAAAGCGCTTACCCCTGGTTGTTGGGTCCAAGCGGTCCTCCCGGATGACCTAGCGGTGCCAATGGACGACGAGGGTCGATCTGCAGCGGATTCGGATTGGGCGCTAAAAATGGGCGTAAATAGTGGATAGCCAAAAGGATTTTCCTTGCTTAACTCCGGAAAATAATTACCATTGTGGCCACCACGAGTGCGCAATGGGTCGCTGGGGTCATCACCAGGGCGGAAGAATTCGACGTCCGGGTCACCGGTACGACCACTAAATTGACAGTTTCCGAGAAGCCGTGTCTATCATACTGTGGACGAACACGGTGTTGCTGTTCGGGTCCCAGAGAAATATTCGGGGCGTCGGCAGGAAGGTCTGGGATAAAAATTGATAAAACAACACGTCGGTTCTCTCACCGGCAGAAGAAAAGTCGCGATGAGGACGCGGCTCCGGCGGGGCCAGCGATGAGGACTGGGGCTCGGCGCTGACGGCTCCCCTGTAATACATATTCAAACTGTAAACCAAAAAGTACCTGTAGATCCTCAACTTGTCACCGGAAACTATGCCAGCTTTCTCGAGAGTAGTCTCCGGGCCGTGGTTCAAGTAGCGGCCGCCGAGGACAACAACGAAAGTGCTGAAACAAAACTAACTAGTAGTACGACAATTACCTAATGCCGAATTTCTCAGCAATCATCCGCTTGAAGTCGTTGAAGGGAGTGTCCGCTGGGATCTCAACATCGTGCGTCTCACCCGACTGGGCGTCAATTAGATGCAACTTCATTCGCTAAACAAAAAACCTTATTATACCCACGTCCACTATTCAAAGAAAATGTTAGGCCTTCCAACGCCATCACAGAGCTCAAAGTCTGAAGTAATAAATCAACATTTATTGGATCTTTTCCTAACAAAACAACAATAACAAATCAACAACAGCTATTTCATATTCGATTAGGCGACCACGGTGGCAGAATCGTCAATAGTCTCCTTTAGCCTAAAACAAATAAAAGGCCAAACTTGAACGAAACCTTTTCTTTGCTGGCTCGTCCTCAGTCTCTTCGGCATTTTCCACGTCCTCGTCCGCAGCATCATCAACGGGTATTGAGCTCAGTTCCTAAAACGGCGTAACTTATTTTGGAGACCACCAGACCTTCATGCTCTGCTTGCCCATGTCAAACCCGGTAATCTGGCGCAACGCAACCGTCGCATAGGTGCCGGAGGGTAAGCTGAATGCAATTCTCAACGCATGGCGACCAGAGCCGCGAGCTTCCGGTTCCAACGCCTTGGTCACGAGACCGGGAAGTAGGAGAGCCCGCTCATCCTAAATGAAAAAAATGAAATCCAATTCCAGACGGCCGACCTCGTATTCCAAAAATTCCGATTCGACGTCTTCGGGAAGGATGAAGAGGGGTCGGTGCGAGTCTCCGAGAGCAAACCGGCTAAAACCAGCGACAATGCAACATTTCAAAATGCTAGTACCTGTGCAACGACTTGAACGAATCAACCGTTAGGCCATCAGCCGTCAACATTTCGTCGAACCATTCGCAAGCTAAATGAACGCGTTCGTTGGCCGAATTGCAGAAGAAAAACCGTAATTTGGTGATTCCACTTGTGTTCCAGGGATGGGCATGTAGATGGAAAAATGCGACGCACCGTCCTGGAATCACATTTTCTTTCACCTAGCCAAAAGTACCGCCAACGGTTTGCCTTCTGCGTCAAAATCCCCGGGAATCGTCTTTTCGCCACCCTCACGGACACGGCGTGAAGCCGCCTAAAAAGGGTGATAAAGAATAATCCACTATTAACCGAAACTGATTCAAAAATACATGACAAAAACGCACCTTATTCCAAAGTAGACTTTGATAAGCGTGGATGTAGATACTGGCGGTGAAAGGGGGTAATTTGAGGATAGCTTCTTGCCAGGAAGCGCCTGAAAGCAAGAAATACAATCGGTTGATGGAGTAGCAGAACCAACCTTTTGCTAATGCTCCCAAAATTTGTCCCTCAACGGAAGCGAAACGAGTGGCGCCCTGTATCATATACCACGCCTTCTTCGCATCCTTCGATTTCGCCCATTCTGCCGTGGCATCACCGACGGTCCCTGAATAGTACAGCTGTCAAAACTTTTTACAAAGATCTTCACCATTTGCGCCTTTGTTGGAGAGAATCAGTGTAATCGCTGCCTCCCAGTTTCTTCGCAAAATCTCGCGTCCAACCTAAAAACTCAATAAAATACCGTAAGGCCAAAGTTACATCTGCCGTGCTCGTTCCAAAGCTGCCGAACCGCTGTGTCCCAAAATAATTGATGAATCCCCGTTTTGGAAACTCGGCTATTCGCTCTTGAATCATGCCGTGCTGCTCTTCCTGTATATCCCTAGAAATCGGTGGTTGCGTGAGGTGATCAAACCTCAAGATGATGTTGAAGCGGTTGCCCCAATGAGCCCCGAGCTTCAACGGCGTCTTCATGTATTGGCAATCATAGACTTGGATATTGCGAAGCCGCTTGTTGAGATCCTGAATAAATGAGCCTAAAACCCAAAAATAAAAATTTTACCAATAGTTTCTCTATAGTCGTCCTCGGCACACTGATCCTCTGTGTCGTTACGGCGCGGCGATCCTTTATGCCGCATGATTTGAAGCAGTCCTTCTGTTTAATACTAAAAGAAAACATCTGGTAAATACACAAGGACTCACTTCATAAATTTCGATAAAAGCTGCAAGGCATACGCTGTCTCGGTCGCCTCTTTTGCCAACGTAAAATGGCAGAAATCCGGCACGTCGCGACGCGCAACATTTCTAAAAACATCAATACGTCCTACGGAACCCCTTACAGATTTTTCCGCCCGTATGCGACGCGGATAGCCTGCGGCTGGGTTTCCGAGACGAGCTGACCGGCATAGCGTTTCCTCACAAAAACATGCACCTCTTTCCGCTGCTCCTTGTCCAGTTCCTACGGAAAATGTCAAATTTGATAAAATTACAAACCTGGATAGGAAAATCAACAAATCCGCTCTTTTTCGTGAAGATTTCATCGATCTTCTCCTCGACTTCGGCGCTTATCGTAGCCGGGCGCTCGACGGCTGTATCAATCACAGCCGGTTGATCGCTGATCGCAACTTGTTGTGCTATCTAAAACTGCGGTGATGAGGTCGAAAACAGACAAAATACCTCTTCGCGGCTTTTCAAACGGAGAACCTCCTTTTCGGCAGAGATTTCGTTGACAGCAAAATCCGAATACATCAGCTTCATCTTGGCGGGAACTTTGACAGTGCGATCGCCCAAATGGAGCTCCATGCCGCAATCCGTCTCCATCTTAACGAAATGGTTTATTACAAAAATTATACGCATGAAATTGGAAGTGTTCAAGAAAAGAGAAGACTGGCGGGGTTACGGTAGCTCGATATTCTCCTAGCAGAGCCTTTCAAAAGGCTTGGTAAGTTCTAAAACAAATTCTACGGCACCGGCTTGTCGAAAAAGGCTCGAGAAATCCGTTTTCAAGCTTACTAGAATGCCTTGAGCAAAACACCGGTCAAAATTGAGCATCTCCAGCGCTAGCTTCGGCCATAATACACATTACTGCAATCGAAGCGGCAAGCGGCAACAACAACTGGCCCTATAGGGGTGTGCGTATCGGCAGATTCCATCAAAACAGCGGCAAAGGCCTTGCAAAACATTGCTGATGCATGTTTACCACATTGTATGCCCGGGCTCCCAGGCTCCGATGGGTCTTGTGGCGAATAGCTTTGGGGTGGGGGTGAGGAAGGAGTAGCCGACGTGTTGTCTCTCTCTGCGTCTCCCCGGCATTACCACAGCAAACTACAGCGGCACCCCAGGCGGAACACCGTCCGATCTCCAGGGGCTACCATCGCTGTCCTGCAATTATCCAGCCACAGCTTTGCAAAAGATTCGAGGAATCCAAAATATCCCCACGATAAGTAGAGAATTCAGGCTCGACAAGTTATATCTACCACAGATCAATCGGTTTCCAATATCACCGCTCATCGTCTGGCAGATTTAACAAAAACCTACCTCGAAATCTCGCTTCCATAGCTCCAACCTCCTACAAACCCTACATAAAAGCCATTTCAGCCCCCGGTAGATGTTCTTCAACCGCGTGCGCTCGTTGTTCAGTTGCTCGTGGACGTATTTGTGGCTCTTCTGGTTCATTCTCATCGTTGTCCTCGTTTACATGCTGCGCGGGCCCCTAAAAATTTCCGAGCAATTCGAAAATGGTGAGCAAGCACCAGCACCACCAGCACGCAACCAGCAACCAACATCGGGCTCAAAACGCGCAAAAATTTTCATACCGTTTGTGATAACCAATAATCAACGATTTCAGCCTCAAACTCGGCATCCACGTACTTCAACAACCTTACACCAAAATTTTATGTGGCCCTGACCGGGACGTCAAGTCTCGTGTCCGGGATAATATTGATTTTTGAATGGTGGTATTTTAGAAAGTAAGTTCTGGAAAGGTGTAATCGAAAACCGCAATTTTAGCAACGGCGTCGATGCCTCAAGTGATGAGGGGAGCGATAATGAAGATAATATTGACTCAAGTCGCGCAATTCCAGGTGAGAAGACTATAAATATTTTCGTACTTTTCGTTAGCCAATCCCAACTTTTCTGAATCTGAGAAATTTTTCAAATTTGGAAATTTTTTGAGGGCCCTTGACACTTTCCGGAATACTACAAGAAACGTTTACTGTAAACTGCGTATTATGACGTAGTACATCAGACTTTTTTGCAACTATATTTTCGCAAAAAGCCCATTTCGCGCTCATCTACTTGAAAAATGCTGTCGTTCTTGCTGAGCCTGTTGGGCAGGCTGCAAAGTGATGTGGCAATCACGCCACGGCCACCGCCACGACCCCCTGCGCTTGTCCCGCCATTAGGTTTCTAGCAGATTATATTCCTACGTTTAGCCCTAGAATGCAAGTACTGGCGGAATCCGCTGGGCCTTTTCCGAGGTGCCGAGTACAACAGGGTGAAGAAGGAGACGGGCATCGAGCCGCTCTCGTATTTCGACATGAACCTCTCTGCCCAGGATCATCAGAGTCTTTTCACGTGCGAAGAGGATATCGGGCGACCGGATTATGAAAGTAAGTAAAAGTAGTATATTTTTGGTACTATAATAGATTGAGGAGGCCGCTTTGATGCGGCTAGATTTCTTAGGTTTCGCGGAGCTATTGATGTTTGGGGGGGCATCTTTTTTTGGGGGCTTTTTCTGGCTTAAGCTTGTCTCAAAGCCTAAGCTAACCAAGCCAAGCCCAGCCTAAGCCAAACCTAAGCCGAGCCTAGGCTTAAGCCCAAGTCTAAGCTAATCCTAAGCTAGCTCTAGGCTAAGTCTAAGCTAAGGCTAGGCGAAACCTAATGTAAGCCTACACTAAGCCTAAGCTAAGCCAAAACCAAGCCTAGGCCTAAGCTAAGCTTAAGCCTAAGCCAAGCCTAGGCATAAGCTAAGTCTAAGCCAAGCGTACGCAAAGTTAAAGCTAAGCCTAAGCTTAGACCCAGGCCACCAAAAAAAATGCCCCCCCAAACATCAATAGCTCCGGTTTCGCCAGCTTGCATTGTTTTTGAACCCGAGCTTTCGGGTAGGCTCATCCTTAGGATTGTTGTTTTTCCTATTACCTATAATGCGCTTTTAGCCTTTTGGCGGTAACTCTTCTAACTTGAATAGGGTTCACCTGCTTTTTCAATAGTTTCAAATAGTTACCGGATGTACGCGAAAGCCTTGTCCGATTCATTTAAACTTTTTAGTAATGCAAGTGGCTTGGCGCGAACGCGACAGCTACTCCCGAATCAATGCCGCTCACGAAGCCCTCAGTATCAACCCCGAATGCGCACCAGCGATGATCCTCCTTGCTGAGGAGGAATGCGAAACGGTGTCAGATGCTGAAGCCATGCTCAGGTATGTTTCTGTCGGAGCAACAAACTATCTTTATTCCAGAAAAGCCTTGGTAGCTGCCGAAACGGCGTACATTCGATCTCAGACGGCATATCAATATGGAGACATCGGACATAGTACGTCATTTTTGAAGGCCACCAATTCCTTTTTTTAGGAAGGGACGGCGTCATCTGTGCCTATATCCGACGACGATTGGCGATGTGCGCTCGGAAACAAGGCCGCCTTCGTGAAGCGATCAAGATGATGCGCGAGATTGTAAAATTCCCCCTTTATGCCATGCTCGGACTGCAAGAGAATCTAATCGAAGCCTTCTTGGAGATGCAAGCTTATGCCGATGTCCAAGCGCTCCTCGTCCGCTATGATGGTTTTGGTAGGATCCGGCGGCCGATCGTCTATTCTTTTTTTTTAGATATTCGCGAGCCAAAATCTGCCGTGCTTTGCTACACGTCGGCGTTGCTGAAAACGAGAAACGTATCGGACAAGTGAGATCTATTAAGTTCACTGACTGCATACGCAAAAAAATGGGTTAGAGTGCATTTGAGCAGCGTGTTTAGATGCTTAAACCGAAGACATGGCCCCTTCCACCCATACGCGTTGGTTTCTACGGGCTTTCCGGGGCTATTCTAGGGTCCTGTCTTTCGGGATACAAACTACAGGCAAAATTTCCAAATTAATTTCAGATACGGAGTCGAGGTTCGGCGCGGCCTGTCGGCAGCTGAACAGACGGCGGTTGATGCCATACGTCGCGCAATCGAATTCAACCCTCATGTGCCACAATACTTGCTTGAAATCCGTCCCCTCATCTTGCCACCGGAGCACTACTTGAGGGTTAGTTTCTTTTTTAATCCGTCAATCTTTTTTAGCGGGCTGATTCGGAAGCGCTCGCCTACGCATTTTTCCACATACATCACTGGAAGCGGATCGACGGCGCGCTCCATTTACTCGAATGTACCTGGAAAGGAGGTGGGATTTCGCTACTCGACCAACACCTTTATTTAGTTTTCAACGGGCTGAGTCGCTCCACCGACCGGCTGTTTTACTCGTATTCGCAGCAGTTGGAATCGGCTGATCGTGAATTATTACCGGGTATTTGTGGATTCTGCGGTAGATCATGTCCCTTTTTAGAATGGCATCAAATGTCTGTGTTCCCACGCAAAGAGAATCCACTCTGGGGTCTCGGGCAGTCGCTGGTGTGCCTTGCCGCGTGCGTCGTGGCTCTCATTGTTCATAATGCGCCGTCGTCTACATACGAGTTTTTGGTAAATGTGAGTTATTACCACTTCTGGTTCTTTGCTATTACCGGGGATCTCTTAAGTGTTGCCTTTGCGAGCCAATTTTTTAGTGTAAGCGGGGGTATAGTTTATTTTGTTTTTTTTTGGATTCCTAAGCGTGAAAACTTTACAAATTTTTACTAAAAAATCTTATTTTCGATTTTTTAACCAACATTTCAAATTTATGAACAATTTGTCAAGTTTTTTAGGTGTTTCCCATAAAAGATAGGTGCGTTTTAATAAAAAAAAGATTAAATATTTTTGCGAGGACGTGGCTATGCATATTTTGACTCGCGTGGAAAAAAATCAGGCTTTCCCGGGAAATAGTATAGCACCCTACTTTTCATTGTGTTTTTCTAGGAACGTTCACAAAATCGTTTCTTTCAGGCTATTCATCACTTGTGGACATTTTTCGCGGCTTTGTTGAGTTATCTCTACACCTGGGTGCCGGAGAACGTGGTTGGATTGCTGGCTTCACGCCCCAGCCCCGTCCCAGCGCCACAACCGAACGACCAAATGTGAGGGGACGTCTCATTCTGCCACCGTCGCGATGCTAGCTCTCGCCATAGTATCATATCAACAGTTTCAAATACTGATCGCCACACACACATACAATCGGACAAATCTCGCGCCGTTGGTGCTCGGTCTCTCCATTTTTATCTGTATACACTTGCTAAAACCAAATAACCCTATTGCGCCTGAATCGTCGATATAGCATTTTCCACTGCATATTCTAGTCAAGTACTTCACGTACCCTATGTATTCCCAGGCCTATTTCAACTGTACCCTCCTCTAAGTCAACCCCTCTCCGTCGTCTCCACTTGGTTAGCTCCTGGAATTTCAGCGAACTTTGGTTGGTAATTTCGGGTGGATATTTTGGACAATGTCCACACGTCAGCGCGCTCTTTACCCCCTCCGGCAATCTCGTATCCCCGTTCAATGTTAATATTTCAAAATATTATTTTGGCATCGTCGCGTGATCTCTAGTTTTCTCTAACGATCCTAATGTCGCCGTGCGGCTCGTGGTCTGTGAATAAAGGTTACATGGATATGCTTCGACGTGTTACAAGATAACTGGTTAAGGCCAGCCTTATTTATTACGGAATCGACTAATATTATTAGAAAAAACTCGCGTTTAGCAGTACACTGTGGTGGCCGTATATGGGAACAGTGCCACTTTCATGGCACAGACGACCAGTACGTTCTTTCGAAAAACGTCATGTCGTTTCGTTTAGGCATTATTGTCAGCAATGATGGAAAACGCGTAGTTGAGTCACTATTGAATGATCTGCGAGCCCTATCCACCGAGGCCAAGAAAAAGTACAATTCCGTCAAGGAGGTTGGCCCTGAAAAGGTTCCTCAAAAGTTTGCTCGGTTTCAGGCAGCCGAATCAGCCGTTGTCAAAGTGCGAAACATCTCCACAAATTCCAACGATGCCTCATTACTTACAAACTTACGCGCCGGCAGTTCTGAGCTGCTGCATCCACTGGTAGCTTGAAGATAGAGATCGATTATCGGTTTAGCTTACCGGATGCTCAACAAGGAATTCTCGATTGGTCCAAATATCGCTACAGGCGATTCAACGACTTGTAGAGCATCGGATTCTGGAAACAGTTAGTGACCGAGAAGCGACTTCTAACGTTCATTTAGGCGTCGGCGGCCGCAGTTGTTTCGGAACTATGGAGCCTGCTCGAGGCGGGATGTGAAGAATTGCGTCTGCTCCAGACCTTGACACCATTTGTCTGTACAGATCTCCTGGTTTCTGGCCCGAATCTTGCCCGGGTTAGTCTAGAATTAACCCGTATCATATTATATTTTGTTCAGTGTCTCGTGATATGCTTTCGGCTAAACTATTCCAAAGATCCGATAGTGATCAATACCGCATCAGCAACAATTCGTAATTTGGCCGGGAATGTCTTTTTGCGAGTACAGCAGGTATTGCTTTTCTATGGGCTCCGAAGAAAAATTGTAGGAGGATGGTATGCGGGGTCCGGACACAGTGCCACCTACAATACCGAGAAATACAAAAGCCCCTCCAGCATCGCTACGGCCCTGTGCAGCGGATGCGTATATGTTCTTCCGGGTTGGTTTACCTATCCAGGCTAGACGTTAAACAATATTTAGGACCTTTGCTTACTTGTGAACGGCGAGCAACCGATTTGGCTAACCGGCATTGACGAGATCAGTCGCACGCTCGGCCTCGAGCTTTTGGAGGCTACCATCGGCCAATATCCCTCCGTTTTCTTCAAGGTTTGCCGCCCGTTGCAGTATCGAAAATATATATCTTACTCTAGCATCCCGAGTTCGCCGCACTCTTAAAGGAAGATGTCTGCCCACTTGTCATCAAGCTCTTTTCCCCGAACGTCAAGAATTTTCACGTAATTTGGCATCACTCGTGCAACCCACTTTTTAGGGGTCATACCAGAACCAAAACGCTACGGCAGCGGGTGCTAACTCGCCGCTTCGCCCCCAGTTTCCGATTGCCATGCGGCTGATTAGGATATTGGTTCACCTAATTGGACACTACCATCAGCTCCTGGTGAGGATTACAAAAAAAACTCTTTATACCTTATCCTTACTTAGGCCACGGAGTGCGAAATATTCTTGTCGTTGCTGCTGAAGTTCCTCGAGTCGGACAAGTTGGGATGGCAACGTGCCCTTTCATTGGAAGCCTTGCACCGGTTGCTATCGCAGGGATCATTTTTACTGTAAAGACTTGCCTTTTTGCATTAATGTATACTCCTCTTTAGTTGGCTGGTTCGCCATTTCGACAAAAAGGCATCCGCCGTGAAAGTGTGCGAGAACTCTTTCAAAGGAGTGGCTTCATACGTGGCCTCTGCCTTCACCCGGAATAATTTTAGCTCAAGTAAACTACTTACAGTAAACATATCATCATTATTCAGGCAACTCTGATGGGAATGGCGCTGATTTTTCCAATGGCCCAAACTCGGTACCCAATGCCGGTTTCCGAATAAATGGCTCCGGGCTGATTCCGCTCGTCGATATACAATCGAAACGTGGCCTTTTGTAAGAAGTTTTGTGTAGGTAGTCGATTCAAAGACAACTTTCCAGCTTGGAATACCTTGAAAAGCACGACGCGCCCCAGGTGCAAGATGGGTACTGTCTGTCAAGGGCTGCCGCCGTTCTCGCGGATTCGACACAAGCCCTCTTTGCCGCCGTGGATCATGTACAGCTAAATGAATCATCAGAAAATTCGCCCCCGGCTGAGCAAAACGGAAATGGTTAGTTCTAGCTCACACTATTTGACGTCTTGAGTTTAGAACCTGGTGTAGAAGATGATCTAGCCCTTTTCACGGCCTGCTATCCCAGCCTCCTCTCTTCCGTCAGCTTGCTTCTCGAAGCCAGGTGAGCCAACGGTCTGAATACCCATTATTACTTCTTTTAGCAATGACGAATCGACTTCCGACTCGATGCTGAACTGCCTCTCGACGCTGTCGATGATGGCGTGCAAACTGAAGGAGGCCCGGGTTTGTAATGTCTCTGGTCTTGATCTTCAATTTTTAGGCACGCGAAGCTTGTCTCTACGCATTCTGCTCATCTGCACTCCCGGGACGCAATTACCTACAAAAATACTGCGGTCTGCCTCCACCCACCGCACTCAGCAATTTCGCATCGTTGCTAATTTTTTGTAGGCATTTTGCTTTATTTTGGAGGCTTTAATTTAGCCGGCGAGGACAAGCATGAGGAAAACGATCTGGGGATTCAGCAGGTGATGGCCACCGGGACCCCATGCCCTTCGATCCACTATCCAATGCCGAATGCTCACGTGATGGTAACGCCCCAATGACGCCTTGTAGACTGGCTTTCAGTTGACGGCAAAGAACATGCAATGTCTTCGCCTGTTATTGGGATGTGCATCGGCTGTCGCGGGCGAGGTTGGGTTGCTTTTTGACTGTAGATGATCATCGACACCAAAACTACAAGATGCAGTTGTATTTCCTGTTTCAGGTCGGTGCTTCATGGCCGCTCGTCCTTGTCACCCTGCAGCAGACGCTTTGGCTTCTGGCGATGCGCCCCTATCTCAGCGGGTTGTACACAAAATCGGCCAATGACCAGGAAACGGCCGGTAGCGTAACTTGGCGTACTCCAAAATTATCATTCAGGCCCTCCTTCAACGAGTACGGTGACAACGGCTGCGAGAGGTGACGTGCCCATCGTGGTATGACTGCATTTCCATCCTTGTCTTTCACCACCCACTTTAGGCGTCGATGGTGGATAAGATTTTTGAGGAGGTCCGAAAGGGAGACGATGTCGCCCTTCACCATTTAATCGCCGCACTCGCAAAATTGTCCGGAGATGCGCTGACGCTGCCGCATGGCGCTCGTGAGGCGGCTCTGTTTCCGCTGGCCAAACTCCTACACACCGGCACCGTGAACCTGTTCAGAATGCACATTTATTGGCAGCCGCTAACGCATCATATAATCGAGGTCTGGTTTTCTTCGAGAGGTTTGGTATTTCGCTTTTTTTTGTAGGATTGCAACCACAGCAACAATGGTGTACGCGAGTGGGCGGCGACCGGACTGACAAGTTTGCTACGCGTCGCCTTGCAAGCGAAGACAGACTTATCGCAAGAGGTTTGTAGGAATTACGTGACGAGATGCTTACCTGATTTTTTTCAGTAGGTGACTATTCCAATTTATCCTACAAATGTTTCTGTATCTTGGCTTTCAGGAAAAAGAGCGCTTCGTACTCGGCTCGCTGGTGGCTCTCTCGGCGAACACCTACGCGGACGTGAGGACGAAGCAGATCGAGTGTCTGGTGGCCATTCTGCACAACCAAGGCTCACAGCTGCACCCATCGATGTGGAAGGACATCATCGCCATCATTGCCGACGTCGTCGACCCGCAATTCAAGTGCAACTTCACAATTTTACAGCCCAATCGCGATTTTTAGATTTGGCGATCAACTAATCAAAGATGGCTACGATGCCCTACATCTCGTCACATCGGATTTCCTCCAGGTTAGTGCGCTTTATTCTTTGTTTACATTTGTTTGCAGCAATTACCTTGGGAATGTGTGGAACAGCTGGTGGAAGCCGTCAAGCGCTACGGCATGCAAACGGCCGAGCAGAACAAGGCGCTGTCGGCCATTTCGCAGCTATGGACCATCTCGGATTTTGTGTTCCGCCGTAACGACATTATGGGTGCCGACGCAGCCGAAAAGGTAAACTAATTTACTTGCTAGCACTTTGTTGATTCCTATTATGTTTACGTTGTTTTACGATTGACGTTGTCCTTATATTTTCCGACTTTTTGAAAATTTCGTATTTCTTAGTCTCCAATTTAAAGTTTTAAATTTTTTGGCATTATATTCGGCGGATTGTCCGGGAGAATTTTTCCTTGGTAAACTCTGACATTTTAAATGTCGAAGGATCCAGATTGTGACTTTATGAAATTCCGAAATTTCGATAGAAAATCTTATCTTCCTAACTTCAGGTCTGGCTGGTGGTCTATGTCTGCCTATCAGAGCTGTGCGTCGATGGAAGATCGGCCGTGAGGAAAAGTGGTGTCTCCACCCTGCTTCAGACAATCGCCGCCCACGGCCATGCGCTTCGCCCAACTACGTGGCGACATATGATTTGGCAGGTAGGAAATCACTTCAGAAGCTTTAAACCCAGCTTTGTCTTTAGATAATCCTGCCGCTGGTGGACAAGGTGCGGGCGCAGTGGCGAGGCGCATCGACTGAACGGATGGAGGGCGGCGAGAAGTTCCTCGTGCATCACTCCCGTGACACTGAAGCGAAGCAATGGACCGAGACGGCCATCGCCACGCTGCATGCTGTCTGCCGGGTTTTTACGACACAACGGAACACGCTGCTGCAGTTGGGTGGGTAGTTAGGATATTTTGGCTCTATCCCTATTTCGTGTATTTCAAAAAAATATTGGATATGAAACCCGAAATATCGTAAGCCGAGGCTCATCTAAAGTTTTTTTCTTCTTTTTCAGTTCTAAGCTTTAAAGTTTTCTGGTTTCGATTTGAATACCCTTTTAACCGGATCATTTCCATCAAAATTTCAGAAGACTTCGACAGCGCATGGGAAAGCCTGCTTGGCTACTTGGAATGGGGAGCCAGCACCTCAAATGCCGAGCTTTCGCTTGCCTCCTTGAAGTGCTTCCAAGAGGTCGGTTCAACAGGTTTCGCTTTTATCGATCTCTAGGTCCTTCTCGGCAAGGTATCCGCGCAGACGCTCGATATGAATACACGAGAGAAGAGCTCCACGTATGATTCCTTGCAATTAGACTTTAAAACTTATCTAGGAGCCTCAAGGAATTGGTTGCCGGCGGTGAAGTGCCTCCATTGCCCCAGAAATTATGGATTGTCTCATGGAAGGTAGGTTCAATTTTTCCTCTTTCACTCCCGACTTCCAATCACTAAATTTCCAGAAATGGGCGCAAAGTGGAAAGGGGCTCGAGGTTATTTCCGGGGAAATTGGGCTCTCAATCTTTCCTTTTTTGTTGTTTTGTTGCGGGTTTTGGGTTGGGCCGTCGAGAAACAGCCGGTCTTTTCTAGAGCTGGATCAGGATGGCCAAATCATTGTACGTCGTGCGGCCGCCAGCGGATGATCCGAAGGAAGCACCGTAAGCGTCTCATCGATTTTCGCGTACGTTTTTTTAGATACGTTCCGGGGCCATCGCATCTGACAACGCTGCTTCACATCTTCCCGCCACTGTTCGAACGCGTTAAGCGGGACTTGGCCGTTGACGAGTTGCACTACGATAATCTGCCATCAACTTTGGAGGTAAAAGCCTCTTCTCTTCTGCTTCAGTATTTGCTTTCTAGGCGATAACCTTTCTCCCGATTGCCACAGCCCAGTCACCCTTTGTGTTGCACCAGGCCGGCACTTTGACACCGACCCAGGAAGCAGTGATGGACGCCGTCAAAGGCATCTACGTGGTAAATTATTTTTCGTCTGATTTCATAAGTATTTTTCAGGAAATGATCTCGCCCGGCTCGTGCTTACGCGGAGCCCTACCGTCTCTGTTGAAGTTGCTGCTCAAGTTTGCTGTATTGGCCGCCCAACCGCCGGCAAGGCGCAACGACTCGCAACGAGATTATGTAAGTTAGGTTTTGAATCGGGGGTTGGGCAAGCATTTTTCGAAATATTTCCGAAAATCACTTTATCGAAAAATTACATTACTATTTTTACCCCTTTTTCCGATTGCTAGATAAAAGAAAAATTTTCCAAATTATGATCTTGGTTGATTTTCAAATGCATATAGAAATCGTTCTGAGCCTTTCAGCTTCATAATTCTTGAGGTCTTCTTAATCGCAATTTTAGCGTGAATGGGCCTGCGCTCAGGTGATCCCATTTGCCGAATCTTCACTTCGACTATGTGTCGAATCTTTCGCCGCCACAGCCCATTATCGAGAAGTTGTCGAAGCAGGGTCCTTGATAGAATTTGTCCAGGTTTGTTTGTTTACATGTTTCATTTGAGTCGTTTCAGGTTGTTTCCAAAATCACGGCGCTGAAATACGCGTGCGTATCTCCGTCATCCTGGCGATTGGCCGCTTCCGCGTTGCTGAATGTGCTTCGGATTGGGCTGCCGATTGCGCGACAACATCGTGGGTATTTCGGTTTTCTGATGGATAATTTTTAATGGCGACGCTTTATCAAGCATTTTCAGCGACCAACTTCACGAAGCTGTGGCCGGAGTTGTCGACGGCATTCGACACGACACTCTTCTCCCCGAAGTCAATAGTCTCTGGATTCCTATATTTTAATTTAGTGGCTGCTCGACGTTGAACCCGGATGAACGGAAGAGGGACGAATACATTGATTGCTCCTTTGTGGAATTGATCAGGTATTGGATAAGGAGCAGATTAGAATTACTATTAGACAGCCGAAATCCAAAGATCGAAATTCATGATTACGAAGCTTCAATACGTCGAATTTTACGATGAACAAATCGCTCGGGAAATCCCCCAAAGGCACTGCAAAAAATTTCGACATATTGAAAATTCGACCTTACGAATTTCGACAATAGAAATTTAGAATTTTCGACAACACCAAAATCGTATATTTCTTAGGGCTGAAATCCTGCCGTTCTGCCAGCAATTCCCCCCGGAATTCGTGGGCCGCATCATCGACATCCTGAACCGGGGCTCCATCTGTGCCCTCGACCCGACCGATGTGCTAGGTTTGCCTTCATTCCCGTTGCTCTCCAGCCACGTCCACTTGTGGACCCTGTCTTTGACGACTGTTGTTCAGCTTCAGAATCCTACACGCAACGCGTCGAGCTCTCTCGCGCCTGCTTCGATGCGCTGCTGTCGATGAGCAAGGATGACTCGAAGGACGAGCTGATCAGGGAGAAAGACCCGCTCGCGTTGGCCGCGTTGACGAGTCTGATTGAGAGGTGCAAGCAGGTTAGCGGCTTGAAATATCTTTTCGGGCTCTTTAGCATTGGGGGGTGAGAGCAACTTATGCGAAGGACAGATAGGAACCGATTTTTGTATACCTATCATAAAATATCGCTAACCGTCGTTTCAGGTGCTGAACTCCTTCAGCCGTGACGGAAGAGGTGCCGGCGAAATGAGGTTGCCCGCTATCCGGTTGGCCGAAACAACATCCTGCCTAACCGCCGTCCAGACACTCATCGACCGCTTAGCGGGGTACTCAATTTCAACTAGTTCTTTACCAATTTTCCTAGACGCCCCGACGCGGTCTCTTCGCCTCTCTATTCTCAGCTCGTGCTGCTGCATCCAACGCTCGTGGAGTTGATCCCGTGTTGTCATGCTGATCCGCAGGTAGTCTTTCCAAAAGTCTATTGTTGGAGTTTTTTTTGGTAGTTTGTTTTTCATCGCTAAAATGTTATAAAAACATGTTTGGAAACCTTAAAAATTTGCAATTGTTGTACTTTTCATACAGTGTGACTGAAAATCAAAAATTTTCGAAGGGTGTATGTTTTTGTGGAATTTTTCTGCTCAAAAATGGCGTAAAATGCTAAAAATAATGTATATCGTTATTAAGACGTTACTGGATGATAGGCCAAGGTTAGATCCGCTCGCTGAAAATTTTCCACTAACAATCCAAAACTTTCTATCCCCCATTTAGGTCGAATCGGCGCTCGTCTCCGCTTTGAAGGCCTACCAGACCCTTCTGCTGCTCAAGGCCCTGCCCGCGCACGTCTCATAGCCAATGCCTTTTCCTCTCGTTGCCCGCTTTTCGCCATAATAATTTATTCGGTACATTTGTTAATTGCCCGGCAAAGCTGATGCCTCTCTAGGTGCTTGTGGCCATCGGTAGTCCCCGTTCCGAGCCCACCATTGTTGTTGCAACGTCTCCTCGTAAAGATTTATTTATAGCTTCCCGCACCGACCGGTTGTTTCCATTGTTGTGCTAACGATCTTCGGCTGGTAAATCGGGGCATCAAAAGCCCTTGATTTGTAGAACATTCTAATTCCCTACTCGCCGTTTATGTTCCGCATATATTCTTTCCCTCCCATCATATCTGTCTGTGATCCCCCTCTTTGATCGAAGCTTCTGTTCTCCTCTCCCTCTTTTCCAGTACTACCTATTAACAGTTTAATTATTTATCCCCCTTTATTTCCCTTTATGGTCCCCCTGTTAATGTTTAACGGTGTCCCGCGCGGTCTGTGATATCACTGGAATATAACGAATATTTTAACCGACAGGCGTGGTGGCGTATCACAAAAACGGCGTTCTGGCAGCACTAAACGGAAATAATAGGGGTCTGGTTCGTTAGCGGGGGGGGGGGGGAATTATTCCAAATTTTTCGGGATCGTTGCAACAATCCGATAGAGGAGCAAAAATATACTAAAGTTAGCGTTTGTCAATCAAATGGCGCGAGCAAAGATAAGCTATCGAAAAATGCCCCGCCCCCCCCCTCGCTAATAAACCAGAACCGGAAACTGTAGTTAAATGCGCGGGTTGATAGTCAGCCCGTGATACTCTGATTCGGAGGCTTGGTGGCCCACGGGGAAAATTAGGATATATCCTAATGGGGGCAATAATTAGCAAACAAAAAATTAGACAAAAATGGCAGACTCGGGGATCGGTGGACTGGTGTTGTACTGGAATTGAAGGGCGGGAAAGATGGACGGGAGAAGGTGTAAGCGAATTCAGTGGCAGCACATCGAGGAGCTCATCAACGGGGGCGAGAAGCGGAACGCCGACGAAGAGAAAGGCAGCGAAACATTGGCAGTTAGTGTATAAAGAGAGAATAATTAAGGTGGGAATAGAGCTAGAAAATGATCTTTGACATAAACTCATAAAACTTTGTGCGCAGCGCGGGGAGAAAGACGTGAAATCGGGGGGGATTCGGGGGCAAGATTGGCGCAACGGGGGGAAGCTCGGGCTAGAAGACAAAAAGTGGAAATTCGAAAAAATATACTCTTACATAGAAATCATAAACAATACAGTACTAGAAAAATACATAGAATTTCTTAGCTTAAACGGCAGTTTTAACGTAAAAAAAAAACAAAATTAAAAAGTGAAAATGGCAGACCGAGGGTATAGCGTTGCCTATTAAACTAAAAATATTAAAAAATAATAATAATTTGTTCTCAGGGGCTTAGCATCGAGGATCTGAGCGAGAGATCTTTGGGGGGAGGGGCGGGATGAGGAGAATTTGCACAAAATTGCGCGGGGCTCTAAACGGGGAGATTCTTCGGAGCCACGTCGAACACGAGACCCTTGTACCGATCCGGGGCGCATTTCCCGCAGTAACCGCCGCATTTCCCTTCCACGAGCACGTTGTTCTGAAGGGTTTGGGGTTATATAAACAAAATAAACGAATTAATAAACTATACATTTAACGTGGAAAAATACTTCCAAACCGCTAAAACCCTAAAAAACCGCTTGAAAATACACCGTTTTAAGGAAATCTCGATTTTTTTTTTATTTTTCATAGGCTTTATAGAATTTTTAAATCTCCTTTAAATTCAGTAATGTCTAATAACGTCATAACTAGGCTCTTAATCGTATTTTTGGTAAAAATGAAGGATGTTTCACGAGGAAAACTGCTTCGCAAAAGCCTTCAAAACCGCTTGAAATTGGAATTTTTGTCGAAAACACGATATTTATCGTACCATCTCTATAAAGTTTTGATCTTTGCTTCTACCTATTTTTGTTCTAATTTTTATGTTCTAACTTCGCAACCTACTTCTTTGCGCGAGACCTTGCTAGAGGTCCGATGACCGCGGTCTTCCCACTGCAAATCGTCGGCGATTCGCAGGCCGGTTCCGCGCAAATCCACCGAGAATTTACCCTGAATTTTCGTGATTTTTTTCTGCCAATTACTAGGCCTACCTGCGGACAATCGCGCATACTATAGCAGTCCCCAGCCGTGGCGTACGGGACCGGCTGGCCGTGGATCGTGTCGGCGAACGTGAAGTCGTTGACTGGAACCTACGCGTTAATATCCGTAGACCTTGGCTTACTGTTGATACGACGGTTCATCAGGTCGAGACGGAGCTTGCGGAAGCGCGTCAACCCTGCACCGGCTGCCCCCTCGGCCGAGCACTCACAAGAATCGTTGCGTTGACCGCCATGCGGGCAGGTGTGGGGGAAAACCAGGCTGAAAATTACCGTATAAATTAATCATTAAAATTTTTGGTGCTTTTCTAATATCGGATGGGCTTCAGGGGATCGATTCTCGGGGCGTCTAAATCCGCCTACTAGTGTTTTAATCGGTATTTTAACAGTGTTTTTGCTGGTATTTAGCCATATTTCAAGAGCACAGCGATTTCGAAAACTTAGAAACTGCCAAAATAATTGAAATTTTTGTAAAATATCGCCGATTTTTGCTGGAAAAAAAAATCAATATTTTTGTATTTTAAGCAAAAACAAGCAACGTTTTGACACTTAGGAATCGAGAAATGGAATAAGCAGTTTCCTTAGTTATCACAGAAACTGGCCTAGAACGAAAAGGTTGAACCCCCCCCCCCCCCGATAGTGCAAAAGAACCTTAAATTTTTTAGACATACCGCCTGCCGTAGACTTCGGCAAAGTTTGTGGCGGGATCGACGCTGATATAGGCCCTCGGCACGGTTTCATTCATCATATGGCAATGGACGCGGATCTGGTAGCCATCGAGGAGGATCTACAGCGAATTTTCGGATTTAAAAACCCTGCACTAACCGCATACTCCGAGTCGATGGCGTGCGTTGTTTTCATCGAGGCCTTGATTTCTTGACAGGTGGCGGGCAAACCTAAAAAATAGGGTACTGGACTGTTAACAGGGGGAAAACTAATTTTTTATTTTCGCCTCTGTCTAATAAAATATAATAGCGTTCTTATTAGTTTTTGATTGCTAGAAAGTTACAAAAATTATTTGAAAAATTCTGAAATTCGAAGATTTGTAAATTTTTGGTCATTTTTCATCTAATTTTCACGACAAATTAAAAAATTCTCGAAAATGTTTGTAAATTTTTTTGTGAACCTTCGGTATTTAAAAACTGTAAAAAATGCTATAGAAATCGTTTCAATTATGTTTACTTACTGGGACAAATTGGTTTCCTCTTGCTAAAAGTCCAGCACCAAAAAAAAATAGAAAATCGAAGTACAGAAATCGGTCAAAAAATCCAAACTTACAATTCCTATTAAAGCAACTCTGGGTGCGGTTGGGTTTTCGGGCAAAGGCCTCGCATTGCTCCTTCGTGCCACGCTCGCCCATCCGGCCCTGGCAGCGCACTTTCCGCCGACGTACACCCGGCCCGCATGTCGTTGAGCACTAAACCGAGCGCTTTCAATTAGCTAAAGGAACTGGGAAGGCAGAAATCTATATAGTTTCGACCTAAATTTCTAGTTTTCTACGGCTACGCATTCGGGCATTCAATTCTGGTAAAATAACAAAAAAAAAATAGACCGTTTCTTTCCGAATTCTGGACACCAGCCTTGATTCCCCTACAAGCAACTCAGTTCTATCTATTAATAGAAGTATCGCAAAACGAAAATGATAGTCTCAGAAATGCCTTCTTTTCTGATTTTCAGGCTTTTCCGAGATTGCAGAGGCCTTACAATTAGAACGATGAATTGAAGAAAGATTATGGTGAATATCTCTGAAAAAACATCGTGCAAGAATTGAAAACAAGGCAGTAAAGTTTAATAGAACCCACCGGTCCCCAGGGGTCGATGACCCAGCTGTATTCGGTTCCGCAAACGTTCACGCTACAGGGTTGGGTGGCCGACGGTTGGGGCAAAAGCCCGCAGCGTTCCTTCGGCACGACGGGTTCGAGCTGGAATTTTTTGAGGTACTATGTTTCAAATTAAATCTAATACATCTAAACTCAAACAGAACTGCAAAGCGGAAACTTCCAGCTTGATTTTCGTACCTTTTTCCGATTGTTCAGGTACGAATGAGAAGTCTTCAGGCGGCAATCAACGTCTCGCGTCTGCGTTCCGTTGCCACAACTTTGCGTACACTAAAAACTATTATTCAACGGAAGAAATTGATTTTCATACCGTATTCCAGGGCCCTGGGACCCATTCATACGGACAGAGGCTAGCCGGGCATTTCCGGCGCTCGATCGGCTTCGTCCCGTTGCACATATGGGGAGCGGCTTTCACCTGAAATCGATCAGGTTTTTCTTTTAGCGTTTTTTTTGTTTCTAAGTTTGTACAACTATGGATCATCTAGAGTAATATTTAAAGCTTAAAAATACCCACCGAGCCTCCCTTCATGCAGAGGACGTTGCGCATCTGCTGCCGGTCGCCGCACGGGTCGATGCACTGCAGAAAAGGGATTAAACTTATAAAAATATAACAGATAAAACTGCCCAAGATGCTCACTTTTGACCACGGCGTCGAGATCCAGCTGTAGGTCGGGCATGCCGGGCGCACGCATCGCGTCGAATTGCTCGGTTTTGCGGGCAAGTGCTGGCACTGCAAGGGAAAAGCTTTAACAGGAAAAAAGATTTTTCTTTTGTTCTTGCATTATTTTTATTAAAAAAAAACTAAAAACTAAGAGCTTATACGAAAAATGATAATTTGCTACACGCGCAGAGTGTGTTGATGTCCAGTGGAGCCATGCGTAGCCCAATTTTTTACATCGAGCGTCATTTAAATAATAAAGTCCATTGTCCCTTACCTTACTATCGTCATCTTGCGTCTTTTTGCCCAACTTGCAGTAGATTTTGCGCGTCTGAACGCCCACCCCGCACGTCTCCGAGCACTAAAAATAGGTCCAAAAATAAATTACAGAAAACATAGTATTTTCCGGTCGTTCCGGGGTAGCTTTTCAGTTTCTAGGGTTGTAATAATAGATATCATAATAGGTCATAGCCCAAAAAATAGTCGTCGCATGCGTAGGAGACAATTAGATTAATGAGACACGGGTTTTCTCTAGTTTTCTACTCGAAAATTCGATACATTGGGCGCCAGTACCTGTCCCCACGGTTTGGCGCGCCATCGCGCGCACGGCTGCACGCGGCAGCGGATGGTGGCGGTGGGGCGAAGCGCCTCGGGGCACTTTTCATCAGCGAGCACCATCTCGGAGACGTCGGAGACGCACTCGACGATGCGTGTGCGTTGCCCTTTTCCGCAGGTACGCGAGCACTGGAATGACATTTATGGTTAGAGAGGGGTGTGAGTAGGAAAAAAATGTACTGTAAACGTTTGGGAAGTTATTTTAAAGATTTAGTCATAGAATGGCATGCTTGAGACAGTCTTTACTTGTAAAACTTGCAATACTTGTTTTTGATTGCTCGAAAGTTAGAAAATATTTCAAAACCGTTTGAAAATTTCAAAATTTGACTTTTTTTCGGTCTTTTACATAGATTTTTGACCAAAAAGTCAAAAATTTTCGAAAATTTTCATTATTTTTTGTATTGTTTTTATATTTAAAAACTATGCAAAATCCTATAAACAAGGTTGAGATTTTGTTATAAGGCCGTACAGAATTCATTGGAAAAATTTGGTCCCCCCGCTATCAGTCCAGTAGCACAATACATTTACTAATCTGTATTTGTTATTCTTTTTCGCCTGTATTTTTCAGTTTTTTTTTGCGGTTTGTAGCCTGTAAAAACCCGCTAAAATACTCTGTTAATACTTCTCTATACTCTCTTCTTTTTCACGTGCAAACAGCGTGCAGAGAGAGCATAACGGCGACATTCGATGCACGTGCATTTGGACGCGGACAAGACGAAGACATGTATATAACGCACAGTATACAGACCGTTTATAGTACACATCCACGTATATAGCTGGCAGTTATTGTATACAGGACGAGGACACGGGGGATGGACGGACATCAAGGGGAAGGGCACATGCTTCGACGGCCGGGTCGCCATGGGCGAGGGGTGTCAACGGGAAAAAGTGCTTTCTCATAGGTAAAAGGTAAATTTGTTTTATCTTATATATATTGTATTATTTTATTTATTGTTCCTAACTATTTTTAAACTAACAAAACCACGAAAATCTGCATGTAATCTGGATATTTCGGGCTCAAATGAAGTTGACTAAAATGTCTAAATTTCCAGACCTTTTCTTTTTCCGAATTTTAAAAATAGTTTTGGAGTTTATACACAGCTTAATTTACAAACGAAATTATTAAAATCGTATTCCATTGCTGGGTAGACCTTGATTCAAGGTGAATTTTGATCAAAACAGCAAAATCACCAAATATAGCTAAATTTCACCAAAGAATTGCCTGAAAATTCGTACCCTTACTATATATACTTTGCGGTTCGCTGCTAGCCAGAATTGGATTCCGTGAAAAATTCCGTTTCCTGCGGAAAATGAGAAAGACTCCACGTGACACCTCTGGACACCCATGGCGACCCGGCGCAACGGGGCGGAATGTTGACTGGACGCACAATGAAAAGTGGAGGCACAAATTTTGTTGAAAGGCCGCCGGAACTGAACGGGACGAATACAACTGAAGACGCGGATTTCTTACGGGGGGTCGTTGTGAGATTCCTTGGCGGCGTGAGCGGTTTTGTGGGGGGATAATGGCAATGAGCAAATGGGTCGGTGGGGGAAATGGAGGGGGCCTTGGGGTTACGGTAGCTGGGACGGGATTTAGGCTTTTGAAAATCGGCATCTGGCATTCTAACACCCGACCCATGCTACCGTACCCCCGGCCCCCGGGGCCACGGCTTGCCCTACGAGGACTGGCAAGCGACCCGAGATGTGCGAATTTCAATATCGGCGATATTTGGTCGAATCGGGCAGTGGAGGAGGGAGTACACGGTGAAACATCGACAACGGGACAATGTGCGCAACGCAACGAGTAACATGCTCTCTAGCGTAGCCTAACGTCACATCACAAAATGGGGGTGGCGGCACGGGAAATGTAGCTTTGCCGGTCCCTTTAAAAAACGAATTTCTTTTCAAGCAAAAAGCCGCGCATGCCAATAGCGAAAAAATACATTAACTTTAGAAATCAAAAATTTAGCACCTAGATAAATAAATAGATATGGCCTGGGGGCCGCCTTTTTCCTATTTAAATGAGCCTGACTTGAGCTTTCAGGGAAAATTTTCGGGCTTTTTGGGTTGGATGGGACGGAGGAAACTTTAGAAGACTCTTAAAATAATTTTTAGCAGACAAATTTATAATTTATATCTTAGCCTTTAAAATAGCTGCCAAATCCCGGAGTTTTCATGAAATTTTGTAAATTTTAAGTTGGGAGCCAGCGCGGAATTGATTTCACCGCGTTGTGTGCGCGTCACGTGCTGGCCCAAGCTCTAGCGTAGAAAGAGCTTTCTGATAATTTCTAAACCCGTCCAATCCAACCCCCCAAAAGCGATGCCGTGCGTTCAGGGTTGCATGGTGGTGGGTGTCATTTGGTGTTGCTTGGAGCGCAGTCTACGTGCCCGCAGGCGTCCCTTCTCCCTCACCGGACTCCACGGTCCGCTCTTCCAGCGCGGCTTCTCGGCGCGGACGCGGGATAGGGGGCAGGCTGGTTGCTGGCATCGACGGCGCTCTGGCGGTTTCGGGATTGGGCACCGTGAATCGGGGACCTGGAATGGGTTAGGGAGCTCTTGGTCTCTCTCTCTCTCTCTCTCTCTCTCTCTCTCTCTCCCTCTCTCTCTCTCGCCTACCTTTGTTCTGCTCTTATCCTCGCACCACACCTCTCGTCGAACCTCGCCGGCACCACACGTCACCGAGCACTGTAAAATGTGTGGCTTACATTCCATTTATTTCCTAATAAATGGATCATTTTATCTTTATATAGCTTTGTATAGTTTATTAACATTTAAACGGCATATTCTATGAAAAATGTTTGTAAAGTATCGATTTTTTTGGCCGAATTCACTTGGTTACTTACCGCCGACCACGGTGGCAGTTGCCAGGTGTAATTCGCCGCCGGCGCCGGGCAAGCATCCGCTCCGCAACGTTCCGCGTCCAACGGACGACGCGCGACGTCACACTGGCGTGCAGAACACGAAACGACCCGTGTTCTCCATCCACCACCACACGTCGCCGAACACTCGGTCCACTTCTGGGCTATCCACCGCCCGGTCGGCGGTTCTGTCTGCGTGGCAGGGCACTTTGGCAATCGACAATCCCGGGTCGAGTTCGGCTTCACCGCGCGATCACACAGCTCCTCGGCCACGTCTTCCGCATCGTCCGCGACGCCCACGCACCGCACCGCACGTTCTTGGTAGATGTGCTCGCCGCAGGTGGATGGGCACTGAAAGGATGTGTATTTTTAGAGATAAAAAGCTAGACGTACCGGTTTCCAAGGGCCTTGGCTCCAACGAGCGCATGGCTTCTCGTCGCACTCACGCTCGTCCTCCACCCGCTCCAGATGGCTACAGTAGCTCTCCGGAAGGTCGCGGAACTTGTCTCGGCATTTTACCTAAAAAAATGAGTTACATTGGGTCGATAGCCCCGGAAGTTACGTAAGAAAATCGGCTGACGACAATTTTTATACCATTCGAAAGCGCGGAAAATGAATAATCTGATCGTAGTTGAATATATCGGTTTTTATTTAATTGAAAGTACGGACTTTATAAGATAAAAACATCAGAACAATTTGAAAAGTTCATTTCGGGCGAATTTTGTTCGCAAATAACGGACCTTCCACGCCGAGATCTAGATAATTTCCACCATCTATCACGTGTACAAAAAGCTACAAATCCCTCACCAATCGTCGCTGCTTCCCCTTCCCGCATTTCGTCGAGCACTCGGTCCACGAGCCGGTGGCCCACCAGATTTTCGGGCTGCTCAGCTGCGACTCGGCGGCGCACGGCCCCTTCGAGCAGTCCTTCACGCTTTTTGGGCGCGTTTTCTAACGATTTATAGGTGGTGGGAAAAGCGCTTTACCTGATCGCAAAGTGTCAGGTGTACAGTGTCGCCCTTCTGGACACAGGTCAGACTTCTCGTCTGGTTGCCCGCGCCACACGACGCCGAGCAGGTCGACCAGGGGGAGGGCTGCCATTCGGCGCATTCGGCGAGGCTGGAAATTGTAGTAAGGCACTGGAGTGTTAGCGGGGGGGGGGGCGAACTTTGGCATTTTTACGCCGCTTTTAAGAATCGAAAGTTTAAGTTTTATTAAAGAAAGTTTTTTTTTTTAATTTTGCTGGCTAGAGGCCAGAGCGTAGACGCGTCAAGGGCGCGTTGCGTCGAGATTTTGACATTAACTTACACGCAATTCTCGGTCACTGCCGGTTTCGGAGCCGCCGAGCAGAACGAATCGTCGACCATCTCGTTGTTCTGGATGCAGCTGACGGCACGTGTTCGCTTCCCGCGACCGCACGAGACGGAACACTAAAAATGACGTGTTTTTTTGCAGGACACGACAACGTACAGCTCCGAACGGTTCGGTCTTCCAGAAGGAGCAGGGTCCGGGCGGGCATTCGCGATGAGTGTCGGGCTTTGGGCCGATCTGGAACGCGATTATGAGCGAGTTTGCTGCAAGTACGCTTTTTTCGACATAAACCGGAGCAAATTTTCGACATCAAAGCAGCTTTTGATCGCTATACAAAATGGAATAAATACAAAACTCTACAGGGGCGCTTTACTACGTCATTTTTACCTTTTGCCGCGCCAGATTTAAGTCTAAAGAAGGCAAAACATTAAACGCACCCTTCTGAGACAAACGCGCTCGTTCAGCGCGACCCCATTGGAGTCGGTGCAGTCGACACGGCGTGTTGACCACTGCTCCCCACATCCCGACGGGCACATTGACCATTCCGTCGTCTTCCAAATGGCACAAGCGCGCCCGGTATCGCACTCCTTCGACAGCAACTTCTCGCGCACGTCACACCGGCCTGAACGAGCTTTCGAAAAAGAACGATGTGGTTTTGTTTTGCCTATTTTTTGTAAAATCAAGGAATGGTTAGTGACGTAATAGTAAGGAATTTAATAGCGTTTTAAGTAAAATTGTAACTATATTTACGGCGGAAACATATCTAAAAAAATCGAGGTTTTCGTCATTTTTTTTATCGGAAAATCGATATTTATCTTTTATAAAAATTTGTAGTTATTGAGGTTAAGAATAGTAAAAGGATTTTTTTAGAAACACAAGTTTTCTAGTAACGGAGGTGTTTTCTAAGAATGTTAAATTGTTTTTACTATTCTTAAAAATAGAATTTTATTTTATCTATAATTTAATATTATTCAGACTTGCTCTATTTTTACTAATTATATTTATTTACGTAAATTAAGTGTTCTAAGAGCGTACCATCATCGACAACGCCCCTCTTGGTGCGACAAGTGGCCGTGCGATAGGCCGTGCCACGGCCACATTCACCCGAACATTGGCCCCAGTCGCTGAACTCCCACCAGACACATTCCTGCTCGTTGCACGCCTCGTAGTCCAGCTGGAAGACACGAAATTCTGGAACTGTACGCACTGGACCAACCCTGGGGACCTGGGCACAATGGTTTGGTGACAGCTCGCGATCGTCGACGTCCACACAGGTCGGTTGGCGCCGTCGGATGCCGCCATCACAGGATTTTGAGCACTAAAAACTCTAAGTCTGGATTGTTACTGAAAGTTATACCTCGTTCCATTGCCCGTAGTTCCAGCGCGGACATCCAGCGCGGTTGCACGGTTTTTCGATGGTTTCCCGGGATCTGGAATTGGGAAGTTAAAAAAAGGGCGGGGGGTTTGGACGTTGTTAGAGGAATTTTTATTTGAATTTTGCACTCTTTTCAAGTTATATTTCACCAGCGCTGACCCCCCGCTACGCGGGGTTCAGCGCTGGCCCTCTCCTCTGCCCTAATTTGAAGTTGAAATTTGTATGCAGAATTTGGCTGAATTCCTGGACGGGCGGACGTACGGACATTAGAAATTTATATTTATATTTCATCGTTTCTAGGCGGGAATTAAGACCATTCATTCCTACGCGATTCCTATTTACGCAACAAAACAAGCGCAGACGTAAATAGGCGTCCACGTAGCACCTGCCTGAACGCACACTTTTTAAAGCATACCTTTGCGGTTATCAAAATTATACACAATCTCCACGATTTAAATAATTTTTAGGAGCCCAATGAAAAAAATAAAAAGTCTAAAGATCCCCGGTCACCCCCTCTTTACATGCTCTCTGCGGCATCGCTGCCCTTCTCCCACTCGCCCCCCGTCTGGCCCACCCCTCCCAGGTATCACTCATCCCCACGCCCTGGAAATCAGCTTTGCGCAGAGGCGATAACGTGACCAATGAGGCCTAGCCGAGGTGCGTTTATTGCTGGTTGAAAACTGATACCAATTACCCGTCGCTTTCTGCCCTGAAATATGGGTGTCAGCGCAATTTTTGAACGCCCCTCGGGGGCAGAAAATTAGTTCTACTTTTTCCGTATTAGAATAATGAAGTTATGATTGTTATCTCATCAGAGTTTCGTCAATAATACCCACCTAACATCGCAGTAGCGTTGATCAAGCTGTCGCCCATGCGAATCGGCGCAGTAGGCGCTCCGGCGAGTGACACCCGAATCGCCACACGACGCCGAACACTGTGAATGTTTTTTTGTATAAGTCTAGAAATACCTAATTACTTAATAGTAAGTATTATGATGGTTTTTACTAAAAAACAACTCGATTTCGATTGGAAAACTTATTGAAAATTGATGGAATTGCTGAAATTGGTGCAAAATCGGCCATTTTTGGTTCATAAACGATATTTTTATATTTTTTAGTAATATTTGTGAAGTTTGAAAATATTAGAAGAGACGGCTTTTAACCAATTATTTTATTTCACAAACCCCTTTAGCGTATTTTTCTTAAAACCTACGTCACTCCACGACGTATACGTCCAATGGCCACCCCGCCCGGAGCAATCCTGATGGCAGTGGACGCGCTCCTGCGGTCGCGTCGACGGGTCACACTCACGGTCGTGCACTTGCACCCAGCGACGGCTAGACGGCAAGCAGTTCAGTTAGAAAACTTTGAGGATATTTACCTGTCCGCATCCTCGACGCGTACACACGTCACCTTCATCATCTGCTCGCCGCTGCCGCAGCTGGCCGAGCACCCGGACTCCGGATCGCTTTGCCATCTGAAGGGCGTGGTCGTTTATTTAGTCTTTTTTTTGTAAGCTTTAATGGTTCTTATGCGTTATCAGGGTGTCTTGCCCTCCCCCCGCTAGCACACCAGAACCAGTTTTACCAATAGATATTTGAAGTGAAAAGGAATTTGAAAATTTGGAAAAATTTGGTCACTTTGGGGTCGAAAAACGTGTTTCGACCTAAAAAAAGATTTTCAATCAAAATTGTCATTATATTTCTATTTTTGGTACCTGTTAGTGCAATGATCATTGCATGAGCGTCTTCGAGCCGTTGGCGGTGCCCGTATGGCCATGCAATTCCGCTCGCTGGTGGGTCGATTAGAGCGCCCGTCGATGCAGACGTAGGCGTGCACTTGTTCTCCTACAATTTTGGCCGTATTTTCTATATTTTTTGTTCCTTTTTTATACTTTTTTGAGTAAAACTGTATATCCAAACTAGAATTATGCAATAAACACCTTTGCAACTCCGGGTACAGACTGTCCAATCGTCGGCCAGCCTCCAGAACACGTGTCCGGTCCTTAGATCGAGATACGATGGTGGTTGGGCAACGGATGCTGGTGCTGTAGAGGCCATGTACTCGTAACGGATGTCGGGCGGGGTGAGATTTCCCACAGTTAGGACGTTCACAAAAATGTCGGACCTAAAGATCGAGGTTCCGGCCGCGTTGCGCATTCTCTACCTGGTCGGCCCGGTGCCATTAATGCGCTCGATGAGGTTGTCGCTGCCGGAGTATTCGAGGATGACGTCTTGCAGCTGGAGGAGTACGTTGTAGACGACCACTTGGTACTTTCCGTTCAGCAGGAAGTCACCGTTGGAGGTGCGCAGGGCTTAAAAAGGGAGTACTATGGGAGCTGATAAATTTCTTACATAGATAGTTGTTATCGTCCTCTTTATTTCCACGCCAGGCCGTCTGCGTGATTTCGATGTTGGCAGATCCGGCGGGGATTTTGAGAACCTGCAAGTTAAAACAATAATAAGCACCATTTTAAAAGTTGTAAAATTACGAAAGAGTGCAAAATTAACTGTTTTTCACAAACAAATACTAACCTCATTGTAACCAAACGACCCGCGCTCGTTGTAGCTGCCCTTGACGTGGCGGCAGCTCGATCCGTCACCACCGCAAATCCCGCACCGGTCTTTCTCCTAAATACAGTAAATTAGCCATTTTTGGTATTTTAGTAAGTAGACAACTTTTAGATAAAAAGCATGGACCTACCACATTCGAGCCGAGCACATGGTCACAGCCAGCTTTCCGGCAAGCCCCATCAACGCACAGATCATCGCCGTTTTGGTCGCACGGCGTTCCGTCAACCACCTAAAACCATATAAAGTATTATAGTTATTATCCGTAATTAAAATCTCGAGCATATTTCCGTGCGTGCGTATGCTTAGGGCAGGCGCAATTTTTACCCAGACACATCCGTAAATTCCGCAAAACCGTAATTTGGTGTATTTCATTTTTAGGGTTTTGGCAAATATCGCCCTTCTCCAGGGGAATTTTCGCTTGAATTTCGACTATTTCAAACAATTTAATTGGTTGAATAAATGGGATTGATGATGGAGATTCGGAGAACCAACTTTATGCGTTAGGTAGCTTTTGCGGCGAGTAGGCCCGTACGCACATTATTCGGGTGTAATTTGTATTGCTACGTTGCCATATTTGACCGAACCATGGGCGAAATTTTACGTAGTCAATTTCAAATAATCCAGGCAACCCACTTTTGGCTTGAGCAGGTAGTAAGCCGAGACGGTCTCAATTCGACAATACAACTTGCACCGCTCGTTCGGCGCCACTTGGTACTTGGGGATCCAGGTGGTGTTCTGGGGAACGCCATGGATGCCAACGTCCTGAAGTCGTTAGGGTTTTTACCGAGATTTCTGATTACCCGATGATTGTAGGCGGCGCATTGGACATCCCTGAACGGGGGTGTATCCCACGGGCAATCTCCAATGTTGCACGAGCGGTAGTCCTCACGCTTTCCGACGCAATACTTTCCACCGTTGGCTGGTCTGCAAAAAGTTTTTGTTCTACCGAAAACAAACTTTTTTTCTTAGGCACTAATTTTTAAAATATAAATAGTGGAAGTGTCTCTGAACGATTTTTTACGATTTTTGAACGCGAAAACATAAAAATTTGTTTCAGCGATATAAAAATAAAGATTTTTCTACCGAAACAGAACTCTATTTTTACTTTAAAAAAATTTAAAGTTGTTGAAGCATTTTCTAGTTGTAATAGAGTTTAACCTTAACAAAAACAATCTTAAAACATTTTATATTAAGTTACTAGAAATTTATAGACATATATAAAAACGTTCGGTTCCCCGATAATGTGTCAAAACCTAATTATAAATCAAGGTTAGATATCAACTCACTCCGGGCTATTGCAATGTCGAACAGTCTTCTGAACGCCGCCACCACACGTACGCGAGCAGTCTCCCCACGGTCCCCATTCGCCCCATCCGCCATCCCTCCGCATCCGGCTCCCCGGCTGCATTCCCACGCATTGACCGCGATGGCAGAACATGGATGCGTGGCTGTTGCACGGGGTACCGTCGGCCCATGGCATATGTTGCGTACGGCAGCCGACTTGCGTAGCCTGAGGTAGCTGACACCACAATCGACGGCAGGAGGGCTGAAAAAGGAAGGCTAGTAAAAGTTAACTATCTTTCCAGTGGAAAAACAACAATTAAAAACCCTAGGAAATCCTTAAAGTTGAAACTTTGGTCGCAAATCCTTAATTTTTGAGCAAAAAATCTCTATTACTTCCAGAGCTTTTAATGAAATTTTGTAAAGTTCTTTTTCTAAACAAATGATAGGTTTCATAGCGCCTTACCATGTACGGGCAAAGCTTTGAGTCACGCCCAAAAACGAATTCGCACTGCCGGTCGGCGCTGTACTTGATGCCGGCGGGCTGCACTTCGAAGAGGTCATCGTAGAATCGACGCTGCGTAGGTTGGTCAAAGAGGCATTGCGTACGATCTCGTTGTCTACAAGATCAAATTTAAATAAAAAGCTGGTAAAATTCAATAATTTGTGGTTTTTCGCCTTTTGTCATTTTTTATTGAAAAACCGAAAACCCACTCCAAAAACCTCTCGAGCATCGCCGCCGAACATGCCGACCAGCTCCAGGGATGGGTGTTGAACTCGAGCGTCGGGGCCATAATGTGAAAATTCTCCTTGGTCACCTCCATCCACTGCCGGCACTTTGGCTCGTCGTCGTGCGGCATGTTGAAGCTGCAATTTCAGGGTTTGCTAACCCATACTTCCGCTTACAGATGGGCCAACTCGTGGGCGATGGTGAACGCGGCGGACAGCCCATTGTCTTCGATGATCGAGCAGCTCTTGTTGAAGTTGCACATGGTGCCCAGCTCGGCCAGCCCGAGCGTGTCGCACTTGCCGGCGGCCCTGTAGTAATGGGTGTAAAAATAATTGCAAACCAGCGCACCTGCAAATATCCTTCCGGGTGAGCAGCACGGCGACGTCGTGATGGTTGGGCGACTCCTCGTTCATCTCGTTAAAGCCCATCTGCCATTGGCAAAAGTTTTGCAGGCTCTTCTGCGCGTTTTCCGTGACCCGAGGGCCATTCTAAAAACAAGGGCTATAAGTAAAATACAAACTACACTCACATATTCATGATGGAGGACGGCAATCCGGACGACAACAATATTAATGGCGGCGCCGAGGGATCGATGCCGGTAGATGGATGCGACCTAAAGCGCGGAAATCAATGGTTATTTTTATGTCTACCGTAGAGAAGAGCGTAAGAATATAATCTTCAAGTTGGCTGCCGTGATATTCGGCCATTTGCGTGTCCGCCGCCACAAACACCTCCACGTAGTGCTCCCACGACATCGAAGAGCGTCGCGATCGTCGCTTACGGTCTGAAAGGCGGACTTTCATTTGTTTTGCTTGGCAAAGACAACGAGAAACTTCTTTTACGCCTGGATTTCAAGGCCTTCAGACACATTTTCCTATTTTTGCGGAGTGACGGACGCCTTTTCAAGTCCTGGATGCACAAGAAAAGCGTGTGCATTGGAATATCGCGGTGCCAAAAAGCAACTACGAGACGCTCCTTTCTACGCTGCAATTTTATCCTTTCCAGGTATTCCGTTTTCGTTTATAATTCCGTTTCTTTCCCGTCTTTATTTATAATTTCCTCGTCTTTGCGCGTACATTGGAGTATCGTGTTGTCAAAATCGGCAACGAGAAGCGCCTTTTAACGCGCGAATCCTATGCGCTTCAGGCACACCCTTTCTTGCTACCTTAAGTATACGCCACCAAATTCCATGCGTTTTAAACAATTTCTCGCTAGCATTGGCACATCACCGTCCCTTTTAAAAGTGCCGGAAACGTTTTTTTTTTGTGAAGCCCTCCACGGGGCCCCGGT